GAGAGCTGTTGTGTCATTTGCTCAAGGCCCAGCTGACTGGGTGTCAGCATGCCTGCAGAAATCACTACCTTGGAGGTGGGGGCTGCACACCTGAACTTGGAGATCCGAGCTTGAACCACAAGCGTGCTCAAAATCGTTGCTTTCATACAACTTTGTCTCTTCTCAGCAGACCAGCCAGTGCAGCAGGCTGGCACCACCGTGTAGGCGGCTAAGCCTGGGGCCTTCCTGTGCCACGTCTTCTGGAGGCCATTTGCAAAGCCGTGCTGCCAGTTAGGAACAGAACCAGCCTGGGGTTTTGCTCCTCAAGCTTTTGTTGATGGGGGTGGAGTCTGGGGCTTGTGCATGCCAAGCAGTGCCATTCCCTTGGGGTTTGCCTCTGCCACGTGGCATTTTTAGGAGGTGGCCTCTGTTTTTAGTTTCTGAGAGTACTTTTGGGGATCAGAACAAGTGCTGTCTCTCTGACTGGCACAGCCCTCTGCATGGCAACATACTTTGAAATTCTCTTTGCCTCTGTTGGATAGAGCTGAAGCTGACAGCTGAAGGCCAAGCCTGAGGCTCTGTGCTGTGTTCTTGATAATGCAGGGCATGACTGCAAATGAATGACTCTGAAATGACATCCACAGGACACTTTCCCTGGACTCACTAAACGGAAGCTGGGGACTGCAGGTGGCTGCTACACTTGACCCGCTGGCTGGGGGAGGGATGGGCCTGGAATCCGGAAGCTGCTATGCGTCTGACAGAATGGGGGCTCCTGCCCGGCTCATGTTCAGCCCCTCCGGGATGTTTCCAGGATGCATCCCTCTGTGTTCACCTTTGTAAACCGACACCGTGGCACCCTGAGAATACCTTTGCTCACAAGGCCTCTCCTGGACCCATTCCTGGGAAGTCCTTGTACATTCCTTAGGGGCAGGTGTCATAACACAACACTGTCACACAAGGAAACTCAGCCAAGGAGAGGTTAAGTCACTCGCCCAAGGTCACACAATGCATGGTAAAGTGGACACAGACTTCAAACTCACGGTGTGCCATCCTTACTGCCGAGAAGGGTGTATGCTCTGAACACAGTAGCGAGTCTCCTTGGCACCCTCAAACTTGTAGAGTCCTGAGAATAATAATCATGAGATTCTGAAAGGTCCTCATGCAGGGTGCAACCCTCCAGCAGTGTCTCTGTCCCAGAGCTGCAAGTGGAGCTGAGATAAATGGGTGCTCAGGTGGGAGAGCCAGCCCTGCACCTGGCCGTGAGGGAATCCAGTGGCCAGGTAAGACTGTGCACCTAGCACTTGGTAGTGTAAGTAGATCTGAGGCCTCTTGTCCTGGAATCGGTGGTTCTCTGTATCCAGATGTTTAGGAGTCTGGAGACCCTGGCAGGCCTTCTTTAAGAGGAACCCTTTTCCACATGCTACAGAAACCCCAGCTGCCTTGTTTCCCACTGCATGCACAGTAATGGGGTGAACCTGCTGGCCCCCGAGTATGAGCCAAGGCAATGGTGCCACCCTTGGAGACCCCCTTAGTCTCACAAGTTCCTGCTTCTCTTACAAGTGTCTCGGGAGCAGCAGTCGGATGCTTGCTCTCATTCAATCCTGATCTCAGAAGTGACACACACGCAGAGGTCCTGCCCAAGCCCTGCGTACTGCACACGACCGCTCTCTGGGCTCTTGTGTGACCCAGCCACGAGTACATCTGTGGAACCCAGCTTTTATAGAAAACAATAACCAGCGGACTAAGGTTCCATGGGAAAAATTAAACTTCTGGGAAGCATGCATGCATCATTGTGCGATGGGGAATTTCCCGAGACTGCTGGTAATATTAAAGATCATATATATGACAGTAGTTTTCGTACTATGTAACAAGACAGCCACATGGTGTGGGTCCCCCCATGCGGCAGCGGCAGGGATGTGGCTCACTAGGACACCAGGGAGCCAGGACTTCATTCCGTTACCCACGTACAAGACGTGGAAACTGGAGGCGTAAGAAGAGGCAAAGCACAGGATGAAGCAGCGGGTGAACGCTCGCTGGTAGTTTCAGATTCTCAACAGGAACCGATATTTAAGAAGCCTACATGATAAAAAGCTTAGAACTCTTAAGAAGAAATTACCTGAAAAAGCTGTTATTGTTTCCTTTTCCAACCACTTGTCTATGTGAGGCTGAATTTGCTTTCCCTGCTTTCAAGGAAGATGAAGAATCAGTAGACTCGGCTGGTAGGAAGCACACTTGCTTTTAATTACTGTAGACAATAAAGAGATTTGTGACATGGCAGGGTGATTCCATCCTCCGGTTTTAGTTTGGAAAGTAAGTTTATAGAAATATGTAATTATGTTCATTTGTAATAGTTTTAGATTTTGAGACCGGGTCTTGGTAGGTATCCCTGGCTGGCCTTGAGCTGAGGAGACCATCCTGCCTCAGCAGCACCCCCAGCTGGGATTCGATGCATGTGGCACCAAGACCAACATTCTTACAATTATTTCAAAATGAGTCACTCTATTTATATCTCAGCATTAATGTCTACTAACTACAATCAGTCCTGGTGGAGATAAACCATACATAGAAAGGCTGCTGGGGGGCCTCAAAAAATTTTAGGGGCAGTCGGGCATGGTGGCACTTGCCTATAAATCCCAGCACTCTGGGAGCCTAAAGCAGGAAGACTGCAAATTAGAGCCCAGCCTGAGCAAATTAGCAAGCCCCTCTCTCAAAAAATTTAAAATGGGTTGGGGATTTAGCTCAGTGACATAGGTGCCTGCCTGGCAGGTGCAAGGTCATGAGTTCGATCCCCAGCTCCAAAACAAACAAAAAACACCCTGAGGATGTAGCTCAGTGCAAATCTCTTGAGTTGAATTCCTAGTACAAAAAACAAAACAACCAAATCCTAAGGTCAGTTTGAAAGAAGCAAGGTTCTATACCACCTAGGCTGCCGGGAAGCTCGGGTACAGCACCCTGAATACAGGAAGAGGAGCTCGTTCAAAGGGGCTCCACGAACACCAGTGCTGCTGGGAAATGCAGCCAAGTCCTGTCTTGGGGGCAGCGCTGTGCTTGGCACGCTGTGGTGCCAGCGTTAGCCACATGGCAGGGAGAGCTTTCACCCAGCAGGGAGCCAGCGCTGGGCCTGTGGCTCTCTGCTGCTCCAGGTGGGTGAAGGGAAGGCACACAGAGGATTGTGATGGAAAAGGGGCAAGCAGAGAAGGGCCTTGCCAAGGCCCCTGTGCTTGATGAGCCTGCAGAGCCCTCCTCTGCCTGCAGCACTTCCCCAGGCTGCAGAAGCGGTGAACAACAGCATGGCAATGCGTGGAGACATGGGAGCGGCTCATGCTTCCTCTTGCGGGTTACTTATTAACATTTATTTCGAAAGAAATTAGTACTGCTTTATGAGTTCTTCACATTCCTTTATTTTCTGCCAATGAAATGGAACTGCACTGTGAGATGCAATGTGGGGGACCACAGGGCAGGCTCCCCCGGAAGAAGACCGTCTGTCTCCATTTTGGCTCACCCTTGCCCCATTCTGTGCACTGATGTGTAAGAGCTGGCTAGGAAAATACTCTTTGCCCTCAGCGGGCTTAAGCAATGCCAGGTGGGGGTGCTGACATGCAGCCTTTGAAGCAATGCCAGGTCAGTGATGCCCCGTCTATAACTCCCACTAAGAGGGAGCTAGGTGGAGCGAGAGGGAAGCCAGGCTGTCTGCTGGGACTGCGCCTTGGGAAAAAAGTGCAAGGTCCCAGGGCAATAAAAGCCAGACACAGAAGTTGAAGAACCAACCCAAAACTGCCCCAAATGGTGTTACGCAGATTCCTCCACACTCAGAAGCTGTCACCAGACTCCAGGACTCTTTCTGCATCTTGCAGAGGTGCCCTATGCTTCCTCCCCAGCCCAGCTCACAGCATTGACGTGGTCCCAGTCATTCTGTCACTCACCCCAAGTCACTCCTCTCCTCACAAAATCCAGGCTTGGTCCTGGGCCCTGTGGCTGTTGCTCCGGTTAGCATGGTTCTGCCTGGACTGGGGGCCCCCCTGGCTCCCCACTACGGGTATGTCTTTGTCACAGGTTGCACAGGAAGTGGTGGGTTGCAATTTCCTTACTAGAATTCCAGTAACTTCTCCTGGAGATCACACATATGAACTCTACACTGCAACCATTGTCTTTGTTCTTTTTGAGGCAGGGTCTCTCTGCATAGCCCAGACTGCCCCGACCCTTGCTGCTCCCCGGGCTGGGAATCAAGTGTGCACCGTCCTGCCCATCTGTGACTTGTAATTGTGAACTCTGGTGGTTAAGCTTAAAATGAACTTAGTATCTTCAGAAACACGAAGAGTAAAATCTTCAATAGTGCCGTCTACACCTTCCTTTTGCAGAAAGGCTATTTTAAACAAAATAGCTAAGCTCATTAGCTCGGATTCGTGGTTTTGACTCCAAGGCTGAGCTGTTAGCGGTTGCAGGGCTGACCATCGAGCAGGCATGGGGTGGGACATTGTGCTCACTTCTCGGTGCAGAAGAGAAAAGGCCTCAAACCACGCAGAGAAGCCTTTTCTGGAAAGGCCAGTTAGAGCTGAGCTCACACCGAGAGTCCCTGGCTCCACTGGATTGAGAAGCTCAACACAGAGCGCCTGCGATTTCAGCACGGAGCCAATGAGAATCTGAAACCTCCTCACACATTTCTGGGACCCTAAGCTGTGATGACAGAGATAGTCACAGCTGGAAGAATGCTACACAAGCTTCACAGACTTACATTTTTTTCCTCCTCTGAAGAACTGACTTTAAACAACTTTGTTTGTTTGTTTGAGTAAATAATAGGTATTTATTTGATATGGAAAAATCGTTAAGTACCTGGACTATTGCATTTAATCATGTACTGTAATTCTGTTACTCCACCTTTCTGCATCAGAGACAGATACACAAGGAACATTCAGATACCACAGATTGCACACTAGATGGGAATTCGTCAGGCCTTTGACATTACCACCAAAACAGATCATGGATTTTGGAATATAGTACAAAAGTCCACAGCCAATCCAGTCTTAGCCATTATCGTCAGTTTACTTCTGTTGCTGTACAAACAATGGGCCATTACTAGGGCTTACAAGTTAATAACAGGACAAAAAATATACATTGCACTGACACAAAAAGTCAGCAGTGTTAATAGTCATGCAACAAGTAACCAAACTTGCTGAAATGAAAAATACTTTCTAGAAACAGTTTTAACAGCATAAATATTTTATACAGTTCATTTACCAAAACAAAATGTAAATGGTACAAAGCAAAAATAAGTTTCTACCAACTATATACATAAGAAAGTGCAAAATAACTTATCTAGAATGTTTGCTATTACCCAGACCATGGCTGCTACGGGCAACTGTTCTCTTCCTTGGAAGTGTGACCTTACACTTGCACACGATACACACACATGTTAGAGCACATGAGCAAGTACACGGTGATGGGGTACACGACTGGTCATGAGGTCAGGCAGGAGCAGGGAGGTCCTCCTGCAGGGAGGGGTGGTGCCCTTGGGATGGCGGTGAACGAACTTACACAGGACACACAGAGAGATCCGTGTATGGATGTGAGCATACCTGCGTGTGGTGTGATTTCTGTGTCAGAAGCAAAGGAAAAGAAGCCTGACCGCGTGAGGCCGTCGCCCACAGCACCAGCTGCCAGAAGAAATACTGCTGTGAGGCTTTGGGTTTCCACCGTCTAGTTCTGGGAGTTGAGCTGCAAAGTGTTCCTCCAGTGCAGCTTTGGATGACGTGCGGAACAACCTGGAGGTTCCCACACGCGCGCCTACACTTGGGGCCTTGCGGACACCTGTGCTGCTGGAGACAGGTAAATAAACATGGGGGCGCCTCTCAAAAAGAGCAGAGTAACACGGCTGCAATGCATCCAGAGAAGTGTGGCAGTCACTGCCAAGGATGGGGCAGACAGGAGAATGACACGCTCTTCCCTTCCCAGAGCGACAGCGTGAATGCCAATTCCCCTTTATCACAAGCGTGCTCCCACTTTCAGAAACAGAAGTGTTCTCTTCGGTTCCGATATGTACTCATGAGTAGACTGTAGGCTCAAACCTAGTTAAATAAAGATCTGAATTTATTAAGCATAAGGCACTAAGCAGCCTTTGTGTTTTGTCTTGGAGACCTAGTTTTCAGGAAGAACAAATCAGTCCTTAAGCTGGTTTCAGCTCCACAGGTACAAGGTCACCACTGTACCGAATGCCTGTTCTTGAACGCATGTGCGTATATGTGCATTTTAGTGCATAAGAGTGCCTGTCACCAGGGCCTAACGATGGAAGTGGGGAGCCAGGGCCTCCCCGGGCCTGCCCTTCCTGCCTGGGGCCATTAACGATCTCTGCTTTCCAAATCACCAGGATGTTTAGGATTGTTCATAATATTATCATTAAGTATCTGAAAATGTTAAAATCTAGATTAATTGTTTTATTTGATTTTATATATATATTTATATTTATGTACATAACACACATTTTTAAAAATCCCACCACCAAAGCCTTTTCTGTAAACGCATCTCTTATCCCTCACTAGCTTCAATCCCCCTGGATTTGTGTTTCATATCCAACTAGAACAAATTAAATAACTAAATATTAAAATACTGTAATTATATTCATAGCAAAAAACAAAAAAATAGACATTGATACAGTATAAATCTCACTGTTTTCAGGTAGATGGCATTAAATGGTGAAGGTTAATTTGAAGCAGGTCTGACTTGATCCAGTTTTACAACAAGTTTGAAAGATTAATTCTGTACATTTGTTTTTTACCCTTTTTTGAAAATAAACTATAGTAGAACATTGGTATCACCAAAGACACATACTTCTTATGTTCTATGCAAGAGAAGCTAGTTTGGGGTTTCATGCAAATATTTCCATTACAGAGGCAGGGTCACCCCCGCCACCCCTCCGGTCATGTGACATCTTCTGCCAGTCTAGGAAGGTGCACTCCACACCCAGGGCAGCCGCGTGTGTCTCCGGGGTCCGTGGCACCAGGTCCAACACCAAGGCAGCGGGCACAGCGGGGCGCAGGGCGCCCAATACCTCCAGGCTCCTTCCGGCTGGGCTTCTATTCTCCCACACTGCTCCCTAAAGAAGGTCCGCGTTATTTTGGTTACTAGCCTAGGGTGAATGGAGACACTGTGGCAACTTAAAAGAAAAGACATCAGGCACACAGGCTGGGCTTGCAGAGAAAAGAAAGATCCCAGATAACGTCCTCGATGATTTAAAAAAACGTATTTATAATTAATTGGTAAGTGAGCAATATCAGACAAACCAGAGTTCACTGAGTTAGTGGTTTAGTTTGAAGTCTCAGGTTCAGGCAGTGAGGTCCTTATTTTAGAAAAAAAGGCCTTTATACCTATTTACAATATACACAGCTACTTGCAAAGAAGTCAGATTTACAACCATTTTCTAAAAGCCTTTTTTGTTGTTGTTTTTGTAGGTTTTCCAAATGAAGATGGGTAGCTCTATAAAAATGAGATGCAGGAAAAGACAGTTACTAAGCGAGGGCTGCTTCTCGGAGCCGGCTGCAGTTAGCACGAGAGCCTGCCAGAAACGCTGCTGCAGGACCCGCCTGGTACTTGGCTGCCACCCACCAGTGTCTGCCGGCCTGCACTCCGCACCCGTTTCTTTCTCCAGTGATCCCTTGGAGTTCCGCACTTCCCTCACACAGTATGAAGAGAGGTGTGAACGGAGACTGTTTCCATGCCTTCCAAGCGGACAGGGCACCAGGAAGGGGTCTGCAGACCTGGTCTCTGGCCGCTGGCGCAAGCCTCAGCAGTTTCGGGGCCCATCCTCCAAGCCCTTCTCATGCTGCAGATTATAGTAACAGTTCTGGCAAACTCGCACCGGAGATGAGATTTTCAAGCGTTTGATTTCAGACTGAAATCGGCTGCACCTAGAGGGAAGGAGAAAACAGTCAGTTAGAGCTCCTCTCCCTGTGGATGCTCATGACTTAACAATCGCATGGAAAGCCTGCAAGGTGATGCCAAAGCCCAGCCAAAGCCGCAAAGCCAATGGCCATGTCTCTGCATGTCCACGGGAGGAACAGGGCCTGGTGGGGCCTGTGCCATCGGGTTTGGCCTAGAGAGGAAAGTAATGTGCCAGCAAAGCCATTTCTTTCACTGAGGAGAATGGAGAAACACAGATTCCAGATCCTCCTGCCGAGGAGGCCACCTGCCCTGACAGCTCCATGTGGGGCATCTCACTGGTCCCCGGTTCTACACAGGCAGAGGCAGGCAGCGTGTTAACTGCGAACTGAACGCCTTCCCTCAGAGCACTGGAGACTCTGTCCACTTCGTTTATTTAGGGCAGGGATGGCGCACGGCCACTTAATTTACTTACCTATTTCTACGACACCCGGTTCTTATTAACACATCGCTTTCTATATGCACAGGACTCAGGTGACACGAGCACACACCCAGCACACATGGGTCACACTCCCTGAGCTGCCCCCCAGCTACCCGCCAGCCTGGGAATCTGCTCCACCGTCAGCCCCACTTTTGTCTGTTTTAGTTTCCACTACTGAGAGAAAGCACGTGGCCCTTGTCTGTCTGTCTGTCTGTCTGCTGTATTTTGCTTAACGTGACAGCTGCTGGATCACTCGCTGTGCTGCACATGACAGATGTCATTCCTCTGTGTGGCCCAGTATTGTGCTGTTGAACTTACAGAGGTATTTAATCTCTTCCCAGTCAACTGCGGGGGGGGGGGGGGCGCCTGGCTGGCCCCGCTTAGCCAGTGTGGGCTGCACTGGGAGCTGCGGCCGGCCGTGCCAGCCTGTCCCTTCCTGCTCATCCCCTCTGCCCGGCAGAGCCAGACAGCAGGCAAGGGTTCTGTCGTCAGTGTCTCAGTAGCTGCCGCTGTGGCTCCCACGCAACTGTGCTAATTCACATTCCCACCAGAACGTGCAAGGCTCCTCTTCCCCACGTGCTCACTGTTAGCTTTGATGCTAGCCGTTCTAACTGGGGTGTGACATATGGTACCTCATAGTTGAAGCAGAATTTCCCTGAGGACCGTGGACACGGAGTCACTCCCCACCTCTGCGCGCGGCGGTCTGGCTGTCAGTGGTCCTCTGTGCTTCTGGTGAACTCGGGATTGGTCTAGTGCTGCAGGAAACACTACTGGTCTTTTGATGGGGAGTCCACTGAATCTGTAAGTCGCTTTGGGTAGTGAGGACATTTGCACGGTATTAATTCTTCTAATTCATGCACATGGAAAGTCTTTCCACCTTTTAGTAGCTTCTTCAATTTACTTCTTCAGTGTTTTGCAATTTTTATCCTAGAGGTCTTTTATTTCCCGAGCTATGTTTATTCCAAGGTTACAATTACTGTTGCTGTGGTGCTTTTTATGAATGGAATTACTCTCATTTCTTCCTTGGCGAGTTCACTGGTTTGTAGATGTGGATTTTGTATCCCTTATACTTTATATAGCTTACTGAAATCATTTATAGTTCTAATAGTTCTAAGTTTCCCTAATTTTCGTATATCTTTTTTTTTTCTCTTGCATAATTGCTCTAGTCCTGAGTAACACTTGTGGGAGTAGAACACCTGTCTGGATCCAATCTGCGAGGAAGTGTTTCATTGTTCCTTGGCTGTGAGCTACTCATCACAGTCTCTACTATGTTCAGATGAGATTCTTCCATAATTTGTTCAGGGTTAGCCTGAAGAAACGTTTTTACTGCATCTACCGAGATAATCAGATGAATTTTACCATTCACTCATGTGACAGACTGCGTTCATTGCCCTGTGTATCTTGCATCCCCAGGAGGAAACCTCTGTCCTCGGTATGATACTTTGATGTGCCTGAGTTTGATGTGCTGGTATCGATGTTGTGGAGGATTTTTTTATCTACGTTCACCAAGGGCAGGAGCTTACAGCTTCCTTTCTTTGCTGTGTCCTTGCCAGTTTTCCTAGCAGTAATGATGGGAAGAGAGAATGGGTTCGGGAGAGTTTCTTCCCTTTTAATTCTAGAGAGGACTTTGAGAAGCATTGGTGTTCTTTACAAGTCTAGTAAAATTCAAGAGTAAAACACCTGACCTTGGGCTGCTCTTCACTGGGAGATTTTTTTTTTTTTAATTACTGATTCAATCTCATTAACTGCCAGTGCTTTGTTCAGGTTTTGACATCCTCTTGATTTCATTTTGGTAGGTCACATTTGGTAGCCCAAATACGTCCGTCTCATCTAGATTTCCTGACTTGTGAGCATACAGTTTCCAAATAATTCCTAGTGACACCATTTTGCTGCTATAAGCTGTATGCCTCCTTTCTGTTACAATATGGGTTTCACTTATTTGGGTCCCCTCTCTCTCTTTCTCTCTCTGTCTCTGATTGGTCTGGCTCAGGTTTGTCAATTTTGTTTACCCTTTCCAGGTACCAAGTGTCTGTTTCACTGACCCTTGGAGTTGTTCTAGATCCCATCTCATTTATTTCTATCCTGATCTTTAGTATTGCTTCTCTGTTACTAATTTTGGATATAGTTCTTGCTTTTCTAAGACCTTGATATGTACCATTAGGTTATTTTAAATTAAACGTTTTGGTTTTTTTTGATATAGGTGTTCATTACCATAAACTTACCCAGGACTGCTTTCACTGTATTCCATGTTTTTTTTTTGAGACAGGGTTTGCTATACATTTCAGGCTGGCCTTGAACCCACTATGTAGTCCTGGTTGGTGTCTTAACATGCAGTGATCTTCCTGCCTCAGCCTCCTAAGAGTTGGGCCAGCGTGCCTGGCTCCACAGGTTTTGACTACATTGTGTTTCCATTTTCATTCATTTTAAGAAATCTAGTTTCTTCTTTGACATCCTCAGCACCCCGCTGCCCATTAGAACTGTGCTGTTCCATTAGATGCATGTGACCTAGTGTAGTAGTGTAACTGACTTTTTTCTGACTGGTTTATCCACTGGTGAGTGCAGGTTACTGAAATACCCCACTAAAGAGAGCCTACCTTTCTCTTGAGGTCTAATAATGTTCAGTTTTATGAAACTGGATGTCCTGACATTAGGTTTACAGTAACTACATCTCCTTGCCAACTCTATGCCTTGTTCTGCAGTGAGTATATTTGTGTTTTCTTAACATGCTTGTCTCAAAGTCTGTTTTGTCAGACACAAAGGTAGGCATTCATGCTTGTTTTAGGATTTCATCAATTTTTGACCCTTTCACTTTCAGCCTGTCCTTACTGTTTTTTTTTTTTTTTTTTAGTAAGAACTGTATTAGTGGGTCTTATTTTGTAACCTTTCAGTCTGTATCTTTAATTGGAGAAACAGAACCATTTACATTCAGAGTTATTATCAAAAGGTATAAACCGGTATCTATCATTTTGTTTTCTTCTAGCTATTTTGAATATTTCTTATTCATTTCTTCCTTAGTCATAGTGATTGGATGATTTATTGTGTTGATAACGTTTTAACCTTTTTGACTTCAATGTATCTAGTCTTTTAGTGGGATTTATACTCTTACCTGCTACCATGACAATACTTATCTTTCACGTGTGGATACAGGACTCCTTCCCTTAAGCATTGTTTTGTTTTTGGTGATACTGGGGATTGAACTCAGGGCCTTGTGTGTGCTAGGCAAGCGCTCTACCACTGAACTGTATCCCCAGTCCCCTTAAGCATTTCTGTAAGGCCAGTCCAGTGGTCGAAGTTTCCTCAGTTTTTGCTTATGTTGCAGGGTTTTTGTTTCTCCTTCATTTCCGAATCTTCTCATGTTGGTTGGCAGCTATTTTCTTTCAGGACTTGAAGACAGAGTTCCATGTCCTCCTGGCCTGTAGGGCTTGCCCTTAAATCTTGGAGATTTAAAAATTCTTATTTAGTCTTGTACATTTGACACTTTGTCTGTACTATGTTATAGCGAGGATCTTTCCTGGTTATGTCTCTTTGACATGTTCATGGTTTTTTCAAGGTTAGGGAAGTTTTCTGCTATTTTACCCAGAACAGGTTTCCTGTGCTTTAACCTGTGATTTTTGTACTGATGAGGCAGATGCTTATTGGTGTCCCACAGATCCTGACAGCTGTCTTCATTCCTTCTTTTAACATGAATGTAGAACGACCAATGTTCCAGCTCTGGCATTTTGTCTTCCATGTGATGTAGTCTGTTGAGATTTCTAATTGAATTTTTATTTTACTTACTGAGCTAGCGCTTCCCTTCCAATACTTATTTGGATCTTTTTCAAAATCTCCTATATTCTCTTCCTAATTTCACCTGCTTACCTGTATTCCTTTGGATCTCACTTAACTTCTCAAGAATCATTCTTTGGAAGTTGTCATCATGCACTGCAGCTGTTTTAGTGTCTCTGGGGTGCGTTACTAAACAGACTCCAACGCTGGTGTCATGCGGTGCTATTTTACCTCTCACATTCCTATGCTGAAGCCGGCATGTCTGATGGGACGGTAGCTCTGCACCTTGCCAGGATGGCCTGGTCTGCAAGGTTTCCCCCTGAAGATGTGTCTTAGGGGATCAGTTCATTGCATGACCTTGTTAGACCCACCGCTGCCGCCTCGAGTAACACAGGTGACTGAGGCAGCTGACAGGCAGGTGTGGGGCACCTGTATAGCTACTCTTACAGGGGCAGGACTGGTGACCACTGGGTGATGGGGACGTCCCCAGGCACTGCTGAGTGGGCTCTGTCACTTGGAAGGGTCTCTGTTACTGGCTGCTCTGGCAGTGGAGAGTGGCCTGCCACACCTGACTCTGCCAGACACTAATGAAGGCCCAGGCACTTTGAGGGAGAGGCAGAGCCAGGAGTCACAGTGCTGTCAGCAGCACGTGAGCAGACCAGGCAGAGAGAACCTGTGCAGGAGAGAGGAAGAGCAGAGCGAGCTGGCTGTCCTCAGGCCACCCTGAAGGGTGGCAGCAGAGTCCTGTGGCCTCAGTGTCACCCCAGCAGGCAGCAGCCCAGCCCACCTGGCCAGGCTCGGCTGAACCCAGTGTTGCCTACGGAAGCTCAGCCACCAGCCTGAAAACACCCACACAGGTAAGAAATGGAGTGGGTCTCTACACAAGCGCCTCCCAGCAAGCAGCCCGAACCCCCAGCGTCTCTCTGACCTCTCTGCTGCGCCGTAACGAAGGAGGCTATGCCAGGGACCTGGGTGCTGGTGTGCAGAAGGCCCAGACACAAGGTGGCAGCGACACCCTGCTCATGAAGCCCTCCGTGCGGGATGCAAGCCTCCTAGCCGGGAAAGCTCTGAGCGCACACTCACACACACTCACACACACTTTGAGAACACAAAAAACCAAGGTAAAACAGAAGTCACAGGCTGGTGATGGCGGGCGGAGGTTATGTGAAAGGACTACAGCCCACAGCCCACAGAAAGAGCTCCACCAGGGAAGAAGGGTACCAGGAGCGCCCAGGAGAAACTCCGGCATCAGCAGGCACAGGAAAGTGCCCTTCAGCGACACCGCTGGGAGGACAACAACAGGTTTCCTTAGCTATCAGACTGGAGCAGGGAAAAAGCCTCTCCTACCATGCAGAAGAGTTTACGAAACTCCTACCCTGTGGAGGCAGCAGAAACCCACAGTACAGGTGGAGACAGTAATTTGGCGATTTCTAGTCAAGTTCACAAGTAAGCTCAAGATGCAGAATAGAGAAACAACCCCAAATGCATAAGAAGACACAGGAGACAGACCTTCTAAAATGGGAACGGGGCCAAGAGATGCTGCAGTGGGGACAGGAGGAGGGCAAGGGACATAGAGGGAACGGAGATGAGTCATAGACCTGTGCCCCCTACACAGTGAAGGCATCTATCCAGTACTGCCCACATTACCAATAGAAAAAACAGAACAAGAAAATCCAAAGGGTCCAATAAAGAGCAATCCTACGCAAAAAGAGCAAGGCTGGAAATCACAATACCTGATTTCATGTTATACCACAAAGCCACAGCAATAAAAATTGCACAATGGACACAGAACAATGGAAGAGAACAGAGGATACGGAAGTGAACTCATATGACCACTGACAGCTGACTCGGCCAAGGAGCCCGAGCCACACACAGGAGAAAGGGCGGCCTTTTTACAAGAGGTGGTGGGAAAACTGGACTCCTAGAAGATTCAAACCAGAACCTTAGCGTTACACTGCACAAAAATCACTTCAAAATGAATCACACACTTGCGTGTAAGACCTGAAACTTTGAAAGTGCTAGAAGAAAACATGGGAAGCACTTGAAGCCAGAGGCACAGGCAGAGTCTTCCTGACAAGGCTCCTGCAGCACCCAGGGCAGTAGCAAGAGTCAACCATGGGACCTCAAGTCCACAAGTTTCTAAAGAGCACAGGAAGTGGCTGAGAGGGAGGAGGTGGCCTGAAGAGGTGGTAAATGTCTCAAAAACCTGATGTGAAAAGTCAGAGAGTCCAACAGTAACTGGACAAATGAACCAGATGGTTACTTCTCAGGAGGAGGAGCGCAAGGCCCATGAGGGTGTGGGGAAGCTCAGTGTGCCGCCCTGAGGGGACTGACTGCGGTCCACCTCTGCTGGTCAGAGCAGCGCTCGGTCCTCCGAACCCAGGACATAGTCAGAGCCACCGAGGACCCTGTGCACTGTCGGTGGGAAGGCAAACAAGTACGGCTCCATGGCCGGGCCGCAGTCTGGAGGGGCTCAGAGGACTCAGGGCAGAGCCCCACTTTGGGGTGGGGGCTTGGGGTACCCCCCAGCACATGATAGGGACACGTGCATACCCACGGCCACTGCGACACAACTCACAGCCCAGCGTGTGGGACCAGCCTGGCTGCCTGTCATTAAATGATGAATGGATAAAAAAATAACGTATCTGTGTATGGCTCTGCCAAATAAAGGAAATCACATTTGCACCAAAAGGATGGAACTAACAGATACTACTGTAAGCGAAATAAACCCTTCAAACGCCATATGTTTCCCCTACTATATAAGTCTGAAAAGATACCATGAGAACAGAAGGGAGGCTAGGGTTAGACAAGGGGAGGGGAGCCCGAGGGGACACAGAATGCAGCAGACAGCTGGGACCCAAAGCAGTGCTGTGAGGATGTCAGTGGTGACACATGCTTGAGACAGGTGACACGCAGGGGAAGGGTGAGGAGTGGGGGAGGGTTCTGTGTGGTCATGTCCACGCCCCACATGCCTCCATGCAAGTGGCAGGGAAGGTGTATACTACAGGCGCTGCCCAAGCTGGCGCCCACACCTTCTCTGACAGAAACTGTCGTGTCCAGGGAATGGGGAAGGAGGAGGTCCTGGGTCCCCAGACCATGCAGAGCTGCCCTGGCCACCTGCTTACTTCTGGCAGAAGAGCTGGCCGCAGTTCCTGCAGTGGTGCCGCCGTTCCGTGAGCGAGAAGCGCACTGCGCAGCCCGAGCAGCTGTCCCCACCTTCGTCCTTCACCCAGTGGTCAGCGGCACAGCGGCCCGGCTGGTCACTCACCGACCAGCTGAAGACTCGGCCTTGACTGTCCCCGACCAGGATCCTGCTGTGATCCCTGTGGGAGACAAGGGTGGGGGCTGGGCTGGGGGCTGGGGAGGGACCGCAGTGTCCCCAGGGGACAATGCCAAGGAGGCAAACACAGAGCCAAGACCAAAGACTCTTCTGCTCAGTGGTGTTTGGGTCGCATCCTGCCAGATCTCTGAAGACACTGGGACACAGGGGTTTTTTTGGTTGAGAATTAAAATCCATAGATGGCTGTGTTTCTTCTTCAGAGAAACTGCAAGCTCCTCTGGATAACCCACGTGATGCCAAGGGGGAGGGCCCAGACGGTCCCACACTCACTTGGACACGCCCAGCGCGGTGACCTCGGCTGGGTGCGCATTGTCCTTGCGATCAAAGGCTGTGTGCATGGTCAGCTTGCTTCTGAACACTAGCTGCCGCTCCCATCGGTGCCCTGGGGCAGGAGGCAGAGAGGACACACTGAACAGAGGAAAGGACGCAGCGCGGAGGCTGGGAGCCTTGGCACATAGCTAGAGCTGCTTGGAGAGAACCATCTAGCTGGACATCAGCTAAGGGGCCAGGGCGGAGCAGCACAGGATGAGAGAATCGGATGAGAAGGGGAAACCTGCAAGACCTTGCTCTCACTATGTTACAGGCCAAGGCTGGTTCCTAATGCAGGTTTTTTTTTTTTTTGGTAACTGATTCTTTTCTTTTTGTCTTTCTGAGACAGAGTCACACTATATAGTTCAGGCTGGCCTTGAACTTACTCTGTAGCCCAGGCAGGCCTCCTTGAACTCACAGCAATCCTCTTGCCTCAGCCTCCTGAGTGCTGGGATTATAGGTATGTGCCACCATGCCCAGCACTTATTTTCAAAAGTTTCCATGGTTTCACCATTGGTGCATGAATGCATATTTTGGGTTGAGGTATTTCTTCTTTAAACATTGCCCAGCATGTTGAACATACCTTCATAGGACAGACTAAATCTGCTCTATGTGGGAAGGACCACAGGAGGCCTTTCTTTGGTGGTGGCCCAGGTCACAGCATGTATCAGGGGCAGCCGGAGCCTACGGGAGCTGGACCCACTCTCTGGGCCTACTGGCCCTCAGCCCACTTGAACACGGCAAAAAGACCCCAGACTTCAACGTACCAGGTTTCAATCTGCTGTAACTCCGCGCTTCCATGGGGCTGGGGTGGGGGTGGTTGAGGGGAGCCTGCAGGTGGGCTCTGGTCTGGCCCTCTGAATAGTTCACAAATATGAAGCCGTCTTTCTCATCCAGGCTGAGCTGGTCAGACCAGCGCCGAGAGTCATCCGAACTGCTGTCAGTGCACCAGGTGGCTGTGGCCCGGCAGGAAGCTGCCCGGGGCCTGTGGCTGGTGCTGCTGGGCTGGCTGGGGACCTCCTTGGGCTCCTGGGTGACACTTGCCTCCTCTGCTTCAGAGTCGCTGCTGTCTTCATCTTGGGGTTCCTGCCCTGGGAGAAGCATTGGAGGAATCAGAAACAGACACATCATAACCAGGCCCCACTTTGTTTCCTCACGTTCTTCCACCAGATGTGAGAGACGAGACACGTAATATTTACAGTGAAGTTTAACAGGAAAACAAAGCCGGAATTTTTAGCAGGACTGAAGACAGCCAAAGAGCAGCCTGTATGGAAGGCTACTTCGGGCAAAACCCTCAGCCTGGCACTCAGTGTCTGTCACTCCCTGTGTCCAGTCTGCTTGGGGGGCCCTCAGGTGTTCTTCACACAGCCTTTCTTCCTCACACTGGTTCTGCACCTGGTGTTGGCTCTACGGAGGCCTCCCAGTGTCTGCATTCTGATGCTGCTGACTTTCAAGGCAAAGCTTCAAAACCATTTCTCTAAAATCTCACCCAATTCCCCCTGCTGAAAGCATTTTTCCTTTCTTACACTCTGTGGCAGTTCTGTGCCTTGCAAGTACTTGAAATCCCTGCCCTGAGCTTTGACATCTACACACTCCTTCTGAAGGCAGCAGAGGCAGGCGTGGGAGAAAGGGCTCACGTGCGGTATCTCGCCTGCTGCAGTCTAACTAAATGAGAACAAATAGAATGAGTTCCTGATGGAAGCTTTAGTCTGACATTTCGGTTTTTTTCTGCTTTCCACTGTCACTTTGCATTTCCTCACTTTGCATTTCTTGCTCTTGTGCAATCAGATCTCCTAAAGGAGAAGTAAGTATGTATCACTGAGAAAAAAAGGTGAGAAAGCAATAGCACATGCAGCCAAGCGTAGTGGTGCATGCCTGTAACCCCGCACTCGGGAGGCTGAGACAGAGACTCTAAGCCAGTCTGGGCGACACAATGGGGCCACGGCATAAACAACAACAACAATGTGAGCGTGCAAGTGCTAGGCCCTGTGAACACATTTCTTCTTAGTAGACAAATACATCATCTACCACTTCTCACGCTGTAGATGTCTGGGAGACAGACCTGAACAGTGTGGTACCCCAGGAGCTAATGATCCTGTGCCCTCAGGTCCTCAAACAGCAGGCCTGGAGATGGCTGGGATTCCCAGCAAGTCCCTGCACATCTCTCTGTTCACTGAAGTCCTACCTGAAGCCTCTGATGTCCGGGGTCCACCCTTCCCACAGGCTGCTCTCCCCTGCCTCCTCTGCCAAGCTCTGTCCACAGCAAGAAGACAGAGGAAGATGAGGACACAGAAGCTCTTCACCCAAATCTTTCCTCCTTCCACTCCACTTACTCATCCATCTGCCACTGCTACACCTTTGTTAAAGGCAGGAAACGGGCCTGCTTCTCCCTGGAGCCTTCCTTAGTGTCTGCAGCTTCTGGAAATCTCCAAACACTTACAGAGCTGAACAGAATTTCTACATCGCGGATACCCAGACACCCAGACACCTCCCTGGTGGGCGCGCAGTTGACGGTGTAGACATTCACTGTGTTAAAAGAAATGAAAGGATCCAAAGGGCCTCCCTGTGAGACCTTGTCTGCTTTCCAGCAGGGGAAGAGAGTGCTTTCAGCCTGCGCAGAGACGTGCTTTGTCTCTCTGGTAGCAAGGCTTTTCCCCTAGGAACATCCTTGCCTTGCCCAAGTGGCACCGAGTCCTCAGTGTATGGAATCAGTCACAGAAGAGGAAATCTGAGGGTCACACCAGAGGCCTGGTCCTGTCCTGGAGCCGCTGTTCTGCACAGGAGGCCACTGCTCTTGACATAACAGGCAAGCACACCTTGGCCCAGGCCCATGGCCATTTTCATTATTTCCTATGGAAATTATCTAGCTGTATCTTTCCCTGGAAAGGTCTCCAGAGCTTAGCAAAGAGAAAGTGGACCTTCTCCTTCAGCTGGAATCCTCTATAAGCAGGTGTGGGCAGGGATTCTGAAGGTGGACTCTGCCCTGCCTCCATGGACAGTTTACAGAGGTGGTGCCACCCTGTCCCTGCCAGCCAGATCTAGGCAGGGCATACGTGGTGCCAGATGTGGTGCAGAGCTGTCTGACCTGCCAGGCCATACCCTCCAGATCTGCTTTGTGTTTGCCAAGGGAGGCTACATCATTGGCACTGCAGGAAGCCCAAATGCAGGGCGCGCTATGGAGGCTGACACGCGCTGACCTGCTGCAGGTGTGGGCTGGTGGGCAGGAGAGAGCCCGGTAGGCAGTAACCTCCAGCCTCAGCTCAGGTGTACTCTGTCTGGTGTACACTTACCCTCAGTGAGCCCCAAAGGAGAGGAGACAGTGACAGATCAGTTCTGAGCAGCATTAAATACCTATTTGTGTTTCTGGACACTCTTCCTGCATCTCTAGGACTTCAGCAGGCTCGGGAGCTGGTGTTTCGGGGACTTGCAAGAATTCCATCCTCCAAAACTACACGTAGGGAAGCAGGGGAATAAAAGATGGTTACAAAACAGGTGCAGGAAGTCAGCCAGGTACTGGGTGAAGGGACGCTCGCTGGTAAATGGTCGCCTGTGACCGTGTATGTGAAGTGGCTGCCTTGCACAGTGGCCGTTTCAGGGTGGAAGGAAGAGGACAGTGTGGTCAGGGCAGCTTCAACACAGCTCTGCTCAGCACAGGAACCTCTGCTTCCAATAAGAGCTTCGCACCTGGCAAGTACCAGTGCACAGTGCAGACGCCCAGGCAGGCCCGTAGCCAGTGGGATCCACAGGGCCTGAGGCTGGGGGCTTTTATGAGTGCTCTGTGGTCTTGGCCCAGAGATCCGGGGAGGCGGCCAATAGCAGGGACACACCAGAGAGGGTGGCTGCTCCCAGCTCTGCCCAAGCATACAATTAAAGGAAACAGGCGTGAGAGAGAAAAACTCAAATATCTGAGTGGATCACAGAGGTAAGTCTACGCTAATTCTCCTTCCTGTAGAGGCCTGACATCCAGTGGACAGGACAAAGACAGACCATGCAGACTCTGGGCCTTGGGTGGAACCCTGCAAGGCTGGCCTACGAGTGGGTGTGCATGCTGAGCTGTGTCCAGCTCTGATCTCAGCAGAGGAGGCATCGCTGTTTCCCATGTCCCCAGTGAAGCCCCTGGACAGGCCCAAAATCTGGGGCTCACAGTCCACACTGACAGCACTCCCAGCCCGGCCCAGGGATCATCTGGAAGTGACCTCCTGTGTCAAGCTGCCCAGGGGTCAGTGTCTGTAACATGGTGGTCGAGACTTGGGGGGATCAGGGCGAGACACTGCCGAACAACATCACAATCTGTCTTGTTTCCTGAGCTTCTAGTGACCTGAAGAGCCAATCCTGTGAGAGGGCCTCTTGGAGCCCCTTACCCGAACCACGCCATCTGAGTGTCCCGTCACGATGACGTTCTGCGTGTCCCACTCGTTCATCTCTGACACGCAGCAGCACATGATCTGCTGGCTCCGCCCCGTGAATGTGTTCACGCTCACGATGGGGTTTCCATTGATGCTCCACACATGGATGTATGTGCCAGCACATGACACGATGTCCCCCTAGGGAGGGAAAGGGAGACCCTCACTCTCCTCATTCCCCTACAGGAAATGCTGGATCTCAGGCCTCAGACTAGAGGCTGAGTAATCCGTGGAACTCGGTGCTTGCTGACTCAGAAAAGACTTCCCACAAAGGCGCCGTAAGCGCTCCAAGTGGGGTGGCTGCTGCAGCCAAGCCCACAGCTGGAACCCAGAGGTAGGGCTGGGCCCCGCTTGCGCAGAAGGGAGAATCTCACTCCACTCAGGGCTCCCCCCAGCTGCGGGATCCTCACCCTCCACCCAGAGGTAGGAATCCTCCTCCCTTAACTCTTACAGCACGGGACCGACCTCTAAGCACTGAGTGTGGGAGACAAATTTCCAGTTCAGAGAGGTTGTGCCTCCTCTTCAAAAAATGAAACAGTCTTGGTAATACTCCAGGACTTTATTTTAACAGAGCGGGGAGAGTCAGGGAAAACAGAAGAAATGGGGAGCAGGGTCATGTCTGCCTAAGCAATCACTTATGTTCTCGTGAGTTCTGAAGTAGAAAAGAACAGGGCTTCCCGATGCCAGCGGGCTGGGATCCTCCACGGCTAATGGCAGCAGGTGTCTGTCATGGGCAACACTTCTGTGAGACCCTTCGTGACTCCTGGGGTTAGTGGTCAAGCCCTGATTTAGGGCGTCAAAGTTGAGGGTCAACAGCCTAAGCCACCTGCTGACATAACAGTCTAGACTCGAGGCCGTAAGCTGCACGGTGCTTTCCCTCCATCCTAAGGCGGCATGGTCCCAAGGCCAGGGGCTGGCTTCAGAAATGACCAGCCCGGCACAGCCCAGGGACACAGATGGCCTAGGGAATGTGGACGTGGTCCTCAAAGGCAGCAGAGCACCAGAATCTGACCAGCAAAGGTGGAGGACAGGCAAGGGTGGGGCTCCTGTGCCTGCCCTGCCCACGATTCTTCTCCAAAGGTGGCTGGAGACACAGCACAACCTGAACTGTGTACTTGGCAGAGGGCACGGTCCACATGTCTGTGTCAGCAGGTGAGTGTCACTGGTGACCCTGGACTCTGTGGGAGACCACAGGTGGCCACTAGACTTTCCCTGGTCAGCGGCTGCAAGGAAAGCACCTGAGGGCAAACCCTGATGTTGGGGGACAGGTGTGTCCCCAAATGCAAACTGAAGGAAAGCAGACTGGATGCTGGGGAGCTCTCCGCAGGGTAGAGACAGGATAAGCACATCTTAAAAAGGAGAAGCCTAAGTGCTTCTGGGGTATTTGTGCAACTTCTTCAGTGCAGTGGGTGGGCAGTAATGGCTCCAACAACGGAGCCAGAGTGAAATTCTCACATTCGGGAGCAGCCTCAGTGTGCCGAGTTCATGGGGTGAAGCCCTGGACCTGAGCAGCCCTGCACCCTGGAGAGCTCTTGAGGTGCTCATCTTAGGGCCCCCATCTTAGCGGGTGCTTGGATACCCGAACCTTCCTGATACATCGAGAGCCAAAGAGACTCTTCAGCCTGGGACATCCTCGCTGCCGCCCGATGCAGTCCTGCTCTCATGAACCAGACACTGAATTCCTTTCTCATTCCTTTTCCTGAGAGTAATTACCAGATATCGGACTGAAAACACACACCTGGCATCTTCCGGCAGATAGGACAGCAGCCCTTCAAAAGAAGTTGTGTGTGTGGAAGAGGGAAGGAGCAGGCTTCACCCAGGGTCACGGAAGTGGTGGGAAAGGGAGAGGAGAGCCAGGCAGGATGAGCGTGTGTGCATGTGTAGGACTCAAAGGTCAGTGCCAGAATCACTTACTCACTTTATATGAAATACTTTGGAGAGGAGAGGGTAAGTGCATAACTTGGGAATCTTTTAACAATTTTTCTCATGTCTGAGAACCCAACTTTGTGCAATAAAGAATTTGAATACACTTCACTAAAAATTTCAACAGAATTCTAACAGCTTAGTAAGTTCTTTATTTTTAAAAAAGCTTACTCTAGACCATTTTGCTTCATTTTAATAAAATCTTACTCTTTTTCAAGTACGTAGCAGTAAATGGATTTTAAGACAACACTGCTGAGTTCTGCATTTTAACACCCATTTGCTTTTCAGACAACACAGTAGTCACAGAATGAGGGGCTCCCAGCTTAGGAGTCATTTTTAAAGTGTCCCTAGCTCAGAGCCATTTGTCCTCCTAGACGTAAGCCGAGCAGGTGGCTCACTGCTTACCGTTAACTCGTTGATACAAAGGGCAGAGACTGGCGCTCGGTGGCCCCGGAGCTGGGTCAGGAAGGACAGCTTGTTCAAGTCCCAGATGATGCAGGTGCGGTCTCGGGACCCGCTGACGATTATGTGGTAGGCCAAGGATGCCGTGGCGCAGGTGACGGTGTCCGTGTGGCCCAGTAGGGCCTGCCAAGGAGAGTGGTGGCAAGTCAGTGGGTGGCAATGCCAGGACCCCTGCAAAACCCCAGGGGCTCCTGGATGCACCAGGAGACCTCAGGCTCCTGTGGGAGGGGCTCCCCTGAGCTGGTGCCCAGAAGCAGGCAGCAGAGCTTCCTCTCTCTCCTGGGCTGCCTGGGCCTCGGCCCACAGGCTGGCTCAGGACCCGGGGCATCTTTGCCCAGATGGGTGGTTGCTGGCCAGCAGTGAAGGAGTTCAGCTCCTTCCCTGGACACCAAGGACAGCACTGCTCTAGGTTCAGGTCTGGCCTTGGAGTCAGACCTGAATTCAAATCCTGCCTTTATCCCAAGTGTGGCTCTGGGCCTATTTTGTGAGGTTTCTTTGGTATGAGGTTATGTTTTTGGTGGTCCCTGAGAATGACCCCAGGGTCTCACATGTGTGACAAGCACTCCACAAAGGAGCTGCGACCTCAGCCTTTTTACATTTAACTCTGAGACAGAGTCTCATCGAGTTGCCCAGGTCGGTCTGAGCAATCCTCCTGCTTCAGCCTCCCAAGTGCTGGGGTGACAGGTGGGTGCCAGCAAGACTGGCTGCTGCTGTAGGTGTGCTGGTCACCTTGTAGGTTTAGGAGGAATGGAGCGCTATAGTTTTGAAACACCCAGAACAGTGCCCTGAACACAGCCATTGCTCCACAGATGATACTGTTATCACATTGCTTTTCAAATGCGCATCATAAACAGTTGCTCAGATGCATTCCCTTTCTTTAAAGAACACCTTATGAGAAATTCTCTCATAAATATTACAGGATGACTTGACAGGTTTTTGCTGGAAGCAAAAATTACAGATTCAGACACAGTACGGGGTCAGAAATACGTGTTAGCAGAATCATCACCAGCTGCACTGAATAAGGCAGAAACTGGCACACTCGGACAGAGTGATGGGTGGGGAAGAGAACCAGGGCTTGGTGGGCCAGCTGACTGCAAGACAGCTGCAAAGACATTAATGTGAATCAACAGAAATGTAATTTGGGTTTAAAGATTCAGTGTACTTATAACTTTTTTGAATACTTATTACTATTTTAAAAATACATTAACTAAAGACTGCTTCACATTTCAAACCCAGAAACAGTTAGCTGGGGTTTGGAAGCAAGATATTCTGATCAACTCCCCAGAAGAAGGGCCTTCCTAGCAAAGGGCATTTTTGGGTGTGGGCATGGTGCCTGACCATGGGGCCGGGGCTGTCGGCCTCTGGGGCGTCCACCCTGCACCTCACCTGCTTCAGCGCCAGGCTCTTGGCTCTCTCCTTGGAGGTGCCCACCTCCCACACGCACACTGCTGTGCTTGTGCCGCCTGTGATGACCAGCTTGGGGTTGGGGCAGATGGCGCAGAGGATCTGGCCCCACTCGGACAAGCACTCGTACACAGTCACTGCCTGTGGACAGAAGACCCATGAGACACGCACGAATTCCTGTGGCGCTCAGTAGAGGGCGAGGCCTGGCTCTCACCCTGGGCCAGCTTCATCTGCACGGAGCCTGGCCAAGACCCCAGAGCTTCTCACTGATCCATGCCCTGGGCCACCTTGAAAAGGACTCTGCTCATGATGGGAAGGGAGTGTACAGGTCTGGGTCTCCATGGGGCAAGATGGGGTTCAATTCCTCTGGTGCTAAGGCCAAGGGATGGCCTGGTGAAAGGCTTGTCGCTGTAGCTGATGAAAAGGCAGGAAGGGAGGACGGTAACCACAGCACCATAGGTTGTGAACTCCGTGACATCTGTCCACCACCCACCAGGGAACAGGGCACCGTCTGTGGGCGAACTCGGGTACCCTGCCTCCCAAGATCATTGTGGGAAGGGCTAATGTGTTCTCTCAGCAATTTTAGAGAATTAAAATGCCAAGTGTGCCCAAAGCAGCTAGGCCTGGTTGGCAGAAATGGGCCCCTTGTGGCCATGACTGTTTGGAGGAAACTCTGCCAGCTGGATGGGAACCGCCCACAACTTTCCAAAAGGGGCTGGCTTCTCTGCCAGCTCCCTGATCTCGACCTGGAGCAGTGCTGTGCTCCTTTCCCTGGCCTGGGGAGAAGTTGGACAGGATGGGTGGGGGGCAGCGACTATACAGACCCTGGCCAGGGTCCCTCCACTGCAGGACATTTGGGCCTGGAGAACAAGGTGAACTCGGAAGCAAGGAACAATGCGAACCTTGTCTGACTCATAGGTTCCCAGCCTGCAGCTGAGGTCTGCATAGCCCCAGGCGAAGGTCTTGTTCCAGGTGGGTGGGATAAGAACCTTGTTCTGCTCCACTGCAAGGATGCCTTTGTCTGTGCAGACTATCTGTCCCACAGGCTCTTTGAGTTCTGCCGAACAAACAGATCATTGCATTAGGGCAGGGGCAGGGAAGCGCTTTTAGCAGCCCACAGAGAATGGGAAAATGACCTAGAATATGAAAATGAAGCAACCAACGACAGGAACTGATACCAAAGGCCTCGGAAGCAGAGCCTGGCCTGCGGCCCCTGTGACACCTGCTGGAGGCGCCCTCAGCCCTGAGGGACGTTCTGAGGGGCTTTCCTGGCCTCACACAAAGGCCTGGGGACCCAGATCCACAGGCACTGAGTGTCTTACACTTCCGAGCAGGAGCTGGCCTGGACCTTCTGGGAAAGCCCACGACAGCCTGAGGGGCAGTGGCCGGACAGTCCCAGACACCGCCCAAGCCTGAGACTGCTGGTCACCTACTGAGGTATCCAGGCTGATCTTTGTGAACTGACAACCACACAGCTTTATGAAATGTGTTTTTTTTTTTCATTTTAACAGAAAAGCTCTTCTATCTGAAAAACAAAAACAATGCTTTTGGATAACTCACAGAAACATTAAACAAAAGATGGATGTTTTTGGTTGACACACTGAAAAAACGATTCCTTTATTTCTATTTCGGTGCAGCAGGATTTTATTTAAATAAAGATAAAAAGATTTCTTTTCCTGCAGGCAAAGTTGACATTGCAAAAAATAGGAAAAAATATAAACACCAACAAGCATTAAGCATCAACACAAATGTATGGCCCTCACTGCCACCTGTAGGACTGCTGCAAAGCAAACCCCGTCACTGGTGGACAGGGGCTGGTCAGCAGACCATCCCCTCACACCGAGGTGACCACGCCTCCCCTGGGCTCACCTTTCACAGGTGTGAGTGAAGGCCGAAGGTTGTCCAGGTGATGGAAGAAGATCTTGTCGTTCGTGCAGCCCGGAGGGACGGAGACTCCTGCATTGTCACCGTTGAGTCGGCTCCGGACTCGCTTTGGGGGGTGGGGTTTCTTAAACAACTGGGAGGGACAAAGAGGACAGGGATGATAACAGAAGCCAGCGTGTGTTAGCCATACCACAAGGGCTTGGCACACACGGCAGGTGCAATCCATGTTATTTCATCCCAGCTTCACAATGAGCCTTAGAGACTGGTACTGAGCCCAGTTTATACTGGAAGGAAGAAATTCAAAGGGTTAAGACCACCAGAGAACTCAGACCTCACTAGGAAGGGGCAGGACTGTGATCCTAAAGCTTGGGTCCTGACCACGTTCTGTGCTGAGCTAAATGAACTCTCCGAAAGAAAACCCATATACTCAGACTTAGAACTCAGATGAAGTGAGACTTCGCACAGATACAACCCCATCATCCTTCGTGAACCAGATGCTTGCTCTATGGGACAGGTGGGGCCCCTAGACCTAGAAGTGTTTTCTTTCTATCTTAGCTCTGGGCAGAAGCACAGGCCAGTGTTCTGTTACATCTACAGATCCTAAAGTGGTGAAAACGAGACACACACTGCAAACATTTACTGCCGAGCTTTTAGACGAGCAACTGGGAGGAGCGCTCACCAGAGCAAGGGCACAGAGCTGGGGACACGGTGCCCATAAAACCCAGGCTTTCTAAGTTGGTGAACCATGCTCTGGCGCTGTGGTGAGTCCCAGAAACACGCACGCACCCCACGCCTCCTCCCAGTGCCGCCCTCTTCCAGGCCAGTGTGGTGTGAAGCTCTGCAGTGCCCCAAGCATGTTGACGTCTCCCACACTCCTGCCCGTGCAAACATATGGGAAAAAGGCAAGATTTAGCGAAAGGTGTAAGTGAGATTTCCAGCTGCTGGTGGGGTTCCCATGCAAGCCTCTGCTCAGAAGTGAGCCCACTGCCTTTGCTGGGGGATCAGAGCACACCGTACCCCATGTGGGACCAGCCATCCTGGCTTTTACACAGACATACCACTGTCCTGTGTGCTCCAAGTACCAACCTTGGAAACCTGAAAGTTGGCCAACCTACCGAAAGGTGCTCCAGGAGAGACTGAAGCAGGATCAGAGAAAGTAGTTAGAGTACAGGACCAAAGCACAGAGCCACAGGCGGTCAGGACAGGAGGGCAGCTGGAACAGGTAGCTGGAGATCCTGCACTGTGGTTCCTCTGAGTCATCAGGACGTGGCTCTTGGTCGTGGACTGCCATGGTGAAGCAGCTGCTGCCAATCTGGGGCACTGCTACAGCTTCTCCTTACCTGCACCGGCTTGGTCACTGGCCAAACTGCATCAGCCAGTCCCTGAGACTCCCCGACAGCTCTAGCCTCTTCTGCCCTGAGCTCCCTGCCCTTCGTGTGTATGACACTGAGGCCAGAGTGGACAGTATGAACCGGCTGGGATGACCTTCCCTGCCTGAAGTAGGACAGAGTGCATTTCTGTGTGCTCGGTGGTCTGCAAGGCCCCACTGTGGGTATCTGAACACAGACAGAAAATCACACCTGGCTTGTCCGAGATGGGAACATTTTTGTTCATGGCAAGTGAGAGAGAGGAGAAAGCGGCACTCCTGAACCTACTGACAGGATGGCAGGCCTGATGGCTCCTTACTGCCTCATACTGCACCTAAGGCCGCCTGCACAGCTACCCAAGGGACACGTGGCATCCGGGACACGCGGGGGAGCGAACCCAGGACATGGGAGAACATGCCGCACCTGCTTGGGAATCTGGCCAAAGTTGTTGATGAACCCAATGGTGGCTGTCTCCTTCAGGGGGTCGTTGATGTTGTAGATGTCCACTTGGCCCTCATAGAAAAGGTGGTGGAAGACGTTGACAGCGTCCACTGCTGCGGGGCCCTGCTGCTTGTAGCCAAAGATCAGATCGATCCACTCGTGCAGGTGGGCGCTCACGTAGTCACACTCTAGGGCCTGTGGGTCCAAAAGAGGCAGTCACGGGCCACTCCACAGCCTGCCCGAAAAGTCGAAAGCCTTGGCTAGCCCTCAGGAGGGCTAGCTAAAAATCAGGGAGCGCTAGCCACCTCAGGGCATGGCAACACACTGCTCCCGACCTCTCAGGACAGGACCACGGTCGCTGACTGAGCAGAGCACTGTCCTTACCTCACGGTGGACGCGGATGAACTCCCGAGGGTCCCCTTTGGCCCAGGGTGGAAGGATGACGTCTCCGAGCTTCGTGCCGTTCTGTTTACAGCCTGTGCGATTGGATACATCATAAAGAAAGTGAAAGAATGGGGAACATGTGACTTCACGGCAGGCAGAGAGATGGGGGCATTAGGGTCACTATCAGGCAGAGAGATGGGGGCATTAGGGTCACTATCAGAGCTGCAACAACTCCCCACAGAAAAGCCCCTGCTACCTGCCAGCTCCCGAAGGCTGCCCCTCAGGGATCTGCTCTGTGCAGGCGGCACCGGGGGGCCTCTGCAGGAAGCGTGAGTGCCCCTTCCCTGGGGTTACCCTCAGCTTCCCAAAGACTATCACCAGTGGGCCTTGGAGAGACATGGCTCAGCTGCAACCCCAAACCCATTTAGATGCTGAAAAGTGCCAGCACTGCAACAACCGTGAGTACTGCAACTTCAGTTCAGAACAGACAACTCATACAATTCCCATCCTCTGCTGTGAAACGAGAGCACGACAGCATGTGTGCCATGAGTCTGCCATGACCGTCCTGTGCTAATGGGCACAGTACTTCAGCAGGAGCCACCTGGGCGCACAGTCCTGAAGGCCAGGCCGCAGGGACCCTTGGGCAGCCTTCTGTGAGGACACTGTTTGGAGTCTCCTGCGGTGACTGAGGTACCTGAGGTTTTGCATATGTTTGACACTTAGTTCCCGAGGGAGCTCTGTAAAACTGAGACACATTTTGTAGTGATGACTCTCATCTAAAAAATACAACTTTTTGCTGTTCTTGGATCATTTAACAACAACATAAAATTAGAAAAGACTGCAGCACCACCTGGCAGAAATGAAAACTATGTGATTGAAACAGACAAATATCTATTCCAGGTTAGTTGTTATTTTAAGTCACAGCAATGTATCTCTGAAGCACCAGAGAAATCATTTGCTATAAAACCTAACCATAAAATACACGAAGTGGAGTGGGTATCTGAAGAAACAAGTTTTCTTTCTTTTCTCTTTCTGGAAAATAACATCAAGGCTACAGAGTCCTTCCAGCTACAAATCAGATTTTCATTGTAAAAATGTTTATAAACAACAATGCTGACTCACTAGTCTCACCACGGTTGGTTTGATAAACAGTATTAAAAATTTCACAAATCTTAGGACACAAAGCCAATTCTAAGTGAGAGCCAATAAAAACATTTCCTTTAGTAACCATTTTGTCTTCATCATTGTTATGGGATTATTTAACAGTATAACACTGAGTCAAAGATCAGTGTATTGACCAGAGGAATGTCTTGACTTGGTTAGAAAAATTATTGTATCTTGTTTTGGACAGGGTCTACTCATACAGTCCAGGCTCAGTGAATGCTCAGTGATCCTCCTGCCTCAGCCTCCCAAGTGCAGTGATTACAGGTGTGTGCCACCACCATGCTCAGCTGAGAAGTTACCATGTAAGTCAAGACAAAAATAAAGCAAGTTACCACAAGCTCAATGGGGTTCCCTGCAACCACATTCACTTGCACCTTGCCTCTCATCTCCTTGAAGGCTGTCTAGTTCTAATTTTCTAGGTTAAAAATCCCACTTTCCCAAGATACACGCCACTGTTAAGGCTGTGTCTAGATGTCCTCCTAAAGCCCTCACGGTCACAGGTAGGGCTTCTCAGAGGTGGCTGGATCTAGGGTGTGTGACGCTGGGGTTGGTTCGTGGTGCAATGCTGGGATCTAGGGTGTGGCTAAGATGTAAGGGACAGAAAGAGGCTGGTCACTGGTCTCTTATCCTTGGCACTTCTGCCTGCCATGAACTATTTCTGCTCTGCAGTGCCCCTCTGCCAGGCTGCCTTGCCGTGGAGCTGGCTGCCTATAGACTGAAACCTCTACAAACTGAGCAAGATAAACCTTTCCTCCTTTACCTTGCTGGGTATTTTGCCTCAGCAATGAAGAAAGGAACCAATACAAAATGCTGCTCCAATTCCTGAATAGTGATGTGGTATGACTTTGAGAGCAGCCTGGAGCGCAGCTTTAAACCGATGCATGCAGAGAGCAGGTCTCACTCGGACCCGTGCTGCTCCCTGCTGTGAGTACCCGAGGTCAGCAGGACACAAACACTGCAGTGTTTGGGGGTCCAGGTGCTCTTGTCATTTCCTTTTATGCCATTTATCATTTTTTCTTGGTGGAGAGGCCAGCATTGTTTGCTTTGTGTTTTTTTCTATCGATGTGAAATTCACACAAACACCATTAAACCATTTTAAAATGAATGCATACTGGCATTTAGCACATTCCCAGTGTCACATGACTTCGGTATGCACCTAACTGCAGAGCGCTTTGTCACTGTGAAGAAACCTTGCACCCACCACGTGGCTGCCCTTGTCCATGGTAGCCACCAGTCCATGCTCCATCTCTGATGGGTCCATCAGGTTATTTCCCAAGAGAGCAGCCACAACCACCAGCCTCATCCTCATGGCAGGAGGTCTACAGGCTCTTGCAGCGCTGTAGTTCTGGCTTCTGAAGGCAACTAGGTCCGGGACACTGCAGCTGCCCAGCTGTCAGGTCAGCTAGAAGCAGCTCCGGGGGTTCAAGACCCAGAAAGTCCACTTCCTGCTTTGCTTGGCTCCCCGGCTGCTGTGACGGGAGCGGCTTTCCTCTGTCTAGGCTGCTTTTAGGTTTCAGGCTGGTGGACCTGGGAAGATGGTTCTGAAACTGGGAGCCCAAAGAAACCTCTTCTCCATTTACTTCTGGGTCTTGGGTGTCTCAGTGACAAGCAAAGTGGCTACGACAGATCTGGAGAGACCCCGAAGGTATGGCACAGGCTAGGTCCCTGGCTTGGTGCCTGTGGACATGGGGCCCAGTGGGGCATCTCCAGTCACTGTGGGTATGCCCTTGAAGGAACAGAACAGTTCGGCCCCTATTCCCTGCTTGCTTCAGGCCATGTGGTGAGCAGCTCTGTGTATGAGTCCCCATGCCGAGCTGCCACACTGCAGCCCCCATGAGTGGCTGCCTAACCATGGACTGACACCTTCCAGAAAAGCCAAGAACCCTTTTCTCTTTATAGGGCGGTTACTTCAGGTCTTACTTACAGTAATGGAAAGCTGACACATCCACGTACTGGCATTTGGGCTCTAGGACCGCACTCACAGCGGGCATCCATCAGCATCTACTCACCTATTCCCACCTTGATAGACAGCCTAGCTGGTCTCACTATTTGGCTATCATGAATAATACTGCTATATACAAGCTTGTGTAGGTACAGTAAGGCCTTGATTGCTTCTGTTTGCAAATAGTTTGGTTTGCAAACAAAAATATTCAGGAAAATTTCACTTTCATTTGTAAACTCTGCATCAGGTGGCAAACAACCACATCTTCCCCACACAGATGCAAACGCAGCCTTCTTGCCCCCAACTGTAAAACAAGTTATTGTACACATACCAGTACCCCTGTGCTTGCTTCTAACCTATATTCCTAGGGGAACTGAAGGGCCATATGATGATGACCTTAAGTTCTGAGGAACTGGAGAAGTTCTTTCCATAATGATGGAAATATTTCTGTTCCGTTCTCAACAGCATTGTAAGAGTGTTCTAATTTTTCATATCCTCGCCAATCCTTGTTTCCTGGGGTTCCCCTCCATCCTAGCTGTCCTAGTGGATGTGAAGTGGTGCCTCACCCTGGTTTTGACCCAGAGCCCACTTGGGACTGAAGAAAATGGACACCTCCATCCTTGCCCACTGGCTGTTTACAGAACTTCTCTGGAAAAATGCTGTTGTAAGTTCTTTGCTCATTTTTCAACTGGGTTGCTTTTTGTGTTGAATTTTAAGATTTACACTGCAGGTATGAGATTCTTTTCAGATAAATCCTGTGCTTCTACTTTCTCCCATTTGGTAGGCTGTCTTCTCTTTTTTGACAAGATCTCTATGGTGGATTAACTAATGGTCACTTGTAACACCCAGCTGAACTGAGTAAGCGTGGTTCTGGGTGTGGAGGGCCCACCTGAGGGTTGCTGCCAACAGCATAAAAGGAGAACCACAGGGGAAGATGTTGCACTGTTGATTCTCCTGGAGAAGCTTGTCACGCTGGCTTCCCAATATGAACTCAACTGTTATCATCGGGGGAGCTCGGGTCCTCACTGTCACTGAGGATGGCTTCAGGGGGTGCTGATCCTTACCTTGAGCATCATGTCCGGCTCGCAGATTTTTCACCCTACTGGCACAGGATTTCTAGCTTTTGTCACTGACCTTTGAGCCTTCCTTGTACAGATCCTCGATACAGACTTGCACAAGACATTGTCATGGGCTCTAGCCTTCCAGTTGGACTGGTGGAGGACATGACCATGGGCTCTAAGCCCTCAGCTGGATTCTAATGTGTACAGATCTCCCACACTCTTCGTTTGACTCTTTGGGTGAATACTATAAAATAATCTTATAAACTATGTGTCCTGTATTAAATCTTTTCCCTTGTAAGCCCTGAATACAGCAATCTCTTTCTTGACAAAACTTTCAATTTTGACTTCATTTTATCATTTGCTGATTGTGCTTTTGATATCATATCTAAGCATCTACTGCCAAATTCAAGATCATAAAGATCTCCTCTTGTTTTCTTATGCAAGTTTATGGATACTATTTTTAAATGCAGTGTTTTCTTTTTGTGTTTGCTTGTTTTTTGCAGTGTGTCATTTTAAGAAGGGAAGATGATGTGCCATGAAGGTAAAAGCCTGTTTTTAGGTGCTTATTTTAAAGAGGATTGTTTAGGTCTGTAAGCTGTCTAGTTGGGATGGCTGCATCATAATTCTCACAGCTGACAGTATTTCTGGAAGACTAGGAGAGTTTCTTTCTGCACCCCTCATATCCGTCTCTAGCAGGAAAGCTACATACACGTCAAGGTAAACCCTGAGAGAACACCAACACAGTTCACGCACAAACACCCTGACACCCTAGCCACCCCTCCCCCGTGCCTGTAAGCCAGCTCTGGCCCACGAGGGAGTCCCCATTGCTACTGGACCTGCAGAAAGCCCTGCTCTGCCTCAACAAGGGGGCTGCTCCTTAAATATATACAAATTACTTTTGAAAAATGTAAAATAGAAAATGATGAAAATTTAGAAGGAGTATTATAATGATTTATATGCTTAACACGTAAAAATTGTATAAAAACTTATGAAATAAAAAAAGAACAAAGAACTGTATCTGGCAGGAAAGCTGTAACATGAATCAACGGAATTCTGATGTGTTTTCAAAGAAATACTCGGAAACACAGATCAGCAAATTGTGTTCCAAGAAACTAAACAAAGTCAAATCTATTTCTAACGCCAGATAATATAAAAACAGTACTGATAAAATTTCTCTCCTTTCTATAAATGCTGATTTAGGTGTTTTTCTAGAAAGAGCCTAACAGGATACAGAAAAGTTATTCTGAAATTCTAATTTTAAAGCACATCAGCATATAAACTAGAGTGCCTTAGAAATAAACAAAGTTAAAACAGTCCATGAAAATGGGCATAGCTCTTCTAGGTTATCAAGGGTTTTCAATGGTAACAGTTTTCAAATAAATCTCACTTAACCTGTGTTTTCTCCCGAAACAACCACATTGTGAACATGAGACGTAACCTGTGTAATCCGAAAATGTCTCCCAGACTTCAGGTTTAAAACAGCCTTTCAGGGCTTTCCTTTTTGGACTTAAGTGCACACCATCAGTGTCAGTAAGAGTAACTGTGACTGTAGGGAGATCATTTCCACGAAGCTCGTGCTGCACATGATCTCCAGAAGGGGGACTCCCTTCCAGTGGCCCCTCCCCGGCCGACACCTCTAGATGGTGCCTGAGCTCTCCGTACCCAGATCGAAGTTGTTGGAGTTGAACAGGAATTCTGGTAAGTAGAAAAACTCTGGGATGAGCTCCTTGACATCTGCCATGTTGTGCTTGGAGGCTGAGTACCAGGCCTCACGTACGCTGTGGAACATTCTGTCTGCCAGGTCGAAGTGGCCGCCCTGCAGGCAGAAGGAGATGGGCTTCGTCACCAGGGAACCACTCCCCCCATGCAGTGCCTGCTGTGCTCAAGGTCTGGAAAACTTTAGTTCCCTTTCTCAAGATTTTATGTTTAAATACATAAAATTTTAAATAGGCACAGAAAGAAAATTAATTCTTTCTCCAGGACACGTTAGGAAGGGTGCACAATGTATTTGTTTTACAATTAAAGTGAAATCCAAATATGAAGATTTTAATGAGTTGTTTAAAATATTAATTTTTTTTTGTCTTTCTGAGACAGGCTCTCGCTATATGCAGTTCAGGCTGACCTTGAAGCTACTGTGTAGCCCAGGCTGGCTTGAACTCACAATGATCCTTCTATCTCAGCCTAGGATTACAGGCATGTGCCACAATGCCCAGCTTAAAATATTAATTTTGGAGAACAGGATAAGGCTGGAGGAAGTAAGGTGGCTGAAGGCCTGCATCTGCCCGGCCCACTTGGTCTGCACCTTGTCCCTGTCCTGAACTATCTTCCTCAGCATAGCCACTGCCCACCTCCTTTCCCTGACCTGTACTTCTCTGGTGCCTCTGATTACATTTTTAAAAAACTTCGGCACTGACAACTTGGCTGTCTCTCTCAACTAAAATCTATAAACTCTGCAGGACAGGGCTCTCGTCTTTCTTCACTGACGGTTGGCCAAGTGTCCAGGTCAGTGCCCTGCATACAGGCCAGTACTGCCTTGCTGAGCAGATGAAAAAATGGTTGAAAAGCAGCAGATGGGCTAGAATGTCGATTTTTTTTTTTCCTCTAACATTGGCTGAATTCAGCAACCAACTGGGGCTACCTTTCCTCTATCTGGCTACAGAGTATACACTATTGCTTATTTAACTAACAACTCTATTGATTCTACATGAATACATCAGACATCAGTGCTGCTCAAACAACCTTCCCCTCTAATTCTGCTTGACCACTTTGTCATGTCCACTTCACAGGGCTTCCTGCAACCCAAGACAACAGCATTTTGGAGCACGGGCCTTAAATGAAACGCAGGCTTGGTAGAATGGTCAGGCTCACAGTGCAGAGTTTTACCTGCAGCCTTAAGAATATCTGTGTGAAAGGCTCCATCCTCACAAGGTAGGAGGCCACGATCATTGCAGAGGAATAGTGGGTCCCGTAGTGGTATGCGGGAGTTTCTCCTGCGCCGAAAGGCAAAGCACCATGGAAAACAAGAGAGGCGAAACGGAAAATCAGATCGGTGTTACTAGGTTTGGAGAGGCTAGGGGATGTGACTCCTGTACCTGTGACACACTGGCATTGGTAGCAGGGAGCTTCCCAGTGACCCCCTACCTCCCCTATGTCTCTGTGGCAACCCGAAGGTGTGATGCAGCAGGCTGTCCTTCCCTCAAACTGTGCTGCAGGGTCCATGGGAAGCAGGCAGCCCTTGGCCGCAACCCACATCCATGGAGCAGAGCACCAACTGACAGCTCCTCTGTACTAGGCTCTGGCTTTGGAATTAAATATCCCTCTAAATTGTTATCTATGATACACATTTAACATGTTCTCCTTGCGGAAGGGAAGGGAGGAAGAGAGTCATACACTGAAATAGACATGGAGACCACTTAGGCATTCTAAGAACAGTCCTAAGTCTCTTTCCTCTTTCTTCTGCTTGTGGGGCAGAGTCACATGATAAATATTAAGCATTGTAAGTAACACTAAACATTACGAATGACAAGTAACTGTATGGTCTACGATGGCAATCAATACATCTTTTTGAAATGCAAAAGGGCCCAAAGAGTGCCCTAATAAAATCAGAAGCGAGCCAATAATGAAAATGTAGCTCTTAATATGATTAGAGAGAGGCAGATAACAACGAGGAATTTCACACACATCGATGTACAGGCAACTCGAAGGCACAGGTAAGGGCACCTGACCAGCAGGCGGTGTCTCACCACTGGAGCCTGGTTAGGGAGCTCAGGGACAACACTGCACACTCACCATTAGGGTCCTCCCAGTCCTTGTACCGTTTCTTATACTGTGCTAACCGCTCATCCGTCTGCGCTCCCATGGGCTTTGCCAGGTTTCTGAAGGTCTTGGGGTTGGTGAGATCCACCTCCTGCAACGCAAAGCAAGACCAGGCTGGTTACGGGGCACCCCATGTTCTGACCACTTGGGCACCATAGCCGTGCTGACGCCCACAGTGCTGTGTGCCCACTGCCTGCTGGCACAGGAGGTAGACAGACAAACTGGCAGCGAGCCTGCTGACCACTTCTCTGTGCAGACACTGTGCTGGGCTTATTTCTTTCCCAGGGAAGCACTCAAGATCCAGGCTTTGGGGAGATGACTGAGGGAAAAAACTCCCAGGTCTGGTCCAGCACATGGAAGGAGCCCCGGGACACACAGCTCTAACTTCCTGTTAATGGCATTACCCTCATCCCTGTGACAGAATTTCCTTCCCACGCCTCACTTCGGGGATCCTTCTGACTTCATTCCTGACGATTGCCTTAGGGGCCGTCTGAGCACGACACAACAAAGACTCAGCAACCTTTTCATCCCAAAAAATAGCCTATCAACATCTTTCTTTCTTCCTTTTTTTCCCCCCTGGAGATAGGGTCTTGCTAGGTAGGTCAGGCTGGCCTCGAACTCACTATGTAGCCCAGGCTGGCCTCAAATTCACAGCAATCCTCCTGCCTCAGCTTTCACAGTGCTGAGATAACACGTGTGCACCCAGCAAAAATAACATCCTGGATCAAGAGCCTTGCAAATGAGATGAATCTCACAGCTACAAGAGATTATTTCAAAAGTTCATATATTTAAAAGGAAACCCAAATTTATCCCCTAAAGGTTTTAAAAGTAGAAATTTAAAACCTGGCTATTGGATATTTAATGTGTATTCTTCCATAAGGCAAAATGACTAATTTTGGGCAGGAGAAACTAATCTACAATCATGAATATAAGTAATTGCCCGTATCCTCGAGAAATCAACACCATGAGGAGTACCTCATTTACGCCAAAGCCCACGAACACTGAAGTGCTGACTAAGAACCAGGCATGCTCCGGGCTGCGAGCTGGAGGGTACCCGAGAGGCGCCCATGCCAGGACCTTACAATCGAGTAGCCTTAGACCATGAGTATTTCTACAGAGGAGTCCTCTTCCTCTAGGAGAAAGGACTGACTGACAAAGGAAAGAGAAGCACTGTGACACAACCAGAAGGCAGCTTGGGAAGAGCAGCAGACAGGGGAGAAGGAAAAGCAGCTCCCTCTGCAGAGGTCCATGGCAGACAGGAGAGAAGGAAAAGAAGCCCCTCTGCGGAGGTCCATGGCGTGTGCTGGAGCTGCTGGAGTATAAGACAGGCAACTGGGGTGTCACAGGAAAGCATTGCTGGGGACCACAAAGGATTCACAGGCAGGGACTACTGAGGTTTGTTTTCATTTCTGCAGTGCTGGGACAGAACTTGGGGCCTGGCGCATGCTAGGCAAGGGCTCTACCACTGAGCTACAGCCTCAGCCTTTTTGAAAACTTTTACCAGATTCTAGGGTCATTCACTGAGCAAAATTAAATAGGGGGTACAAACTGGCCACAGTGCAGAGGACAGAGAAGGACACATCTAGGCAAGAGGCTGTTGTGATGGTCCATGGAAAAACAGCACATTACAAAGGCAGCCCCGCCCAGGCAACTGAGCCAGGCAGAAGGTGGGCACCCCGCCCTGAGACCAGGTCACACAGAGCAAGGGCTGCCCCTAAGTCTGGAGAATGAGGTAGAGGACAGGTTTGGAAGTGGACTGGCAAGCTCCTGCAGGACGGGAGTTCCAGTACATATTTATACAGTTCGCTGCCCACAGAAATGCATTTTCTTTGGATTTCCTGCCCCTAAATAACTGTACTTTCTTCTTTACTTCCTTGGTTAACTTCGTTTTATCAGCCTTTTCTCTCAACTATCCCGTCCTTCTATGACACTCACGTCTCACCCTAAATGTGCGCCAGCCTGACCAGTAAGCACACCTGTGGTCAGTGGCTCTGGACACCAAGGGTACTTGATCACACTGGTGCAGGTAGGGTTTCACTCATCACACGAATGTTCTCCGAGAACAGAATCATCACCTTCCTTTCTAATGCTATGATACAATTTCTGATGTAATAGGCAGCTCTGATCCTAGCGAATAAGACGCTCCAATGCATTTCTGAACTTGAGTATTATCTCTTTTGCTTGCTCATCATGGGCCAAGCGAGCTTCCCTTGTTCTGTCTTGTTGCTAACTCATCAGAACTAAACAGACCTCTGTCAGGAGGCAAAGGAAGAGAGGAAGCATGGGACTTGTAGATGTCTACTTCCTGTTCCTTTGACCCCTAAGTCACATGCCTGCTGCCTGGGAATCTTCCAAGCCTTCTTGAAGAAGTACAAAACACTCTTTTTATGTGGCAGGGACATTCTGCAGAAAAGCCATTTCGTATTTCTTGAGCAAAAATTCAAACTACTCAGATGGGTTCTGACATTTGGGGAAAGTGACTGTGATTTAATGTCCAGTCCCCACTGACTGAGTCAACTTTCTAAACCTTTTCTATGTGCAAGCTAAAATGCTTCCCCTCTTCTTGAAATAAATCAGTGTCTTTGCCTGGGGCACCCCATTTCCAGAGCAGAGAAACCGTCTGGCAACCGCAATAGTGTTTGGTTGTCTCTGAAAATGCATCCCCGTGGGGAAAACGAGGTCAGGTTACCTCCGAGTCGTAATCTGCGAGGATCCAGGGGAACACAGGGTACTGCATGAGATCGTTGTAGGACCTCCCAGCCAGCGTGTTCAAGTGCATCAAATACTGGAAGTTGCTGATTTCACCTCTCTTGTGAGAAACAATGAAGACTCATTTTAGAACAATAGAACATATTCTCACTGTGTTGTTAGAAAGTTTATATGTAAATGAGATAAAGCATGGCTTCTTTTTAACAGGTTTCAGAACAATACACTTTTCCCTAATCATAATATGAAAACACATTTTCCCTAAGGTATATGTTTTACGGATTATGTGAATACTTTGGTAGATGACTAAGGCAGCTTACTTATGCGTTAAGCTTACCTCCCACCTCTGCGTCACAGACTTCTCTCCAACCAGGGTACTGAGTAACCCAGAGCTACAATGACAGAGGGTAACATAAGTGGCAGGCAACACAGTTTACATCTAAGCAAGTACTGAGTTAAAAATTTTAAGTCACTTGGTCCAGGAAATTTTCACACTATGGAAGACTTATTAATGCTTTATGAAATCATTTTGGCAGGCTGTGATCAGCGTTCTGAAATAACATAGAATTCAGATGAAGAAGAAAAGAGAACACAAGAAGGTACCACACACACTAAGGGAAAGTACTTCCTGTGAATTTTGTTTTAGTACTTATGGAGTGGGTTGTATGTCCTGGGATGTCATGCAGTAATGTAACATACTTAAATGTATGTCTTGGTCAACAGAGTTGAAAAACCACTGATGCAGCAGTAGAAGGTTTACTGTAATCTTAGTGAACATTCCAGATATGTGCTGCTGGGGAGGTAGCTGAATGGCATACGCGCCTGCCTGGTAAGTGCAGGGTACTGAGTTTGATTCCAGGTGCCAAGCAAACAAAGACATGTAGTGGAAGAAATGAAATATCACACAGTATTTCTCACAGAGCAGGTTCCTGGTACATTTCCTAACACAGTTATTGAGTAAGTCAATAAAAGTCGTTGCTGTTCAAGATCAGTTAAAATTTATGCATTACTTTTTGCATAGCAGATTTTCTTAAAATTGTTATCAAACCTATATAAGGTTTACTAGGCTTATAATACTGATACTTAATAGTTGACAGCAACTCTATTATCTCCCTGGGTTTGCAAACATAAACACATTTAGCCTAGTGACACAGATATCAATTTCTACCTCTAGATAAATTCTTCCAATCATGTGAACTAATCATACAGGATTTTCTCCTTGGAAAAACAGTTAAGGTAATGACCTTAATAGTTAAGGTAGTGACCTTCAGCTTCAAGACAGAGACAAGTGAAAAAGAAGAGCAAGGTTGGGAAATGAATTTCTGAGCTTTTAAAAGTCTTTTTTTCTTTTTTAAATTGCCAGCTCAGCTGAGAAGCAGTGAGGATAGCAGAATACCAAGTTTTCGATGAACCAGATAGGCAGAGAAGTAGGTAGACCAAGTAGAAAAAGGCTCCATATGCTTTATGAAAACAATTTACTTCCTATATTTATGTTAACCACAAAAATGATTAGCTTAAATGTATTTTGACGTATACAGACTGGAATAAAATTTAATTTTCAAATTACAGAATCCCTAGCAAATCTTTGCCACTTGCTTGCATTCAGTAGTAATTAATTTGAAGCCAAAGCACTGTTGCAAAGGGCTATGAATCAGTGACTGTGAGGGGAAGCTATGGTGTGGGTTCTTGAAGTGATTCCTCACCCAGAGGGGTCTCCTGAGACAGAAAGGGGCTCTCAAGGAGCACAAAGGGGCACAAAACAATGCATGTTTAAATTCATTTATTGATTGATTTTTGGTACCTAGGATCAACTCACTACCTCGCACTTGACAGGCAGGTGCTTATGCTGCTGAGCTAAACCCCTGACCTGAGATGTTTAAAGTTAAATGTTGGAAAAAGGGAAAGGAAAGCAGGGCACTTTGTAACAAAGAGAACAAGCCAGGAGTAATAAATATCTTATTAAGGATAAATTCCCTATAGACTAAAAATAACTCAAAGGAAAAACAAGCCAAAGATACAAGTAACTTACAAATCATGAATAAAAATGGCCAACAAACATATATGGAGTTTATTACTAGTGAAATGCACATTTAAAAATGAGTAAGCATCTTTAAATCAGTAAGATTATATAAAGCTGGCAAATACCTACTGTGACAAACTTTAATAATGGTGGAATTTTCTAAGAATGATGTAATATAAGCTTGTACAGTTTTATGGATATCAAGTTGGTTTTGAGTACCAAGAGTCTTAAAAATCATACAATTTATTTTACTAAGGGGCTGACTGAACTCTATCAAAATAATAACAAATCAACTTTCTAGTATTTTGACAGGAAAATCTGATAGAAATGAAACACCAAAAAAAATACAAGTAGCAAATAAAAGTTATGCTTTTCAAGAATCTTTTGAAGACTAGTAGATATTCAAGTAGAAGCATAATAAAAGCTGCTATTCAAAGTATGAAGTCCACTCCATACATAGCAATGCGTGGAAGACCAGAAAGTGCGTCGTCATAAGTTAGCAGTGGTGTGGCGTTAGATTACGCACACTTTGCTCTGGTTCCAGTACTGCTTCCTTCTGGTTTCCAGTGTGACTTCCACAGCCATCATGGAGAAAAGCACTGATGAAAAATGCTACGTAAAACCCCTTGGATTCCTGATATAATGCACAGAAACAAACCACCTACCCCTGCTCCACACTGGTATTCGGCCGCTGGCCAGACACCGACTCTGAACTGTCCGTTAGAGATGGAACCACTGCCAAGAACCTGGAATACAATAGCATAACATGCAATGAGATCTCAGGAAGGTTCTCGGGAGAAAAGGCTGTGAAAGGGCAACACACTGAGCTCTCCACTGCTGCAGAGACCCGTCCACTTCCTGTACACGGCAGGCAGAGAAAGTATCCTAGGAGGAGGACACCGGGCATTAAGGTCCCTGGAAGATGCTACCACGCTGGACCCCTGCCTTTACAATACCAGAAGGCAAAGAAAGGCCTTGCAGTTCTGCCTGATACCAGCTGAGCCCACCAAAGGAGGACCTGGAGAGTGACTATGGCTAAATATCCACATGGTTGCAGTAACAATGGGTAACACGGCTAACCAAACGATGGAGCAGACTCCAGCAAATCAGCGGAGAAAGAGAAAACTGCGCTGTGCGTGATAATGCAATCCTAGCACCCGAAAGGCTGAGGCAGGAGGAGCCAAGTTCCAGGCCAGCCTGGGATACACAGTAAGACTCTATCTCAAAAAAAAAAAAAAAAAAAAAGTCAGTATCAACTAATAAAAGGTAAAGCAATGATCAGAAAATTCCTGGAAGGGATGTAGACACTAAAATTTGCATACATACAGAAATTTTCCAGAGAAAGACAAACACTCCCCAGGAACAACTGGTTATGAAGAGCACATAAGGTCCTTGGATGCAAGCAGCACCATCCTTGGGAGCCACTAAGTCCAGCAGAACCACATCTCGGTCACTGTGACCCTGTTCTTCCCAGCGGTCAAAGGAGCCACAGGTCACTGACAGGCAGCCTTGGTACTTCCTAGAAGACGCTCACAGGCGACCAATGCAGCCTTTTTCTGCAGGGCTCCTTCTGAAGATTCTGCTGCCCTGCAGTCTACTGTGGCCCACTAATAAATGGATAAATTTTTTTGGTCTTTTTGAGACAGGGTTTCATTTTGCAGTTAGGCTGGCCTTGAACTCACTTTGTAGCCCAGGTTGGCTTCAAATTCACAGCCTGCCTCAGCCTCCCAAGTGCCAGGATCACAAGTGTGAGCCACTCTGCCTGGCTGTGGTCTAGGACTATTAAAGGGAAAATTCTAACCATAAACAATGTGTAAGTTTCCAGTAACTTTTATTATAGTACATTGCTATCATTATTCTGCTTTATTTTTGCTATTGTTGTCAATCTCTTACCGTGCCTAATTCACCACCTGAACTTTATTATAGTAACTGTGTATACGTATGAAAAAATTAAATGTAGGGTTCAAGCTATGTACATTTCTGGTGTGGGGTAACATCTTGGAGCACATCTCCCGTGCATGGGGTGATGGCTGCGTTATACAAGGATGTGCAATGTACCATATTCATCAATCCTCAGTAAAGTGATTAAATACAAGAATTCTAGGAACATAAGGCTTGCCAGGACTACGCTACTCTTCAAAGAGTAAGAAAAGGCCTCTCATTTATATGATCAGTTCTTAGAAGCCTGATTCATACACCAAACACAAATATCTTTATGTTTCATGGGTACATACTATTCTTTGAAATGATAAAATTTAAATAGAGTTTACCAACATTTCAGATACACTTAGAGGAGCTCTTCGGTTTTATCTAGTTACCCAAATTTTGCAGGAATGCAGGTATCCAGCCTCCCTTCTAAGGCCAGCACAATCTCCTGAAACGTGATTTTCAAGGGGACTCAGTTGTGGAACTCAGAGCAAGGAATGCTCCTGAATGCATTTTGTAAAGATGAAAGCAGCCTATTCTGAACCTAAAATATTGTTTTCAAAGCCAGGGTTTCGTCACCCTTTTGTATTTACATATTTGCAGATAAGACTGTTACAAAAGAAGCTTTTGATAATCTCTAAGTTACAAAAGGAAAAATGGCATTTCATAATAGAATTGCATCACTTTGAAAGAGTCAGTTTCAAATGGCCGATAAAAATGAAACAAGTATTTTCTTCAAAGAGGTTGACTCATGCATCTAAATTCTAGACTTGTAAAAACCAGCTGAACCGGTTGGTAGCAGCTCCCCCTCCCGTCTCTTTCCATGATCTCCCGGACAGTGTTCTTATTAACCCAGACCTTTGATAGACTTTGTTTCTTATTCCTTTCTGAAAAGCGAGGAGGTAATTCCGTCCATCTCCGGAGAAAACTTCCACAGCAATCGGCTTAAGAAAAGAGAAGAAGACCACAAATAAGATTTTGTATATTAACTTTTCACTATAGATTTCTGCAAAGCTATCATAATTTATTGGCTGTGTTTTAGAGGTATGAATTCTTTGGAGATTAACTAGACAATAAAACACTATTCTTATCTGCTTGATTTAGAAAAATGTTTAAATTTTTAAAATATAGCAACTATAAAATTATAGCTTTGTAAAAATGCAGTGAGGATATCATTTTTTATTAAAAGATAATTAAAATGTTGATCTGGAAAGCACAGGTGAAGACAGATAACAAAGGTACTGCTCAGGGTTTAGGCTGTGCTTTAGAAAGATCAGTTATACAGCTCTGTACCGTGTGGGACGGGCGTGAAGAATAACGTGAGTCCCACAGAGGGTCCACTCCGTCCACTCCGGAATAACGCGTCCTAACTAGGCCACCGGCCACTCACCTGCAGGAGGTACCTCCTTTTGTGCACCTCTTTGATATCCTCATAGGCGAAAATGCTACACGTTCTCTTGAGCTGACTGGGGCCCTGCCTGGCTCCTCGAGGGATAATCGGCTCATGCATGCTGCAGGCGACGAGAGGAAGAGAAGCAAATGCAGCAAAAGGTCAGCGCACTGCCCAACAACAGGGTGCATTTTCAACACAGAATGGGGGGAGTAACACGATACCTAAAATTTCAGTTAAAACAATGTGCTCAAGAGAACAGTTTGGTAGCCACCCGAATTCAAGGTGGCCTTTCTGATGAACACTTTCAAAAGATCATCCCTGCTGCCCTGGGTGTCTATCATGCATTGCTGATGTGTGAGTGCACACAGTTCTTTTGTTGGAGACAGGGTCTTTCCATGTAGGGCAGGCTGGCCTTAAGTTCACTATGTAGCCCAGGCTGGCTTCAAACTCCCAATGATCATCCTGCCTCAGCCTCCCAAGTGCTGGGATTACAGGTATGCACTACCATGCCTGGCTCTAAATACTTTAAGTTGGAAGAAAAAGCCAGATTTTTAGGTAGGACAAAATGTTTTAATCAATATATATCAATAGTTGGGACACATAATTTTTAATATTTTTGTATTGAAGTTTTAACATTATTATTACTGAAGAAAAATGATTATTTGAAACATCTCCTAGGAATGAACCACAGTGAACTGTATTTCCCAGTACTTCATGGTTAAAATATGAACGGAAGCTAAAGCTCAAGCTTCTTAGCACCCTTCAGGCTCTGTCTCTTGAGTTTCCCACCAACCCCTTTCCACTCCATCACAGGGTCAAAAGAAAGAGAGACAAGAGTCAGCCTGTGGATCCCCACGCAGGCCACGGGCACAGGACTGCCATGCTATCCAGAGTCCACGGGAACTCTCTGGTTTATGAGCATTGTGTGACAATCTGTCTTTTTCTCTACCACTGTGTACCTACTGATGTGTTATAATCTGTAAATGATAATATGAATAATGCTATTCATTCACAGAAATAAAGTTTTGCTTTTGCTTTGGTACGCAACATGATTTTTTTTTTTACTACCCTATAATAATAGCACTGCCCGTATGATTATGTCACTGTAGACACCCAGGGACTGAGCGACGTTTCCTAGGCAGAGTTTGCATTAAGAGGAAATATGCGAGCATATTTATGTCTGCTGACAAGCGCTGTGCTTTGAGCCTCCTCATAAGGACTTACTTTGGGGGTAAGGTTTCAATATCGCGGATTTCCCGGGTTGCCGTCATGGTAAATCCATCAATCACGTAAAAATGCTCTTTTCCGAAAAGCAGTAGCCCCTCGCTGGTGTCCAGGCCCTGGACGCGGGCACAGCGGTACATGTGCTGGATCTGTAAGGACAGCCGCGCACATCCTGTCATGTAGTTTTCCCAGCCCTGCTCCTTGGTCCCTCTGCCGTGGCGGCTCTGCGCCAAGAACTCCTAGGAGGCAGCCTCGGCTACACTGCCTGCAGCACCCATGCCTGCTCCTCTCAGTTTCCCTGGGGAACCTGCCACACACCAAATACATGTGTGCCACCCTGTGAGTGTGGGTCAAGCTGAGGTCCTCGGGCACAGTGAGCCTGGGGAAGAGGGGCTTGAAGGGATGTGCCCTTGGGAGGCAGGACAGACAGATGGTGGCAGTTTGCAGGGTCTCAGTTCCATCGCCTCACTCTTGGGGATCTGGTCAGGTTTCCCAGGTTGGCTGAGCCTCCGCGCTCTCACCTGTCAATCACTAAGGCACGTCACTGGCTGCTGTGACACGCAGTGAGGTGAGGTGCATGATCATGGCAGGATTCTGGCGCTCTTCTTTCATTTACCTATCTTTCTAGAACATTCCCTGGCTGAAGTGGCAACTGCGGAAACTGTCCTGATTCATCCTGGCCAGAGTCCTGCTTTCCTGGGAATGCTGGGCCACTGTAAGAGCCAAGCTTGGCACAGTCTTACTGCTCACAGGAGGAAGGATTACCACATCTCTCAAAGTCTCTATTGTGTTCTCTTTAAAGGGTAGTATCTGATTCTTAGTAAAAAATTCTTTCTTGCTTTAAACCCGGTTCAACATGAGTCAAGGGGAAAAAAATCAGCAAGTAAATCAAAGTCAAACAAGTATCACATGAATGTCAGCTTAAGCGCATTTCCTGCACTATTCACACGTAAAACAATCATCAAAAAGCTGTACCTAGCAAACAGACAGGGAAGAGAAAGTTTGCCACTAGAGGCCAGGGGGGTGAGTTTGGGAGGAGCTGGACACTCTTCAAAGGGTGCAAAACCTTGGTCAGACTGGAGGGTAACTCAGCGATTCACCGCACTACACAGGAACTGCAGCTAATAACAATGTGTTGTGCATTCGAAATTGCTAAAATAGATTTTTAACATTCTCAACAGAAAAAAGTGATACAATGGGGAGCTGATGGATGTCAGTTAGCTAGACTGATTCTATAATTTTATAGATCAAAAAGTCTCAAATGAATACACTGTCAGTTGAAAATTTCAAAAATGAAATTTTCGAAATGTTCTCAAAAATGAGAGCATTACAATAAATATCCCAAAACACTGAAATGTGGGTCCATTTTCATTGCCTCATTTGAAATTTTAAGCACTTCAATAATAAAAGGGGAGAATGCTATGTGGAGAATCCTGATGCAATTTTTTTTTTGGTCTTTTTTGTTTTTATCGGTACCTGGGATCGAACTCATGACTGCCTGTTTGCAAGGCAGGCGCTTATGCCGCTGAGCTAAATCCCCAGCCCCTCCTGATGCAATTTTTTTCTCGTACTGGGACTGTGGCCAGGTTGCATGCGTGTTAGAAAGCCATGCCCTCAGCTCTGGATATACTTCATTTATCCAACCAAGAGTTTTCTCCCTTCAAAGTTGACATGAGTCAACAGGGACTATATGAGGCCAGGGCTGGGAGGACACAGTACCTGCCTTTCAGGAGCTTACCAACCGGGGAAGAAACAGACCCTGGATCAAACAATTTTGACAAGACAGACAGACACAGGTAAGGCCTTTGAAACGCTTAGTAAGACCCCATCTCCAAATCAAAACTTAAGAAGGGTTAGGGATGCTGCAGCCAGGGGTGTGGCCCTAAGTTCTGGCCTAGCACCGAGGAACGAAGGAAGCCTGGGCTGGTGAGACGGAGGGGACAGCCTCCTACACACGAAGCTATGGGCATCCAGGCTGGTGGAGGTTCTGTGGGTGGAGATGGGCCCTTTGGCAGAATAAGCAGTCTGAGAACAGAACAGAATTAACCATGGTGGATGTGAAAGATGTTCAGTGCTCCAGACAGAGGCAGTGACGTGAGCCTGTGGGGTGGGTAGAACGTGGGAGGTAGAGGAGACGCAGAGGCACTGTTCCTTCCTGCAGGAGATGGAAACAGCTAACACAGGGCTGGAGCCGTGTGGAGGTGGTGATCAGAATTACGGGGAGGCCTGATAACTGAAGGACCTGAAATACAGGATTCCTGCAAGAGACGCCTCGACAAAGGGAACAGCAGTGGAGTGAGTCAGGTGTCTCCTGAGGTTTCTGGTGGAACCTGGCACTGTTCAGTGTGCACAGAGGCCAAGAAGCCCTTGAATCTGGGAGAAGCAGAGCAGGATGGCATGCAGCAGGCCCCTCACTGTGCATTTTAGTACGCAGGTAAAACTACTCACATGAGCCCTCTACCAGCTTGCCTGCAGTATGACATCGTAACCCTTACTTTTCAGGAGCACAGTACCTTTTCCCCCTCCTCTAGCAAGCGCAGTAACGTGGCGTTGTCTGTTTTCTCCTCCTCCTCTATGGCACTGCTCTCAGCAATCTGGTCCTGAAGCTGCTCCTGGTTCTCCTCATCTCCTCCATCAGGTGCAGACCGGGAGCGCTTTAGAGGAGGCTTGACCAGACCTACAGGATAACAGTCGAGATGGCCATGAGACAGTGGAGGGCCATGTGGGGTGCAGGCTAGGTCAGTGTCATTTGTGATGGCTGGGCACAGTGTCCCCTAAGGCTTGTTTGGTAAGATTATGGATGACTGACCCAAAGCATATAAATAACACAGCCTAAAAAATGGTGCTAGTGGGAGGAGGCAGAATCCCTAGGGGTGGGGCCTCGGGGAGAAGGCAGGTCTCTGCGGGTGAGGCTGTGGAAGGGACTCTGGGACCTGAGCCTCTCCTCTTCTTTGTCTCCCAGCTGCCATGAGGTGGGCAGTGTTTCTCTGTGCTTTCTCCCTGCACGATACGCCACCTTCCCACAGGCCTGAGACATCGGATCATGTCCTGACACCTTTGAGACTGTGAGCCCAAATGAATCCTCAGTCTTCACAGGATCGTTTATCTTAGGTATTTGTCCCAGTAGTGGGAAGCTGGCAAACACAGCCACTCCTTCTATTTCCAAAGCTAGACAACACTGGAAGGTACAGGAAGCAACATAGCTTCCTGTGGTTAGTGGCAAATGCTTGCAAATTCAATAGCAGCACGACACCAGGAAATTATTTTCCCTTTATCTATCAGACTGGGACAAGAATAACACCTACCTCAGAGAGCTGCTGGAGGACAAACCAAGGTGATTTGTGTAGTGCTCAGAATCATGCTTACTGTATGATAAACTCTCAGTAAGTGTCAGATGACAACGATAAACAGAGCTTGACTGTTTTTATAGATGAGTGTCCCTCTAGGGACACTATGAATTGATAATAAATGATTTATTGGTGCCACAAAAATAGAGACAGCAAATTATGAACATATTATGAGAGATCTCACTTCCTCTGAGGACTCACAGATTATATCAAGCCTCGTTTCACATGTGGCAGCATGGTGTTTCAGACAGAATGAAGTCAGTCAAAACATCAGGTCAGAAAGAAGGAATAGAATTTTTCTAATATAGGAATAGCTCATGTATTTGCAAATTAAAGGAATACTTTAATGAATACACTTTGATAACTTTATTAAAATCATAGTAGCACAAATTAAAGTCAGTAAATGACAGCAACCAGCAAAAATGACCCTGAAGTACAGATAGTCCTCAAAATTAAATTAATAGTCCTTTGCTGTACCAGTAAAAGTAGTATCATACTTGCTGACAGCGGTTGTTCTTTGCAGTTTGGAGAAGTGTCAGGTGGCTTATTCAGTCTTATCTTTTGGAATTGTTATCAGAGGTTCTGCTTGACCTTAAGAAGAAGCTTACAAAAGAGTGCAAAAACTCATCAGGAGAGACAGAATACTACTGAGAACATCCACAAAGGGAAGAAGCTTACGTCTGTATTACTTTTAGGTTAAAGAATCAAAACCTCCAGTCCTATGACTAGGACAACATGCTGTGAATCATAGTAATTACACCAGTATTTGTAATTTGGGCTCCATTAGAGCTAAGGAAGGTCAATCGAGGGGGGTTAGGTGTCAAAGGCCCAAGCAGAGGTCCCCTCTCTCAGGGGGTCCACTGTAGCTTACATCCAAAAACTGCAGCTTTGGACCCAATTCAGTAATTCTGGGGATGCACTGCCATCACCTGGAAGCTATTAGATCAATTACTAAACATTTAGCAAGTCACAGCCACCATAACAGAGAACAAGAATGTTATTGCGGAATGTGACCGTAATTTCAGAGGGGGTTTTTGTTAAAACAGATAATATTCATTTTTTAATCATTGGGATCTGAAACTTACAATCTCTGCTTCTGAGAAAACCCCCCCGAGAAGACAGGGGAAATCCACAGCAGTAAAAAAATCACTGAAACTGCTACCTGACACAAACGCCAAGACAGGACTGCTGGTTGCAGAAGCTGGGCAGAGAGGAAAGCAGCCTCCAGACTGAGTGTAACACACGTAAGCTGTATAGTCAAAGGCCCCAGGCCTTTTGGTCAGCGCTATTACCCACCAGCTCCTGGGGCTTAGCCTGGGGTAATTTCTCTCACATACAGAAAGACAGACCATTCATTCTTCCTCACTGCTGGCTAAGATGCACCGATGTCCACTTAGCAGATGCTTCATTTTTACACTGATGCAGTTAGCACCGACTCTGTGTCAAGCACCATGTGCCGCGGGGAGCTCTGCTAAGGTACCATGCACACACATGACACCCGTCTATAGGCGCCGGACCAGCTGGCTGCTGGCTCTGGGGTGGTCCGGCTTTGTGGAGGAGGAGGGGTCGGGGTGCCTGTATGACAGGTTTAAGGTCGGCATTACCCGCCAGCTGCTCACATTTGCACACACACTCCAACAGAGAACCCCAGGGCTGACCTTTGACTTTGGCAATGGTGTCCTCGCCATGCTCTGGCTCCTGCTGTGCGGCCTCCCCATCGGCACTCTCCACAATAGGGTCCTGGACAACTGCGGGGTTCCCAGAGGCCAGGCGCAGGTAGTATTCTTTACTGTCATAGCTGACAGCCCTTCTGTACCGAGCAGGCTTCTAAGAAGTGGCAAAAGAAAATGACCGACATGATTCTCTCTCAGAGTTCAAACACAGGGACCTAAGGGAGGTATGCTGTCAGGACTTCCTTGTGCAGGACTGCTTCTTTATGGGTGTTTACGTAAAGACTGCATGTATACACAGTGAATCCACATACTTCCAGTGAGGCTTCTCTAGGTTAAGACTCCACTGAATTTTAAAAGGAGGCCCATGGAAGACAAGATTAGCAGTCTGGTCCTTTCTCAAACAGAAACAGGATCACCTATCGCCAAGCGAGGCTTCCAGCATTCCCTGGCTGATGGCAGAAGAGAGAAGAAGGCCTCAGCAGAACAGCACCCTGGACCTAGGTGGCCGGGGGAACTTGAAAACCCAGCTTTCAGGGACCTGCTGCTCTGAGCACTGCCTCCTTCAGGTTCTGTTGAGCCTGACCCAATACAGAATCCAGCAGTCTCCACCAGATGCATTCGCTGGTTCACCTGCCTGTATGAGCTGCTACCTCCAATTTACTAAAATATTCTAGCTTCCTTGTTGTGTAAAAGACTATGCTCTATAACTTATTACTGAAAAAAAACACATAAGTCCATTTAAAATAAGAAATTATCTAGAAAATGATGTGTTTCTTTTTCCAAATAATTAATACTTATTCTTAAAAAAGACTCTCCAGTTGGTCTATTTTTTTAAGATCATATACAATGAGAAAGATGTAAAACACCTTATAAAATTTAAAATCACAGTAGGAAAAATTTACATGTATTTAGATTTTTAAAATCAGAATTAGACCTCAACTTTGAATGAAGAATTATAAAAATGTACAGCAGGCTTTCAAAGTTTCCTCTTCTAAATATTATTTTATTTCTCCTTTCCCATGAATAAGAAGAGCTAATGAAAATATTATTGGCTTATTCTTCAAGGCAAGGCGTTCATATATACATTGTCCACAACAATGATCATCTCAAGAAATTACTGCCCTTCCTTGTAAAGTGCTGACTGTCTGCAATGGAAAACAATGTCCAGTGGGGGGAAGATGTAGGCTAAAAGACTAAGGCAACTCAGATGAAATGTCAGCTGACCAAAGACACACTATCCTTTGTACTTCCGGTCCAGCTTCGGGGAACAAAGAGAACAGCAGGCAATTGGATGGATGACAGGCAGCCCATGGAGACTGAAAAATATGCCATGGCTTTGGGAGGTAAGAAAATAATAACACAATTATGGGAACTCAATCCAATGCCCTGCATTGTTTTTTTTTTAAATGAAAGAAAGGTATAAACAATCATCTCCAACTCAAAACTGCTGATGTTTAAAAAGATGGTGACATAGTTAGTGATGGGTGAGACAATGAATGAACAGATGCAGCACAGGGTCTACGTGGTTGATGACTTCAGGTATCGATTTCCTCTTGGACTACAAGAACCTCTCCCAATGTAGTTCCAATGCACTCCTGTGCTTTACTGAATTCTGCACTGACTCTCTGGAAAAAACAATGATACGTTTTGGTATCACTGTGCTTCAGAAAGTGACTGTATATTCCCAGTTTCCACAGTTCCTTTGGACTCAAGAAAGTTATTATAAGAAGGATACACTTGCATTTCCAAGATGTCTAGGAGCACGAGGCGAGTAACTAAGCCCCCCTTGGAGATGCTGGGCTGCCCATTACTAACATGCCCGTCACTGTTAGCTGTGCATGGAGCAGCACGGAGAGTGGTGAGTGAGGCCATTAGTGAGCGGCAGAGCTAGTTAGAACCAAGCCGAGAAAGAGGGAACCAGTGTTCTCAGCAAGAAGGACACTGACTTTTCAACTCTAAAGAACTTACAGCATAATAAACTGAAAGCCAATCTTGTAAGTTAGTCTAGTCTACCATGCACTAAGATAACAAGACAAAACAGAAAACAAAAAAACTGTAAGTAGTTTGCATTCTTTTGCGGTAATTTGTGTTTTACCTTTTGAGGAATGATATCGTCAGGTGTCTCAGGCTGTTTACTTGGGATCTCAGACTGAAAACAGGTATTAACCACAGACACATCAGAAAAAAACATAAAAACACAAAAATAAAATTTTCTTCAGCACCATATGAAATAGGATGCTCTCACTCAAAAGAAATTAACATGATCTCTGCTGCTTAAACAATCACTAAGCATCTTATGTTTTTCCTATTTGATCAAAAGTAGTTCAAAGTACAACAGCGTATCAGAAGTCTCGGCTATTGAGCAGAACGAACTTAAACATCACACAGATAACATGGCAGCACAGGATGATTTACTGGCTACTCCCTCCATGGTTTCAGAAGGAAAAGCCTGAAATCTAGCTAAGAGAATTTCCTGCTGGTTGGTATCTTCCATCTGCCTTTCCCCCATCAGTGCTGTAACTCAGGTTCAAACAATCATCTACAATACAGCCTAGCACAGAACACACCAGGGGCTGGTTAGCAAAGACCCAGCCTCCCACCTGACTCTGAGGACCTGTTCCTTCACTGCATCCATGGACACCAACCCAGAAACGCTGAAGCCAAAGGCAGACTGGATTATCAGCCCCCAAACCCAAGTTTTCCAAAATAGTCATTTTTCAAAAAATGAGATAACTGCATGAGGAACATGAAGGGAATTTCTGTTACACCGTAGTGCGTGGCTGAAGGCATGGAAGTACACACGTGACGAATTCCTTCTCACAGTGTGTGTGTCTAGAGGTGACTTCTGGTATCCTTTCCTGCAGGACACAGCATCAAGCAAAATGTTTTCACAGATGTTCGTTTTCTAAGGCAAAACACACACAGAGTTCCAGAGTTTCAAGAACTCTGCACAGTTTTAGAGAATCTGTCACTTTGAAATCACATGTGCAAACCTATTCCTCATATTGAAGAAGAATCTATAAAATATTCATCAATTCCTCTGTTTTTGGAGCGGTCTGATTGATTAGGCGTAGTCTACGCATTCATTAAAACAGGCCATGATAAAAAAACATTTTAACAGCAAAACACATCAAAAAATGCAACTGCAGAAAAAGAAAAAACCAAAATCACTGAATGGCACTCGTAAGACTGATGTATTTCAATGCACATTAATGACCTGAAAGAATTATAAACACCTAATTAATTAATGATGTACAAATGAAGTATTCTAAAAATTCAGCTCACACTGAGATTCATACAAAATAAGACTGAATAAACATGTGATAAACTAATAAAAAAAAATGGGCCAGTTCCTGTTCTCAGGCTGAGCTTTGTGGTTGAATCCACTTTCTACCGCCATTTTGCCAGAACTTGGGCAGGGCCCGCCAGGCTTACACTTCCTTGTTCCACACAACACGTGGCACATCTGTATTGGCTTAATAAAAATTTGCTCAGAGCTCAATGACTTCCAAAAGCTGTTATTTTACTAAGACAACAATTATTCAATGGCAAATAGGGATGTTATGCCAAAAATTTTAGTATCATCATATTCTCTTTTATTTAAAAAAAGCACATTACTATTACATTTGTAGAGATATTAAATTTTTTAAAGTCATAAGTTCTACAAAGTAATTTTGTAGTACTTTTTGTTTAAACCTTTCTATAATGTGAGCAATGAAGTTACCCAAGGAGCTTTTGAGTTTCTATGAGCTGTGGGATATCTCTGTAATGCATAAAAACAATTACAGTAGGCGCAAAGGTCTCCTTTTGTTAGAAAAGAAACCTTAAGAGAGGAAGGAAGGAAAAGCTTCCTCTCTTAAGGAGGGAAACCTTAAGAGAGGAAGGAAAAGTTTCCTGTGCCTGAGCAACCTCACATTAACCAGTGATCGTGGCAAAGAACATTAAATCATTTCTGAAAGTATTACTTTGTAAAAATAAGTGGACTACAGAATTAAAACATTTTAGTATTTAAATGGCAAAATACAAGATCGTATGTTCCTTTTTCAGGACTCAGTAATGAGAGTACTGCTTAAAAACATTCAGGCTTTACATTCTCACCCTAGGCTTTCATCCTAACACTTATCTATTGTGGATATTACCACTTACATATAGAAATACAGTCCAAATTAATGGTTTTAATCGTGAAAATTATACCCAAAGGAAATTCATTATGTGGAAAGGATAATTTATTTTCATGTGAGAATACAAATTTCCTACATGTACTTGATTCTTCTCAGGGCATTCATACTTATTATTGCTAGTTCTTTTATTAAAATAATTTTAGTTGGTAAATTTTCCTAGCTTTGAAGTCTACAGCAAATGAGTCATTAGCAATGTTTTCTTTTTTCCCACCTAAGTACCAATGAGGCTTGTCCCTGCTTAGCTTCCAAGATTAGATGAGACCTGGGCACGGTGAGGGTACTATGGCTCTAGACTAAAATATTATATTCCAGAAACTTCGAAATTAACATCAAGTGAAACAGCTCAAAACTTAGAACAGGTAAGCTATTTTTTATTGCATGTAACACTATTCAAGTTAAAAAATAAAGCTTTAATAACTTAAAAAAACTGATTTATTTATTTTTTAAGAGTGGGAAAATTTATTGGGAAAAGGAATGGGGAATATGAATAGCTCCTGAGAGACAGAGAAGGTCCTAAACGGGTTGTCCTGATTTATTTTTAACACATTAAAATTTTTAAAATGAGAAACTAACTTTTATTTAGCCCTGTATTCTTCAACTTAAGTGAAGGATATACTTTAATGTATAAACCAGACTGTACTAGAACTGCAAGTGTTATTTTAAAACAGTAATTATTCTTAATAAACAAGCCAAACATTGAATCATAAGCCTTTCCTCCAGTAAAGTCTGTCTTGCATATCAACAGCCTTCAAAGCCAGTCTTCAGGTTGGCACACCAGCTCACCTACGTACCGCAGAAGAGAACTACCCTACTTATGAGCATGCAAGAAACAAGTTTATGGGAGTCGAGAAGGAAGAACTAATTGATCTCCACTTCCAGGAAGCAGAGGTGGATTTATTATGTGGCTCATAAAGTTTTAAACTCAGGAGATTTCCCCTCCCACAGGCCCTTTTCAAAGCCTTAGCCCTAGTAATTTTGCAGTCATCATTTTATTGTTTCTTTTTTAACAAAGTTAAAAAAAGCCCCCACACTATATAAACCTCAGCGCCTGGAAGATCTGGTTCAACCTCTTTTTAGTAGAAAAATTTTCAGAATTAAGGAAATTCTATAGATTTTTGAAAAGGAAGCATCGAAGAACATTTCTAACTTAAGCAAGAGTGTTTCTGGTTCATTCACTCAACATCTGGTGCCCTCTAACAGCACCCGTTAAGTGGTTTGTGCCTGGAATACACCCACTGGCTACGGATAACGTCACAGGGTCTTCTTTTTGCAAGTGACCTAACTCCATGGGTCACTTAGCAGCACTCACACCTTACTCCATCAGTGAGTGTCTGTAACCAGCCGGTTCTTCACTCGCCTAACTTTCAGTCCCGTATCGTAAAGCTGGGCCAGTAATATTAACTGAATTTCACAGAGCTTTTATGACAGTGAAGTGAAACTGCACATCAACTGCCCTAAGAGCACCCAGCCCTGTGCTTTACAGTTAGGTGGCCCGTGTCTGTTTGTCTTGAAAGCTAGTGAAATAACAAACGCTTTTACTTTTTGAAATTTTCTGTTTTGGGCATTGCCAGATTTCAAATTCCATAAGGTAAAAGTGGGTACTTAATATGTCTTTCAAATTTACAAGACTCTGAACCACCAAAACCCAAATAAAACATTATTCAGAAATTCTCACTGTATCAGGTTAACCTGGACAGGAGCCATTTACCCTAAGTTTACGCTCTGTAACTGTCTCCTCTTCCTGTCTGCCTTCTCTTCAGGTGAGTGCACTGCCTGACGCTTTTCAGTTATATAACCCAGCTATCAAAAACCCAGGTCCCAGAGGGTGCATGCCAGGTATGACACGCTTGGTTAGATTTGATACCTATGCGTGAATCCTGAATAGCTTGTTTTTATCTGAAATGGAGGTTTAAATACACTTTTGTAAACAAATAACCATGTTATAAAGAAGGTTAAAAAATACTACAGTTATTAGAAAAATAACTTACAAGTAAACGCCTCATTTAAAGCAGTGAGTTGGTCTCATGCATAAGACAGCACATTTATTTTATATTTTATTGTTTTGGAATGGATTTAATTCTAAGTCAGTGTCGATCAAAAAATACACTATCAAATTTCTAGGAGTTTACAATCTTAATTACTTGAGAAAAAACTTCATTATTATACTGTTGCTTGGCTAGGAAAAAGCAGACACTAGGAAAAAACAGCAAAACTGTGGGGGGATTAATCTTTTGTATGCAGTGCTTCCAACTGGAAATTACCGGATTTTAACTGTAGTTGTATTTTAAGTGTTGCTCTTCATAGTATGGCATTCTTAACAGATATGAATAGTTTTGAGAAATGCAGACTGCGGGGAGCTATCTTCAAAAAGCGTAAGTAGCGATTAGCAGCATGTAATAAAGATCTATATGTTGTTTTAAAAAATTGTAAGTTGGCAAATGTATTATATACTGGCAGGTGTAATTTAGGAGTGAAGTTATGTGTACAGCATCCAGTAAGAATGATCAGATCAAGCATATCCATTACCTCAGGTATTTATCTTTCTTGCATGAAGAGCACGAACTTACCCTTGGAAAATCTGAAACCCTTGGAAAATCTGAAATGTATGATATATTTCTATTCACTGTAGTAACTGTATGTGCAGTAGATTTTAAAAAACTACTGTAAATGACATTTGTACTCTTTTTGGAAGGGGGCAGTGCTGGGGACCACAAATTCACAATGGATAATTTTGCATACTTCCCTAAGGGATAGAATGGAGGCTTGGGATTATCAGAATCATCCACTTAAGATTTTCCATTAACTCTCCAGGGATGGGCTATCCTCTCCCACTCACTCAGACTAAAACTAAAACCACTAAGTTTAAAAACACTCCAGGACAGGATCCTTTTGATCATCTCCACCCTCCTGAACCATCCCAAGATTACAGGGCTGAGTCACAGGCCTCTGAGTCTTCTGCCAACTCTGAATTTTCCACTAGCCCCACGCATCACGGATGCACCCAATTCACATTGGCTGTCTCGGAGGGTCTGGAGACATTAACTTCCCGGTCACTTACCATGTATTACTAAATTTTTCTCTTTTTTATCCTCGCACCGAATTCTTAACACAGACAATCAGGGCTCTTGACCAGGTCCCCAATAGGGCAGTACTGGACACTGAAGCCAGCGCCATGTGCATGCCAGGCAAGTGCTCTCCATACTGGGTTACGCCCTAGCTGTCCACTTTGTACCACAAGATTGACTTCTCTCCACTCCTCCAGCTCCCCAGCCTCTCCTAACTAAGAGTTTAGTTAGTTTAACTCCCATGTTAAGTGACACCCTGCAGTATTTGTCCCTCTGTGCCTAGCGTATCCTACTCACTCATTTGGATTGCGGCAAATGACAAGATTTCCTTCTTTTAAACACAGGCAGAATACTATTCCACTGTGTGTATTTACCACATTTAAAAAATCTGCCACCTGTTGATGGGTGGTTAGGTTGATTCTAAGACTTACATTCTATGTAGCAGCAGAACAGAGCTTAGACCAATGAGCACAGAAAATGGGGCTAGGGTCTTGGCATGGACAAAAGAGGCCACACAGTGTGTACTCAGTACTAAACGTCCTAATGAGGTACACTATTACTTAGGTACAAGGAAACAGATACCCAAAGAAGTCCCCTGAGCTGCCCACACACACAGAGTGGCAGCACAGGTTTAAAGCCAGCCAGTCTGTGACTTCTCCCTGCAACACAGGTCCACTTTCTGTGCCACTGCCCTCCGACATCTATTTCACATGGTAAGGGAGACTTACACCCCCCCCACCCCCCCCCACCCCCCGCCCCCCGCCGCCCCGGCCAACAACCCTGCAGGCATCTATCCATTCCCGCGGACTCACCGCCACGCTCGCCTCTTGCTCGGCTTCCGGCACATACGGGTAATGGTTGTAGAACATGTCATTCCGCACCATCTTCTTCCTCATTCTGCAGGGCCCTTCTGTCATCTCCAGCATCCACTTGTCCAGATGGGACCCGATGGGGGGACCCCACAGTCCTCGCTCCCGCAAGAGCTCACACTCGATCTGGTACCACTCCTCTGTCACGTACTTCAGGGCATTCTGCTGACGCTGCCAAACACATCCAGGTTGGTTGAACAACGGCGAGAGTAATAAGGAAAAGCTCACAGATAAGCTAACGTCACGTTATCACTGAGAGACGAATGCAATTCCCATAGGCCAATTATTAGAAAGGGAAATCACAATGGTTTTTGGTTAATGACAGCTGGTGATTTTGTGAGACTGTCGGGTCTACCATGGAGAGGGCAATTCTTTTAGCACCAGGTAAATGATAAATGTGTACAGGGTAGAACATGCAGTGTAATCAAAATATTCTATTCTATGCTTGTTGGAATTTTAAAATTTTTGGAACAGTAAACCTCACTGCCAACACGCTTATCCAAAGCACAGCTCTTGCCTCTCTCGGAAGCAGTTCCGGAAGTCCTCTGCTGTGCCATCATCCACTGGGAAGCCAGGCTAGTAAAACTGTCCCCATCCACCTCATTCGCCAGGACTGACTCCTAGTTCCACCCCAAGTCACAATGACCATGAAAGTAAATGCTCTGACTGATTTAGGACACTGAGGCAGACGATAGTGCAGCCAAGGACACTCTGGAAAGAACATTTGCACAGCTGCTGCAGAAAGTGGCAAGGGTGACAGAATACTGTGCTTAAAGCAAGGGGCAAGAGCGTATTGAGCAATACTGGGATACTGTATCTTTTGCTCTAATCATTTTTTAAAATTTAAACATTTACAGTATCCTCTGATCACATCTTTTATGTGAATTCATCAGAGAGTCTAAGGAAGGATGGTAATGGTATTATTACTGATGAAAAGACATTTTATTTTTAATAAATGAGTTAAATTAATATGGTATGTTGAAGATGAACCTTGCACTACAAATTGTAAAATGGTTACTGACACATATGTAGGGATAAATCTATAAGTCAGATCAAGAAACAATGTGAACACACTTGATTGTTGATAACCTTGATATGTATTGCTGAAAATTTTACCTACAGAATAGAGATGGAGCCAGACAGATATGGTGACACACTCCTGTAATCCCATCACTTGGGAGGCTGAGGGAGGAGGATTACTGGAGTTTGAGACCAGCCTGGGCTACACAGTAAGTTTAAGGACAGCCTCCACGATATAGTGAGATCCTGTCTCAAAAGAAAAGTATAAATATCCAAGCTCACTAATGAGGCTTGACTTTCACATAAAAAAAGTCAAAGGCCATTTCTCCTTGGGCACGGAGAGATACTCCATTTTACTTAAATGAAAATAACAACTTGGTCTAACTTCTTGCTATCTGCCAAATGATAAGATGTACAATGGTTTTAACCATAGATTACTAGAACCAGCTTACTAATGATTGATGGAATGTAAGTTACAATGTAAATCTAAAAATAAAGATCTCTTTTACATGAATACCAGTGTAGACTACAAGTGAAGAATCATGAGACAGATGACGAGGTGGTACTTATGTGTTCCTGGGGCAAAGAGGAAGATCTTGCGCCAACAAAGGACCTGGTGTTGCTTCTATAAACATTAACAGTTAATCATTCAGAAATCACCCACAGATTTAAAATCGCTGCTCTGGCAATGAACTATTTAGGATGAATCATTTAATAATTATGAGCATGTCAAGATAGTTTCATTAAAATTTTTATAATTCTTAGGAAAATCTCAGAGACTTTGACGCTTATTTCCATAAACTCTTGGTTCAAAGTATAAAAGAAGGGGGATCATTCTCACACTTATATTTCTATTAGGAACAAAAACATGCAATAGGTCAGCAGCGAATGCTAAAAAAACTTGATTCTGCACATTTCCAGTTTGCAGCTTTTTAAGTGTAGTTTGATCATAAGAAGTTCACATTTTTCTACCCTAAAATCAATGGCCAACAGCAACAGCAAACAGGGATAATTAAAGTCATCATCTGGTAAGTGCAGTTCCGCACTGTGTCCTTAAAACAGGCAGGCAGCACCACGACAGAGTCCTTACCCCTGTGGTGGCCATGAACTCTTACCTCCTGATACTCCTTATATTGGGTGTCCACCAAGTCCCGGACAACAGCGATGTGCGTGAACATCCACTGAGAGATTTCCTAGGGACGGATGGAGAAAGTCTTAATATGTCACATGTTTTCTGGAAAAATGACCTGCCCTGAAATTTATGCTGAACCTCAGTTAAAACAGAAAACAGAAACACAGTGTGCTGAAGAACAAACTTTGTGATGATCCAATGGGCCGGCTTTCCAGGCACTATTCGTACCTGCGGGTGGGACCAGGCTGCAAAGTGTCATCAAGGTGGCCGAGCTGGGAGAGAAGGCAGCCACCCCTGATGGGCTGTTCTGTCCCAAGCTCCACAGAGGCCCAATTCCACTTTTTTCTTCTCTCTTTGCAGGCATTTTTCAATGCACACTACACTCCCATGTTTTTATAAAAATATCGATCACAAGTATTTACTGCAACATCATGAAAAATAAGGAGCCATGTTGTCTGTTGGTGCTGTAAAATTTATATAATTATCCATAATACTGAAAGCTCAAAAATTATTTTAGTCTGTTCATCAATCTCTGAATTTCATCTTATGTCCAGTTATAAAATGGGTGTAAATAAAGAGTACTCATTATACAACGTCCTCGTAATAAAACAGGTGAATTTCCCACAATGCAGGCAACTTCTTTCCCTCTGAGGCACAATGCAGAGAAATCAACTGCTTACACACATTAACAGCATTACATATCAAAGACTACGACTGCACCATGAAAACCGAAACTCCCAATGCTGATGCCCAGAACCCAACACTGTACCTGTGTGGAAAGACTGTGTTTGTTTAGGCCACTTTCCTTGCGATTCCTCCTTGATCCAGTTAACTTGGAAAGACCAAAGCCACTGCTGACTCGGGACAGTTTGGACTGTGTGCTGGGCGCCAAAGCTTCTCCTCGACTTATGCTTTTCCTTTCATGGGCTAGGAAATTAAAATTAGGTTATTTGACAATTTCTCCATGTATTTATTAGTCTTGTTTTTAACAATTTTTTATTATGGCTTCAAACTGCTATCCTGTACATGGCTCACATCGCTACTGACTGGTTTTGTTTCCTACAGTTCCAGTCATTTGTGTGCAACTGAAAATATTACCATAAGGTAAAGAGGAATTCTGAGAGAAAAGACCACATGCGTGTAACTTTTATTACAGTGCATTTGTATAAGTGTTCTATCTTATAACTAGCTACTACTGTTAAGCATTACTGCTCCATTACTCCCTCAACCCCCACCACGAAAAAATATAGCATATAGAGGGCTTGGTACTATCTGTAGCTTCCAGCACCTACGGGTTCTTGGAATATATCCCCAGCCGACAAGGGGAGAATGCTGTAGTTATCAAAAGCAGCATATATGACATCTTATTTGGTGGTGATCTTGTTTACAGTTGCTGCCTGATTATATTGTACTAGGAGAATTTACAAGAGGTTGAAATGTCACAGCTCTGTGGTAATATGCAAAATCATTTTTTTTTTAAAACAAAATCAGTTTTACTGGAATAAATTTCTGTGTTTATAACAGTAATTTCTCACATAAAGCTTTTACTGCTGGGCATATTTTGGAACTCAGACTACTCAAGATTTTAAAAAGACTATGCAATAGCAGTGTATCACATGCCAGGGGTCTTGGTATCAAATGAGTTTTAATATCAGGCTAATGAGAAAACCTTAGATTTTCAGGGCCTTTCTAGTCTAGTTTCAGAGCTACAGATAAAAAGGTTGTGGACGCTTTCCAAGATGGTGAACATCATAAAGCTGTAAGTGATGTATTATGTATCTCTTTAACATATAAGTGCCTAGTGTGTATCACACTTTAGATGTAAAAAAGGAGCCAAAAACCTGAAGCCAAATTTTAGTGGAATCATTCTAGAAGGTTCTGATATATAGTTTTTTGTTTCTCTGGCCAGCAAAGCATCCTTGTGGAAGGTTTTAATTACCTATCTCCTGCCACGCATGTGTAACAGGCACAGGACCTCTGTTGGCCGCTTACCCAAATGATTCTGCCAGCACTTCAGACCTGCTTCTTCGATGAGTGGCCGTGCAATGGCTATGTCCACGTGGCCCCTTTCGTTCACAGGTAGAGTAACCTTGAAAAGCTCCTCCAGGACCTGCTTCTTACTATGGATCAGCTCAGTCCAAACTCTGTTGACAGCTTTGATAAGAAGCTGACGTCCTAGGAAGCAAAGAAAAGCAAGCAAATGACCAAGACACTGCATCGAATCAGTTCCTATTCTCCTTTACGCTTCACATCTAGGAATTTAGACAACAGTATCTAAATGTGTAAAGACAAACAACTGCTCATTTTCTACCTCGCTCACTGAAAAGGATTTTTAGATAACTTAGAATCTTTATATTCATGCAAGGAGACTTTTTATTAATGAATTTGGGAATATTTAGATGAGAAGCTATCTGCTATTTAAGGAATGCATGGAGGATGAGCAGTTTAGCTACACTCTTTCATTTTTTAAGTCAATTTTATTGGTGCCTTCTGATATACATAATGATCACACTGATAACAGGGAATGTGTACTTGCACACGATATATCTTAATTCTTTTTCCCCACTCCTCTCCCCTCCCTTCAACCCCTTTTCTCTCCTTATTTACAACGGCTTTGTTTCCATTTCTTCCTTCTGCTCTATTTTTCTTTTCATTTCCTTATCTTCCCCTCCTCTATGTACCCTTGTTCCCCTTTCCATTTGAACACTTTTTTGTACTTCCCAGTATCCATCATGCATTTTGGTCCTTATTTATGCTTCTGATTTCTTGACAAGAAAAACAATGCTATAATTAAAAGTGTGTGTCCAATCTGTTTCACTTAGAAAAATGGTCTCAAAGGGCACCCATTACTCAAAATGCCTCAAATTTATCCTTTATGGCAGAGAGTACCCCAATGCATAGAAAAACTACATTTTCTGTATGTAGTTGTCCATTAATGGGTATCTGATCTGCTTCCAAGATTTAGCTATTATTAGATGTACTGCTATAAATGTGGCTATGCATATATTGCTGTGGTATGCTGCTTTTAACCTTTAAGAAGATACCAAGAAGGGGACCAGATGGGTCAAATGGAACCTCCAGGTTCAGATTTTTGAGGGATCTCCATCCTGAATTCTACATAGGTTGTACTAATTTACACTTTGACCAACAGGGCAGAAACCATTTCATATTGGTTTATTTCTAGCTGGCAGTGATCCTTTCTGGAGGGAGAAGGAATCTCAGTGTTTTTTTAATTTGCATTTGTACAATGACCAGTGATGTTGAACATTTTTTGATATATTGATTTGCTTTTTGTACTAGGACTTCACTTGACAGTGTCTATTCTCTTTAGATGCCCATTTTGGGATTGGGTCTTTATAATTGGGGAGTCTGATTTTTTAAAGTACTTTATAAAGTACTTTCAGATATTAATCTTTTATTTGGGAAAAGTTGTAAAATCAGTCCCCACTCTGTAGGTTGTCTCTTCAGTCTGTTGGTGGAATCTTTTTTTTTTTTTTTTTTTTTTTTTTGTCTTTTTTTCCTTTTATCGGTACTGGGGATCGAACTCACGACTGCCTGCTTGCAAGGCAGGTGGTTATGCCGCTGAGCTAAATCTCCAGCTCCTAGGTGGAATCTTTTGAAAAGCTTTTTAACATGATGAGTTCCCACCTGGGTCTCTTAATATTTCCTGTGTCACTGGGGTTTTGTTCATTAAGCCTTTGCCTACACTTACGTCTTCAATAGTTTTACCTATTTTATCTTCCAGCAGACTAACTGCTCCTGTCTGGAAATTTGTAACTTTGATCCATTGAGGTTTTATTTAGTGCTTGGTCAGTGATACGGGTCTAGGTTTAGTCTTTGGATTGTGCAGAGCCAGTTTTCCCAGCACCATTTAATAAAGAGGCTGTCTTCCTTCAACGACAGTGTTTGAGCCCTTTGTCAATGATGACATGGCTTAGTGTGTCTGGAGTTGTTTCTGCACTCTCCATTATTTTGTTTCACTGATGTTCAGGTCTTTTTTTCCCTTCAGCTTTGTACTATGATTTGAAGTTGGGGATTGTGATGTTTCCTGACTTGCCTTTGTTGCCCAGAATTATTTCAGCTATTCTAGGTCTCTTATGGTTTCTTATGAATTTTGAGACTGTTTTGTCTAGCTCTGTGAATTATGCTATTAGTATTTTGATTCAGATGGTGTTAAATCTGTACAACAATTTTGGAAGGTTGGCCGTTTTTACTGTATTGGTTTTACCTATCCAAGAACAAGGAATAGCTTTCCAGGTTTGATATCCTCTTCAATTTCCCTTTTCAGACTACTGTAATTTTTTAATGTAAGCTCTTTTACTTCCTTTGTTCAACTGATTCCTACATATTTCATTTTTCTTGATACCATTTGTATATGTGCTGCTGAAGCAAGCACTCTTGATGCTTGGTGTTATTTGCCTAATTTCTGCCACAGTGAGTCTGTTACTCACATACAGGAATGCTACTGACTTTTGAGTGCTGACTTTGTATCCAGTTACACTGCTGAATTTGGTTATTGTATCTACAAGTCTTTTGGTGAAGTTTATATATAGATTGTCATGTCATCTGCAAATAATAATTTAACTTCTTCCTTTCCTATCTTTATTCCCTTTATTTCTTTCTTGATCTGGCTAGTACTTCTAGAAATATATGCAAAAGAAGTGGTAGTAGTGGACATCCTGGTCTTTTTCTCCACTTTACAGTTTTCAGTTTTAGTATGATGTTACCCTTGGCTTGTCATCAGTGGCTTTTATCGGATTGAGATAAATACCATCTATTCCAATTTTCTGTTGGGTTTTTATCACGAATGGCTGCTAGACGTTTATCAGAAGCTTGCTCTGCATCTATGGAGATGATCACGTGATTTCTGTCTTTGGCTCTGTGAATGTGATATATTATGTTTATTGATTTGCACATGTTGAACCATCACTGCATCCCTGATATGAATCCCACTTCATCATGGTGTATAATATTCTTGGTTATTTCCTACATTGTTTGCCAGTATCTTGAGGACTTTGGCATCTATGTTCATAAGGAGACTGGGATGCAGCTCTCTTCTTTAGTTGGATCCTTCTTTGGTTTTGGTATCAGAATAATGTGCTTTTAGGAATCAGCTTGGAAATACTGATTTCTTTTCAATTTTGTCAAAGAATTTGACAAATAGCAGCATTACGTCTTCTCTACATTTTTTGTAGAGCTTAGCAGTGAACCCATCAAGATTTATGCTTTTCTTTGTTGGTAGGTTTTCAATCATATCCTTGATTTCCTTGACTAATAATGGTTTTATATCTTCTTGATTTGGCTTTGGTAATTCATATGGATCAAGGAATCTGTCCATTGCTTTTGCATTTTTTTTTGTTTGTTTTTTTCCTTTTTATCGGTACCAGGGACCGAACTCACGACTGCCTGCTTACAAGGCAGGCGCTTATGCCGCTGAGCTAAATCCCCAGCCCCTGCTTTTGCATTTTGATTCTTTTAGAGTACAGGCTCTTGAGGTGGGTACTGATGATCTTCTGGATTTCTGCAGGATCCACTGTGATTTTATCCTTTTCCTTCCTAACTGCATGGATTTGAGTCTTGTCTTCGCTTTTTTGCTAAGGTTGGCTAATGATATGTCTAATATTTCAAAGAATCATCTCTGATTTACTGATTCTTTTTGTTGTTTACTTATTCCCCACTACATTAATTTCTATTCTGATCTTTATAATTTTCACCTATGTATTGCTTTAACTTGGTCTGCTTTTTCTAGGTTATTAGGTTATTTATTTGAGCTTACTCTGTTTTTCTGGTGGAATTCATTGCTATAAATTTCCAGGACTACTTTCAGTGTCTTGCATAAGTATTAGTATGTTGTACTGGCATCATCATTTAATTGCAGACACTTCCTAATTTCTTATGTGACCCATTGGTTGTTCGGGAAGGTATTAATTTCATGTTTTTATGCAGTTTTGTGGTTTCTTTTGCCATTGATTTCCAACGTCACTGCACAATGGCCTGATAATATGCATGGGATACAAGCTAGTATGTGATCTGTTTTGGAAAACATGCTGTGCTCAGCTGAGAATATGTATTCTGATGAATGGTGGAACACTCTGTAGATGTCTACCAAGACCACTTGTTCAAAGGATTGGCTTAGTTCTGATATTTCACTGTGGAATTTGTCTAGGTGATCTATTTGCGATAGTAGAATACTGAGGGCCCCCATTAAAACGGTCTTATTTTTCTATCGTTCCTGAGACAAAAATCTCCCAAACCCCAAGATAATAATGGGGAAAGGTTCATGTAGCTCACAGTTTGTGGAGGTTTCAGTCCATAATCAGCTAGCTCCAAGGCACATGGTAGAGGGGCAATAGTTCATGGTATCAGAAGACAGCAAAATCAACAACTGAATCTTAACAGTGTCTTTCTGTCTCTTTTACACTCTTATCCAGGATGCTGGGATTAGGGCAGTGCCAAGTCAGTTATCAGACTGATCCAGTAGTCATGCACCCTTAATCCCAGCACCCTTAATCCTAACACTGCACTACAAATCCATCATACACTCTAGATTCAGTCATCTCTGAAAAGCCCTCTACTACCCCCATGACCACGTGATGCTTTATGGGGACATCAAAACAAACCCATAACATTCTGCCTGGCCTCCAAAAACTCCTATACATTTGTTTACACAAAAGACATTTAGTCCATCTCTAAGTGTTACTGAAATCCTAACAGTTTCAGCACTGCTGAAAAGTCAAAGTTCTGTCTCCTCTGAGGTTTAAGGCAAACTTTTAGCTATGAGCCCTTATACTATAGAAAAGAAAGTTAAATAGTTCCAGCATTCAATGACATGAGATAGTTACATTCCAAATGTTACACATGGGAGAATACAAAGAAATGCGACTACAGAAAGTTCAAAATCCAGCAGGGCAAACATTACATCTCGTAGTTCTACGTGCAGCATTCCAGGCAACTGCTGCAGGAATTCCAAAAGGCATGGATGGCACTACCTCTAAGGCACTGCTGGGAGTTGTAGCTCCCATGGCCTTTTTTTCGGGCTGGCTCTGCTCCCTCCTTGCAGGTTCCCCAGATGATCCATATTCTTGGCTTCTCCAAGGGTTTTCACTACACCTCTGGCTTTATACTCATAGTTTTGCACACTGCCCCAAAGGGGCACATTCCCTGGGCTCCCAAGCCTCCTGGAATGTGGGTGGAAGCCTTCCTGCCTCCATGACTCTTTCATTCTGCATGTGCCTAGTATCAGCACCACATGGATGATGCCAAGTTCTGTTGCCAGCTGGAACAGTAGCTGGGCTTCCCTCTTGGCTGTAGGCATTGAGTGCCTGGATCACTGAACACTCTGAATCTAATTCTGAGGAATAAATTCTCTAGACCATCACCATTCTGGGACATGGTTCTCTGTCGCATTTTTCCTCAAAGCAAAGTCTTTCATTTTTGAAATTTTGAGGGTACAAAGGGTGGAGTCTTGCTGTTTCTTGTGATGTTCTCAGGTTATCTTTTATAGTCTCCTGCTCCTTCTCAATGATCAAGATCTCCTCTGCTCTACCTTTGCAATCAAGTTTTACTAGAGCTTCTTTTCTGGCCAAACTCAGAATACTTTAAGTCATTCTACTGGGCTTTTTGCTCTTGATTCTCAACACAAATCTGGCTAAAAGTGCCCAAGAGTACCAATGCCACTGTCTCAATATTTGAATGCCTGGACATTTCTTCAGCCAGATAAATTAGTCTTAATCTCAGTCTCAGGAAAAGTTTCTGGACAGGAGCAAAACACAGACAAACTTTCTGCCAAGCCATAACACATTATATGGACTCCAATAGCCAAAGTAATCCTTATTCCCAGCAGAAAAGTCCCAAGCATGGTTTTTACCAGCAGGACTTCTATGAACCTTCTGATCTCCTGAGCTCAGATCAGAATCTCTCATACAGAACAGCCTAAGGCATTCCAGCTCTGCTTTTTCAGGTCCTGCCAAACTTTTCAAATTTTGGGAGTGGCTTTCCACAAGCCATTCCCAAATACTTCCAAACCACACGGTCATGTACAGGCACAGTAACGACACCACTTCTCTTGTATCTAACTGTCTTAGTTATTTTTTGTTGTTGCTAGAACAAAATATCTAACACTCACAAGTAAAGGGAGGAAAGACTTACTTAGGCCATAGTTTGTAGAGGTTTTAGCCCCTAATCATCTGGCTCCAAGGCAGAGTGGTACATGACAGAAGGGTACCAGAAAATAGCAAAAGCAACCAGCAAGTGACAAGATACTTTCTGTCTCTTATAATGCATGCAGGCTACCCATGTTAGGGCAGGCATAGCACTCACAGCCTTAATCCCAAAACTGTACTATGAATCACACATTCTAGATTCAGCCAACACCAAAAAAGCCCAAGACTGCATAAGGCTTTGGGGTAACACCTAAACACAAACTATAACAAACTATAGTAGTGGTTATTTGACTTTTTAAATGTTCATTAATATTTGTTTCACATAGTTTGGCATGGTAGTATTTGGGGCATATATATTTATGATTGCTAACTCTTCCTCTTAGGTTGTTCCCTTAACAAGCATATAAGTGACTTTCCTGTCTCTTCTGATCACTCTTGGCTTGAAATCCACTTTGTCAGCAAATAGAATATATACTCCTGCTTTTTGGGGAGTTCCTGTTGCATGGAATACTGTTTTCTATGCTTTGATCTTCAGTCTATAAATTCATTTTTTCAGTTAAATGTGTTTATTATATGCAGTGTATTGTTAGGTCTTGTTTCTTGATCCATTCTGCCAGTGTTTCTTTTGATTGGTAAACTGAGGCCATTTACATGGATGGTTATAGCTAGTATGTGTTGACTTACCCCTGTCATGTTATTTTTTGTTGGTTCCCTTTTCCCCCTGTTTAATTGCTTGGCTTGCCTGGTGAGTTCATGGAATTGTTGTCTTTTTCTATCAATAGCCTTCAGAACTTTTTAGAGTGCTAGTTTGTTGGTTATGAATTTCTTCAGGGGTTATCTATGAAGTATCTTATTTTTGCATCAATTTTGAAAGATAAATTAATCTGAGTTGGAGGTTTTTTTTTTTCGGGCTTGACAGGCTTTTAAATGTAATATTTAACACAAGTAGCACGAGACATACTAAATATTTTAAGAAGATATTTACTATTAAATTCAGTCTTCCTTAGGATCCTATTCTAATTGTTTTGACTCCTCTTCTATATGATTCAACGTGCAGCAGGCATCAGAATCAGAAGCAAGGTTTGTCACAACCCACTGCTACCTGCCGGTTCTGAGAGCTTCTGATGTAGAAGATCTGAGCAGGGCCAGGGAATCTGTTTGCCCCAAGTTAGTGAACGATGCTGATAGTGCTACTGGAAGAACTTCACTCTCAGAACCTAAGTGCTACATTTTTAGTTCCTTGTAGGGGAAAACTTGAATCTTCAGGTAAGCCTCAGAATATGGTTTATGAAATGTGGATCAAAGAACAGGGAATAGTTTACTGTTTAAATGAAGGCATGAAAAAAAGTGTTGAACTTCTCAAGGATAAAACGATTTGACAAACTACCACACAGTATCACTAGAACACGAACACTGCTATAGTGTTCTCAGCTTTAAAACCACACAAAATGGAAATAAGAAATCAATCCATGTAAAAGTCCAATGTGCAATGCTTATGAGATCAGAGGGAAAACTAGTTTTAAAGAAAAGAATAAAATTGAGCAACAATGATATTACTGATAACCTATCTCCAGCAATGCCAGCCTATAATGTGAACATGCCCGGTATCAGGCGTTTATTCAGGTGGTCTTCTTTAGAGTAAATGCAGATTTTATCTCCACTTTTACTTGTGGAAGTATATACAGCATCAAGCTTCCTGATGTCTCTTTACTATCTTGTAGAGGAGACATTGTGAGCAACTGGTGAATATCTAAATTGTCCCAGTAGGAGTAGGTGCTAACGCTGGCAGTTTCTGAAGTCCAACTTTTGGATCTGTCTTAAAAACTAGAGACAAACCAAATGACTCTCAAACTTAGTGAGGCAGCTTTACCTTCACTGATATCTTGACTGTAGCCTCCATCTGGCTCAATGTCAGAAGGGATCATAATGTGCCACGTGGTCATGCGGGCTTCTGCTTCCAGTCCAAATCCTTCCATGTTGCTGAAAAATGCAAGTCAAGTTTAACCATCCAAAGGAAATGATTACAGCTAAAAACTGTAACAAAAAGCGTCATTCTGTAGACACCTAACCAAAGACTCCCCAGAGTTCTGTTACTGGCAGATGCATAAAGCACAATACTAATTTACCAAGAAGATGCCACTAATTTACCAAGAAGAGTATCTCCAAAATTCACTTGGATAAATGTAAGTAAACTAATGTACAATATCACAATGATCACCTTTGTGTTTAAGATGCTTTTGGATAATTGTTAACTCTGTTACCCAGAACTACATAAAGTTCATTTAACTAGGTCTGATACCCTGTGTTCTCTCCAGCCCCACACCCGCTCTTCTCTGTTCTAGCACTGGTGAGAGTCACAGCTTCCCCCATGTACCACCGCTTTATGCCTTGGGGTAATCCCCCAGACAGCTCTGTCTGTCTTTCTTCAGCACTGGTCCCCCAGCTTCACCATACAGGTCCTTGTCATGTGTTCCAAAGCACAGTGCTGCTTCCACCAGAGCACCCAAAGGCTGACTTTCCCTCCAGAAAGGCTGCCCAGGATCTACCTTCCATTTACCCCACTACCTAACTCCAACACTGGCCCCAACATGCACCACAGAAATACATCAGCGAAATCCACAGAGAAAACTGGTTTCATTCCTTTACTACGTAACATTACACTGAGGTTTTTTTAACGCCTTAGCTTCTAACAGTATGTACTTTGTTATGAAAACATGCTTCCTTTTTAAAATCATAAGGGACATATTATGAAAATGAAAAAGTTTAAAATGTGGACAAGTAAACTAAAGGAAAAAACACTCATTCTTTTCATTAGAAATAAATACTTGTCCTTTTCCATTTGCATAAAATATTAAGTAAAGCAGAAAAAAAGGAAAGTAAAATATTATCCAAAAAGCTACCAGACTTCTGGTGGCATAATATGAAAGAAACCCTCCACACGGCAAGCTGAGCTCCATAGTTACCTTCCAGCGTGCAGATTCATCAAGCAGTGAGCCAGACAGCTGATGAATTCCTGGTCATGGTTCCCAGGTCCCAAGACCAAGTTCCGGTTGACAGTCAGGACCCGGAGCGAGTCTAGGAGCGCTACTTGCTGGGGCACAGTCTTGTGTGCCCGTGAGAATTGATACAAGATTGTCCTATTGAGGCAGTGGTAAACCGCATCCAGCGACAGCCCCTGTGATCTTCTCTTGGACTGAAGACATCAAGAGACACGTTTTTAGCAAAATGGACAAAAAGGAAATGCTAAGTTCACACACGAATTAGCGATTAGATTCCATATGCCATGCTAATTACTAGGGTGCTAAGTTAAACACCACTAAGCTTCTGCTATCATGGGGCTCACACTCTATTATTCTGAAGCTCCAGCTGCATCCTGAGAGTGCTTCCCCCTGAGGTGGCTGTAAACATGTCCCTGAGAAGAGCCCTGGGGACTGGAGGGCACAGCACACAGGAACAGCATAGACAGCTTACGCAGTATTTTAGAAAAATGAGGCTTATGGCTACAAATCAGAATAGTGACTGGACTCATTGGCCACAGTGCTTCCCATTCTGCAGGATGTGGTGAACACGATTAAAAACCTGTGCCAAGCTAGGCCAATATCTCCAGTCAAACATGCACAAGGAACAAAGAACAACTTCACAGGCACACGACCACATGGACCAAGTAAGGCCAGGTGACAAGACAGCACCTCTTTAACGCCAACTCGCCATGCTCTCATTAAAGCCCATCAAGCTGCATGAACATAAGGTTAAACGCAGCTGTAGCAAAGAGGACACCACAGGTGTGAGCAGGTTGACAGGGACCCTCTGTGCCAGGCCACTGGTAAGGAGAAGGGTTAAACGGATACTTTTATTCACTTTCAATACTTAGCTTTATACTAAATGTTAACATTCATTGTCTTATCAGTCACAATTCTTTGCAACAATGTTGACATCATAGGCAAAGTTTTTCAGAAGGGAAACATGTACTCTACGACTAATAGTGACAATGGATTACCTGTGCAATTAGTTGAATTATAAAATCTATAAGAAGTTTAGAGTCTTTGTTGAACATGCCTTGCCAAAGCTTGTCCACCACACGTTGTGTGAAATAAAACACATTGTTCACCAATACCTGGTAACTTCCTCCGCTGGTAATAGGCAGAGATGCGTCTTCCCCTAAATTCCAGCAGGAAAAGAGGTCTAAGAAAAGTGGTGTCTACTAGCGCGAGACCAGATTCTCAGAGACATGAGGCTAAAGAAAAACGCATGTATCTACAGCACTGAAGAAACATGACCGCAAGCGCTGGCGTACTGTTTTAGGAAAATGATGTTTATGGCCACAAGTTGGATAATTACTGCAGAAAACAGTTTTAGCCAGATACCAGTGTAGTGGATGGAGACGCTCCATGAGGTCCCCCATGCCTAAAGACCATCTATGACAAGCAAGGAGGGCTTCAGCTCAGTTGCTCACATGGCCCAACTCCATGAGGAAGTCAGTTTACCAGCTAGCCACGGCTTCTGTGTAAATAACAGAGTGAAGGCGACCCACTCACTGCAGCTATTATCTTGGTGTATATCTTTAACAGCAATGCAGCAGACAGGCGGAAGAGGCTTCGGGAAACCGGGACAATTAGGGGCCCTGTGCTCTGCCACCATCTCTGCGGCCACCCTACTGCCCTTCATCTGCAGCTAAAAGCATGCTGCTTCCAGGTAATGCCCCAGCCCTTCCTTCCATCTACAACCTTCCCCTCTGAGCCCCTTATCCTCAGTAGAAATCCCATAGATTCGCTGACCATGGCTACTATTATTTCTTCTCTATTTGTCACATTAAGCAAAACTTTATTTTTATCGTTATGTGGTATGGTTGATCTCAACTGACAAGGAACAGGTACCAAAGTATGACTTGACACTTGGCTTTGAGGGCGCACGGTTACATGTTAAAAAGATGCTCAACACTTCCTGGCAAATTTATTTTGGAAAAAAAATTTTACTTAGTAACACAGAGGTTCTATGTTTCATATTATCACAGGGAACTCAGAATAGTACTTAAAATAAGCCATTTTTTCCCCTCAGTAATTCTAATTTTGCTTATACATAAACAGTGGCTCCAATGTAAATGTCACAAGTTCTGAGTTTTTATTGTAACTAAATACCAATGCACTGAACAAACATAGCCTAGGCTCTTTGGCCGTATTCCTGGACCAGCCTTTTCACCACAAAAATGAAAAAGAATTACCCAGTAACACATCAGCTGCAAGTAGGTGGTCCATCACACCATCCAAAATGTAAGTCTGAAATTCTTTTTGCTGAGTTCTTGTGGATCTTTCAGGGGAAGCCTAAATCAATAAAAACTGAAATTAGAGACAGAATTAACTGCACAAAGATAGGGGCTCAATAATATTTATACTATGAAACATAAAAAGAAAGAAAAAACCCTTCTAATGGTAAACTTTAAAAAATCTAACCCAAGAGATGGTACCTATGGTTATAATCTTTCTCTTGTTTTTCTGGACATAGAACTTGAAAAAAGTTAAAGCTGAGATGAAACATCTTCTTTGAACTGATTTTTCCAAAAACACTACTCTAAATTTTATAATTATTTAATAAATATTTGATAATCTATTCGTCACTTCCAACAAGAGATCCGGCAGTTCATAATGAAATACAAAAATCAGGAAGACATTTCAACAACTACAAAAGCTCAAGAATCTGATGCTGAAGGGGAGGAGTCAAGGGATAGGAGGTGTTTAGGACACACTCAGTAAGCACATAATCCGCTTCGAGCCTCACAGGTGTGGACACAGAAACAAAGTGCGGTTTACAAAGCTCGTGATGACCTCAAGAGGAAGAACAGGGAACAACCAGCAGGGATACGGGGAGTCCCTCTGCCTGTGAGGAGGAACGCTCTCAGAAAGCAGCAAGCAGCCTACAGGTTACGTTTATCTTGGCTAACAGCTTTATGAGGCACAAGATGGTTTTCAAACGATCCTGCACAAAGGCTGAGGCATGAGGTCAGGCAATATCTTCTAGGAGTGTCTATCCGTGCTAGAGGAAGGCAACCTGCGGCCTGTTTGCGTATCAAACCTGGTGAGCGACAGGGAGCACAGGGAAGGAGGGGGAGGGTCCTTTCATCATCCACCAAGACCAGCAGTTTAGCGAGGCTCCTGACAAGTTGGCTATGGAACAAGTCAACAAATGACCAGAATGTTCTTTCTTAAAAAAGAGATCTTGCTGGGTGTGAAGGTACACCCTACCATCCCGTGTCCTCAGAAGGCCAAAGCAGGAGGACTGCATGCTGCCTCAGAACCAAGGGGACAAGAGGAGCAGCTCAGTAGCACAGCATTTGTCCAGTGTGTGAGAGGTCCTGGGTTCAAACCCCAGTACCAGGGTGGGGAAGGAGGAGGGAGGGAGGCAGAGAGCGTGCTTTGGATGGAGATTATTTATTCAGGTATTCACCGGACATCACTGTTCACCTGACACTTTCACAGACATGTATTTCATGTTTCGGTTCGGTATTGCCTTCTTGCACACACCCATTCTCAAGCTTGTCCTGTTACTCTCTGAACCCATCTCAGCGTTCAGGGAATGCTTGTTTCTCCTGGTACGCTATAATACTGAGGGTCTCTCTTCCTGGAACTTTTTACAGACTTTGAAGAGGACAAGCTCTCCTGGGCGAGCTTTTGAATTCTCCCCCATGGATTATTTTCCTGCCAATAGTAAACACTGGTCCTGGCTCAAATTCTTAGCCCACCTGGGTCCTAGATTATATCAGTCACTCCCTTTCATTGATCAAGCCACTTTTTCACAGGAGTAAGGCCAGCACCTGTGGCTTTAAGATGAGAACCAGCATCAGATGCTGGGGAGCGGAGGGCACTGGGCTGGGCTGCCCTGAGAGAGCAGTGGTTCTGAGAAGCCACAGGCTCCAGTCTCTTCCACTGACCCGGGAACCGTGAACCTGCTCACAGGCACTGCCAGAGGACCCTGCACCCAGGCAAGGCGAGTGGGTATGCGAGCCCCTCTGCGTGACCTTTTGTCTTCTCTGGAGACCTGTTTTGTTTTGTTTTTGGAGACAAGGTCTCACTAGGTAGTGTAGGCTGGCCTTGAACTCGAAGCAATCCTCCTGCCACAGCCTCCCAAAGGCTGGGGTTATGGGTATGTGTCACCCCAACTGGCGCAGAATACTACTTTTTAATGGTTTTCAGAAACGGTAATTTCTAGACCAGCAGTGAGGCGTGTCGGGGGCAGAGCCACCATTAGTTCTCTGATGATGGGGCAGGGGCTGAGGCAGGGAGCCTGAGGAGAGGTGACAAGGCTACTCGCAGGCAGTCATCCGTGTCCAGGGCAGGGCTGGGCACACAGTGGCTGCGAGCAGATATAGTTTGTGCAGCAGGGACCCCACACGGCCCTGCTCCGTCTTCAGGTACAAACTGTGGCTGCCCTCACGCTACCACGATGCAGCTGCGCAGCACGACACAGACCATGTGGCCCAAAGCCTGGGCAGTCCCTGAGGCCTTTCCAGAAAACCTGCCCATTCCTGGGGAAGGGTGGCAGGTGGCCTGGTCGGGCGCTGTGTGAGGTGGGTAGAGCAGACCACGAGTCTAAGCCGCAGGCGCCAAGCACTTCACAGCCGTGCCGTGCTCTGGCCCTGTGGGGCCCGGAGGGCTGGGACCTGGAGCATGGGAGCCAGGGCCTGCTTAGGAACAGTCTCATGGCAAAAGCAACGACGGCAAGATGGAAGCGTGCTCCTTTCTCTTTACCTCCAACAGAAGATCGATCAGCGGCGTCTGCTTGCTGGCAGGTGTGAGACAGAGGTTGTCTATGATTAAGACCCGCATGAAGTCGAAAACGAACTTTTTAGCCGGGTGGTTGGTCAGATAGGTCTTTGTGCCCACATTGCAGTACTCCGACTGGCTCCGGTTCATCCCCGTGTCTGCGGCGAAGGCTTTAAACTCCTCGGCGGGAGACCCCACTTCATCATCAAGGTCAGTCACCTGGCAAAACCACAGGGAGCCACGTGAGGTTCACTGGGACACTTGCTCGTGCTTCCCAAACATGAAACAGCACACAGCGTCCTCCTTCGGGACATCCTCCCTGCCATGCTACGCAGCACCCTGCTCACCCTGACCGGGCTTCCAGCGCACCGGCAGTCCCTCAGGCCAAGGGCCCTCCAACTGACCACTCCACGTACCTGCAGCTCCGTGGCATCACGGGCCTCTTGTGCAAAGAGCCTTTTGGTCTAGTAATAGTACGACAACCACTACTTTTGGGTACGGGAAGTCTGCCTACTGAGAAGTCAGTCCACTCTAGATAAAAGCCTGGCACACCCCAGTAACTAAGCTCTGACCCATTTTCTTTGCAGGAGACAAAAGCCCAAGTGAACAAAAAACAACAAAGGTATTTCCAATTGTTAGTGAGAGAAAAATCAGTCTTGAAGACAAGTAAGAGGCTGATGAGATTTTTAAATATTGCAGGAGGTTACCTTTTTACCAAAAATGATAGCTCTAAAATTATACACAAGCCAGAGTGCTAAGGTAATGCGTTACGGTGTAAGCGACTGTCTCCTAGAATTCTCAGTTTTAGAATGACTATTTTACCTTTACACAGGGAGAAAAGGAGGTGGTTTGCTCCAGGTCTTCCAGTACATGACAGAATGGAAAGGGAACGACTGAGGGTACTACTGAGAAGGACAGAACAAGGATCTGCCCCATTTTTATCACGTTGTAATAATTTTTTATTAAATTAGTACAAAATAGGAGAAATGTTAAGCAAAGTAAGAAAAGCTGGGCAGTAGAAATAAGAGCACATAGCTCCATCTTAGGAGTTGGAAAAGTTTGATATTTTGTTTCTGTAAGTTTCCTTGTGTCTTCTTCCACCACATAAATGCATTAACAATCAAAGTATAATTATTTAATGCTTTGTGAATCTGATTAAAAAACCTGACTGGCACGGTACTAAGAAATAATTTGATACGAGTCACTTTTTATATTTACATAGTTTTTTTTTTTACTATTTTAAAATTAGAGGTATTCCTGTCATAATTATAAACAAAATTAGCCTGTGTTAAAATATATTCCTGGGGGTCAGAGATATAGCTCAGTGGCATTAGCACCTGCCTGGCAAGCACAAGATCCTGAGTTCAGTTCCTGGTACCAACAACGAACAAACAAAGAAACCAACTATATATATACACACACATATATCCTTGGGTGCTTTATTCACATGTCATTCACTCTTGAAATTTTGAAGGCTAATTATATGGCATATTTTAAAATATTTTACTCAAAATCAGCTTTTAAATTTCACTGAAGGAAGCTGGGCATGGTGGTACATGCCTATAATCCCAGCACTTGGGAGGTAAGGCAGGATTGCACTGAGTTTGAGGCCAGCTTGACCTACACAGTGAGTTCAAATCCGGTCTGAACTACATAGCAAGATTGTCTCAAAAAATTTTTTTCTTTCCACTGAACATTTTGGTGAGGAATAACAGAACATATAATGAAATTACTGGTAAAATTTTGAAAATTTCTTTCTATAAAATATAAAATACTCAATATCTAAGTCTAAATTAGGCATGGAAGATCAATGTTAAAACTGGATTTTTGTATCAATGTTATAGTATTCAAAATATAAAATATTTAATACTTATAAACATGCTTTTATAAAAGTAAATCTTGAATTACTAAGAAAAAAATAGTCAACTCTGTACTTCATTTGTAAAGATAAATCCAGCAGATGTCTACTCCCTAAAATACGAGGGTAAACAACTGGTCTGGCTGGAGATCTGCTAGCTGAGAAAAGGGTTTATAACCATACAACTATCATGACACCACATCAGACGAGTCGACCGGACGTAGAGAGGGGATTAGAACAAGGGACGCACAGGAACACAGGAAAACGAGGAGGAGCTTCCCTGCCGCTGCGGTGAAGACGGCAGGAAGCTGCAGGGTGCTCAGGACACGAGGCTCAGAGACACGGGCCACTTAACGTGTTCCATTAAGTTACGAAACCAAGATTGGCAAGAAAGGATGTGCTAACCAGTGCACAGACTAGCTGCAGTTTTGCCACCTTCCTCCCCTTTCCTACCATCTCTGAGTAGGGGCGGATATTGAAGGGGAACACAGTCGCGGCCAAGGCGCACAGGAAGTCGGGGCTCATCCACATGGAGGCCAGGTCAGGCACGTTGTGGTACAGGTAGCGGAAGAACTGCATCAGGGTCACTGGGTATTCGCGCAGCCAAGACCCCTCTTCCTCCGACTGCCATGGCTGCAAGGCGAGAGCAGAGGGAGGTTACAGAGCTGCTGACACTCCCGCTACTCACAGCACTTTCACAAGCGGATGTGTCAACAGCCCAGAGCTCTGTAAACCACATGTGTGGGCAAAGATGTGCACAGCTGCGCAGAAACAAAGCCCTGAGGACTGGGAGGACTCCATGTTCACTGGAGAGCTCAGCTGCAGCTCTGATCATCTGTTCCTGTCAGCAGGCCCAGTGCTGGCTGTGCTGTGCATTCTGTGTACCATGCTGGAGTCAGGAGTGAAAGACAAGGTGGGGAGCACTTCATCCTCTGAGCCGCTCACTGTACAACAGGAGTGATGCTGCTAAGTACAAGGACACGTCTGTAACTCCAGCATTGGGGAGGCTGAGGCAGGAGAGTTCCTGTGAATTTGAGACCAGACTGACCTACATAGTGAGTTCAAGGCCAACCTGCACTACATAGTGAGAACTTGTCTCCAAACAAAACCAAAACCAAAAGCAATCTTACATGGTGTACACAAACAAAGTCATAGAAACAAATTAAACAAATTATTCACAGAATTCCCAGGCAACAGATGGGAACATACATGTTCTGTTCAGTTGTTCACTTCCAACTTGGAAATAATCTGAACAAAAAAAAGTGGAAAATAAAAACTTTCACTGTTAACATTTTTAATCTCTCTTCTAGAGTTGAAACTGTGCATGAGTGTCATTATGTATAAAGTAAGTCTCCACTCTGCACACAGGCAGCCATCGGAACCTAGTCTCATCATGAGTGGTGTCAGTTGGTGCTGCGGAAGCCCTGACTACATGCCTGGCTGTCCTGTAAGTACTGTATTTGTATTTGAATTCATTTACGCTGTGGAAACTGAGGCACACGGCAGTGTGAAGCACCAGAGGCAGGCCCTGGGTTCTGGAGTCTGGGTCCTAATGGCTGCACCTGTGTCCTTCCTGCAGCTGGTGAGGCGGAGTGGAGGGAACAGAGACCTCCCAGCAAATACGCAGCAGATTCCTCTACACAAGTCAACAAGCAGGCCAGACATGGGAAGGCGAAGCGGCGCCCGGCTTACCGAGTTCAGCATGCTGCGGAGCATGCCCAGCAACAGGAAGGCAGCCTCCGTGCACACGCTGTGGACGGACGAGACCACGGTTCCACTGGAGGCCGGGACACCAAAGATAAACCTCCAGATCGAGTCCAAATCGAACTGCAGAGGCCAAAGGCACTAGAGGTGAGGCACTTGTAGTTTTTTTCAGGAGAGATTCTAATTAAGTTCTAAGAACAAATTTATTTGATTATTTTAAAGTGAGAAATGAAGAAATAGAGACCTAGCAACTCGCTATCCCCCATTTCAAAACCCATTTTTATGGTTATATTATGCATGATCGTGTGACCTGTCTTAGGTATCTATGTTTAAAATGCTGCTTTCATGTTCATAAATAAGCAAAAATAAAATACAAGATGCTGTTAGAGAAGTAACAATTGTAAGGAAGATCTTTCTAAAACACCATGAGGACCTCACTTCCTCTACTTTTGGCAACGTTTTAAGTCAAACCTAGGTAAGACTTAACAACAGAAACGCATTTGAAGAGCTATGTTAGCATCAGTTTTATGTGATACTTTATTATTGTGGTGCCACAGGTGTTGAAAATCATGTCAGAGAGCAGACACAGGGCTCTGGGCCTTGACTTACTCTAAGGCTCCAGCCCAAGTATCAACTACTAGAACTGATCTGAATAGGATCTGGCACTGAAAGGAAGTAAAGTTGAGCTGAAAAGCTAAATTCCTAAAACTCTGTAGTGCAACAAACGTAAGATTTACACAGACATTCGTAAAAGTTTTGCATTAGAAGTCAAAATTGCCATTATTTTTCCAACAGTCTATGTTAAAAAAACATTAAAAGTATTTCTCTAATCAGACCCTCACCCACTCCCTTCATCTTTCTCAGAAAATTAAATCATATTTCTAGATAAAAATTGCATAGCTCCAAACATTCTTTCAACGACCACACATACCCTTCTACCTCCTACGCACGATCATAGAGAGGCACCACAAAGCGAAAAAGGCCACGTGGTGACGAGGCCCTTCTTGTTGGGAAGAGTTATGGACAGAATTTTCATCTGGTTTCCATCCCCACGAAAGCGGGGGAGTCAGAAACGGGTGTCATGTGATTACCCCGGCCCGGAAGGCGCTGAGCACACAGTCAGACACACACCTTACTAGCTAATTCCTACCTGGCCACCCTGCTTACATCGGCTGCTGGCGACAGGCGCACTGACCTGCAGGTTCTCAGGCAGCTCACTAACTGGCTGCTGCAGAAACAAGGCCATGAGGAGAAAATAGAGGGCAGGGACATTGGTGTGCTTAGGGAGGAAGGACTGCAGAACCGGAAAGCCGGGAAAGTGGCAGGCGTCCCGGTTAATCTCCCTGATGGTCGATCTCCCGCCGGCACTCCTCCCCACATTGAACCCTAGGAGAAGAGGAAATATAGCAAATGAACAACCAGCAACCACACTGCGCCACAAAGGGACAGAGACTCAGCACGCATGGCAGGCACTTCCATCCCGAACTTGCAGGTAAGCACAGGCCATCAGCTCTCAGCTGTTCAGGGTGTCTTCCGCTGAAAGTCACGCTTTGCTGGCTGTGTGGCTTAGCAAACTTGTGCAGTGTATGAAAATACTTAGGGTGATAAAAATCCCACTCATTAAAAGAGTAACTTCAGCCAGGCCAGGTGGTGCACACCTATAATCCCAACTACTCAGGAAACTGAAGCAAGAGGATCACAAGTTGGAGGCCAGCCCATGGAACTTCTGAGACCGTCTCCAAAAATTAAAAAGGGCTGAGAATGTAGTTCACTAGTAAGAGTATCTCTAGGTTCAAAACCCAGTGTTGCTCATCCCTCTAAAAAAGAGTAACTTCAGAAATACTTTCTTTTTCTTGCTTGTATTCCTTTAAAAAGACAGTGTAATTCAAAATATAGCCAAGCTTGAGAATACTGCACAAATATACTTTAGAACTATATTTGGTACGGTAGTTAATGTACTTTATTGGTCTTGAAAATCATGATCAACCAGTTAATCTTAAATTATGGCTTTAGAGAAGGACCAACAGAAGAAACAAAATGGCCTTCTCTACAGCGTGCAGGGCAGCTGGCCGGCAGAAGGGCAGTTAAGTGTAAGCCCACTGTGGTGTGGCTGTCCACGGGCGCTGGCCGCTGGAGCCTTCTGCAGAAAGCCAGTTTTTCCAAGAGATGGGCAGCGCTTCTCCCTGGGGCTCTACCAGCCAGTTCCTGTGTTCTGCAGTGAAATTCAGTCTGCCTCCCAAACACGCCCTTTGCCACCCAAACCTAGTATGGTGCTCAACACTATACAAGCATCCAGCATCAGTCCATCTTACAAAAAGCAGTGAGGAACTGACACATGCTTGGAAGCCATTTGTATTTCAAATGGAGTCACATTTTTTTTTACTAGGACGGAGTAAGCACACATTTGCCACTACTATTTAACATAATAAAAGAACACTTTCCGTCTAGGTTGCCTTTTATCCTAACCACCTACTGGGTGTGATATAAGTTAATCTTCTAAAGTACATCTCACCAATTAACGAAACTTTCAGGGGACAGCAGTTACCAGGCTCCTCAATGTATCATCTCAGAACCATAATGCGTATGTGAACCATAAACTGCTATGATCGATTTTGTAAGAGAAAATATGAGGCACATTCCAGGTCACAGAGTTGATGAGTGGGGGGACAGTGTAGGAGGCCAGCATCTTTATTTATGTATTTACAGTATCTGTAAGACTGGGCTGCTGACATCACTGTTAACCACTTCTCTACATCTCTCAGAGAATGGCTACTTAGGACCCGAGCTGATTTTTTTCTTTATTGTAAGTTCTTTAATTACTAACAAAAAGTAGCACTTTATACATAAAATTGAAAAATAATTTTGCTCTAACTGCTGGTCCTAAAGGAAAGCAATACTGAGGCATGGGGGTGCAGCTCAGCAAGAGTGCAAAAGGCCCTTGGGTTCAAACCCAGGCACTGCAACACAAACTAGAACAACAAAACCAGGAAACCAATATTAGCACTGTCCCATCCTTTTTGAAATCCCATACTATATTCCCCCTACTCCTACTAATCTTTAGGAATATGTGATATACTATGATGGCATTAGGCAATGTTAGGTATTAATTCAGATTACAGTTACATGGATGGTATTGTTATAAACAGATTTTATAGCACCTAATGAATATGAACTTTAAAGTCAAAATCATTGATTCCTGGAACCAAAAATAAAGTCAAAATCATTAGGTTGCTTTTCAGATCAAAGAGAAATGGTATCAAATGATATAAGATATCTGTACCTGTCATATAGATACATACAGATAGACACTAAGGAGAAACTAAATTAAATGAGATTAAATTAAATAGGCCAGGCATGGTGGCACACTTGTAAATCCTAGCCCTCAGGAGGGGATCCCTGCGAGTTCAAGGTCAGCCTGGGCTACCAAGTGAGCTCAAGGCAAGCTGAACTGCATGATAGTGAGAGCCTGTCTTAAAAAAATTCTGCAATCAGGACAGCATGTGCAGTGCACAAGCAGGTACCGATGAGGGATGAACAGGCTCTAACGCACACTCAGGTGGGTCAGATGTGGGAATGCACAGCTCTAACATTACCAAACTGATGAAAGATGGAAGAAACCCAGGACAGCGAGGAGACCACTAACTTCCTGGCCTGGAACACCTATGGAATTAATAACCTGAATCTCCTGATTAGAGAGACTGATTCTTAACTTACACTAACAAGCTTAATTTATTTCTTATAAAAATGATTTCTGTCATCTGAAGTAAGCATCTATCTCCAGATCCATGAGGGGTAAAGGCAATGACATAGTGAAAAAATTCTGCAAATCACAATGTACTCTGTAAAGATTAGTGACCACTAGTGCTGCTTTTGACTTTCCTAGGAAGCAGTCCCTTTCTGTCCTTCAGCTGTTCTTCTGGTCTACAAGCTAAATTTCCTGCTATGAAACTGCCTAGTTAACACATTAGGTTACAGTTTTCCCCAGAGCCTATGAAAAAATACTGATCTATTTTTCAGAGTGCAAAAAATATCTATAATAATAATTTAAAGTCAGACATGATAGAATATGCTTGTAATCCCAGCACACGGGAGACTGAGGCAGGAGACCTGCCTTTGATTTGAGGCCAGCCTGGGTTACACAATGAGACCCTGTCTCAAGCCCCTTCACAAAACAAAACAAACAAAAAAATGCAAACAAAAACAAAAAACACAGTAACTTTTTTTTTCTGGTCTTTTTGAGATAGGGTCCTGCTCTGCAGTACAGGCTGGCCTTCGGCTCACTTTGTAACCCAGGGTGGTCTCCAGCTCACAATGATCCTCCTACCTCAGCCTCCCAAGTGCTGGGATTATAGGTGTGCACCACCATGCCCAGCAACAATAATTTAAAATGTTTTAAAGCAAGTGGTTTTCTTGAAAAATCATTTCATGCTTCACTGGAAATGCTCTCTTCTTTATCACATACTGTTTCTTCAGATATTTTCCACATGTATAATAATAATACATCAGCGCAGTCCAGATCAGAAGCTGTCACCCTGTCACCTGCCTTGATAGCTGAATTGACAGCAGGGTCACACACAGGGAACCCCTTTTCAAGTCTTAAATCAATGGACTCCATATAAATTCTGATTCCTGACCTTCCCACCTGACAAAGGTAAGTTCTTGTGATCGTCTTCTTGGGATCAGACAGATCACAATTATACAGAATTTTATGTAACGCCATAAGAAGAAATTACCTTCAAAGTACTTTAAGAACTGAAGACTGATTTTCAACAATAGCATTATCTTCAAGTACCTCTTTCCCACAATGAGATCATTAATACAACAAGAAATGCCAGTTCAAATGACTCTGACAGGCATACAGGAGGCTCTGGTTTTCCAGTACTATCTCAAAGCTTGCTTCTCTGTGCTACGTACTAATGGACAGAGAACGCATCGCTGCGGCTGGAACGCTGACTGTAGTCCTTGAATGCCCCAAGAGGGGACTTCAGCTCTGAGTGACCTGGATTCAATTCTAGCCCTCCCCAGCTGTGGGACAAGTGCACACCTACGGGCTGGCTTCCTAATCTGTAAATTGGTTGAGATGGCATTTATGCTTTATGTAGTTATGGTGCATCAAGTGTTTAGAAACTGACAAAATGAACACTCAAACATCTATTATTAGTAGTACTGCGGCTACTACTTCTGCTTTAGATGATTTGCTAGTTATTTACCTATAGATGAAAGAGGACCTATGTTAGAAAAAATAGTAATATGTAGAGTTTGCAAATTTAGTGTCCTGTAACTTCAATTTGAATTTGAAAACCTCTAAGCCTTTCATTCTGTAATTATATGATGATTATGACACATAGCAGTATCAGATAACCCGAAGAACATGTGCTTATGTAAGCTTTGGACACAGAACACAACAGCTCACTGACAGCAGCTGACTGTCCATGGCCGTACCTAAGACAGTTCCGATCTTGTTGGTGAGGACGGAATCGGTCTGCTCAAGCCATCCTCCGCCGCTGAGCCCTTCTTTAAACTTGATGAGAATGGACTGGTTGCTCAGCAGGACCACAAGAATCCGCATGGCTGCCGTCACCGTGGTGGAGTGCAGGTGCTCCTCCATGAACATCATGACCCAGTCGAAACCCAGGGTCCTGACCAGCTCCTCACAAGCTCTATTCATAGACAGGTAGGTGAAAGGAGTGAAGTTAATTCCAGCAATCAGGAATTCACACTGAAAGGTATAAGTGGGCTTCCTGCTTGAGATGCCTTGTATTTCATAGTTAAAAAATCTATAAAAAGTCAGCGGCAATGTCTTTGTGGCTTGACACGGTTAACCAGTATTAGCACATGGTACCATCAATTCCCAAGTTTTTACTTACTGCAAGTTAATGCTTGTCTTTTCTTTAGATGTATAAACTAGTTTCAGCAGAATATCTAGAAGTCTGTTCCTCAAAAGTATAAGATTAGCAGATACAAGACCTCCAAACTCCTCTTCTGTCCCTAAAATTAAAATACATACATTAGATGCCCATAGCAGATAATATATACAACATGATTCTCTGAAACGTCACTTTTTCTAAGAATGTTTCCCACTAACACAAACAAGGAAAAAGATCAGTGAAACCATTTCTCTTTAGAGCTCTGAAAATTGTTCTTTCACATCTGATGTTGCCTACATTATGCCTTCTTTTACATCAGTCCCCTTTTTCCTCCACAGCAGGGAAAAGCCATCAGATGTGGACTACATAAATCAACGTACTACTTGCTGCAGGGCCTCAACCTCTTAGAACATTCATTTGTAGTTTCTTTTTTGAAGGGCACAGTTAAATTTATCAACTTATATTGGTTGGCTTTAAAATGTGCTTTCATCTTTTATTCATTATGGATGCTTTGAGCTCACCCAGGAAAACTGAAGACCTGCTCTTCTCCCAAGAAGCATAGATTGGTGATTTGCAAATTGTCTTATCAAAAGCATCCCATTCAACCTAAATTGCCTAAAGAATCACTTCCTTTAAATACTATTTCTACAATAAATTCACACAGACAAAATTCTCCCATAAAACTGAGACAGCAATGCCTACATCACAGAGCTGTGGTATGCAACACTCAACAATGATCAGTAAATGCTGTCCTGATCTGGTCTCTAATCTTGAATCCACTGCAATCCACTTCACCAAAGGAATGTCACCATTGCTCCAAACGAATGGTAGCCCCACCAAAACTTACCCTGTGATTTGCAGTGATTCACTTAGATGCTCAGGCCTCCTAGCCTCTCCTTTGGAAATCATGACTGCACTACTTTTTCTTACTTGTGACACACAGGGAAGTCTGTACTCAGGATAAGACAGTAGACACAGAGGACAGAATTCCTCTGCAAGCACCAACCCTTACTTCCAAGACTTCTCTAGTCTCTACGTGTGTGCATGGGGCTTTAAGAGATGAGTGGGGCATGACTGTGGAATAACGGAAGAGGATAAGATTAACAGTGCTGAATGAAGACAGTTATGGGTCGGTGTCCACAGGAGACTGGCTCCAGGGCTATCTAGACGCCAGTCTCAGAGATGCTCAAGCTCCTTCTGCAAAACAGCGCAGTCTGTGCACCTAATCTACACAGCCCCACTCACATGCTTCCGATCCTCTTTCACGGCCTTACAACACCTAACACTGCACAAATGCTATGCGAAACGCTGTCCTCGTGTACTGTTTAGAGAATAATGACAAGAAAAAATGTCTGTGCCCATCACAGACATCTCAGTATGCAGTTGGGTGAAGCCACATATGGAGCCCAGGCTAGTTGTATATAACCTGTGAATTTAATTACAGAGGTCAGTCCAAAAGGGCTTTCAAAATACTCCAAAATCAACTCTCCACCTTAGAATGCACAACAGGAATCATATGGGAACATAGGGAAGATATGCAAAATGTGCTTTAAAAAAGATGTTCATCATGGACTCAGCTCACAACTTACAATTACTGGTATTTTGTGTACTACCCGGAACATATATTCTTATATTATGCTTACATAAAGTAATTCTAGTAAAATGTCCATTTTCCTAGTGACTACTAAATACTTAAAAAGGGAAATATTTTTATTGCTCTGAAACTTTACATTTACAGTAAAATTTATACCCCATTAAACTTTGTAGGCAATGCTATCTTTTTGCATATTGAATGGGCTTGATATAAAGTCGACACATCTCTGAAAAGACTACACCCTGCAAAGTAAGGAGAAAACTTACACAGCATTATCATTTTGTGTCAAAAGAAAAAGGGCATAGTAATTAGTTAATTGCTATCTTTCTCAAACTCCAGAATCAACTTACCAGTGTCAAGTTTCTCTTCATTATTTATTTCCATAACTACAAATTTCTCACAAACTGCAAAGGTTGGCAAAGTAGAAGAAATAAACTGGCCAAACCTTAAATAAGGGGTAAAAAAAAAAAAATTACGGATTTTATTTTTCTTTCCTCAAAACAAGTAAAAGAATACAAAGAATAGGAAAACAAAACAACATTTCTTATTTGATCTCTTAATCATTTACCTGATTGTATTTGGTTTGTTTCCTCTTGGATCACCCCCAACAACATACATATACAACACTGTTACACACACACATCATGCTTTTAAAGAATTTAGGTCTTCAGAAGTATGAGTTTTTTTAAAGCCATAAACTCCAATGGTTTTAAAACCCGAAGAGCATGATCAAGCCAAGTTCAAATATTCTAACATTATCTAAATGGATGCCCTGTATCGTAGTTGTTAAGAATGTGGGTTGTGGAAAGGTAGGTTAAGAGTAAACCCTGGTTCTAATATTTTTTAACTATGTGACCTGGGTCAAACAACTTAACTTCTGTGAGCCGCTGTTTCTTCATTTATAAAGGAAAGACAAAAATTAAAACTTTGATAGGCTTTGGTTATAATTTTCAGCAAAGCAGTTGGTAAAGCTGGGGTAAATTCTCAATTAAAATTGGTGATAGTGGTAATTGCCCCGAATAATTCTTAACGTCCAGTTTCAAATATCACCAAGTTTAAAAAACATGTTTTCAAGGTAAATTAATATAAAAATGAGTGCCTGCCAGCCCCACAGCCTGGAGACCAACTGACTGAGGGTGATCTGACAGAGGGGTGTGATTTTGATTTCACCTGAGGTAACCCTGGGTGATCCTGTGAGGAGCACACACCAAGCCCAGGCCAGGCAGCTGCCTACCTGAACAGTTCTTGGCTTAGCTAGTTTTTCATTGGTTTTAAAGCTGGGGATTATGATATGAACAAAAGTCTGTTTCTGCAAACACTGCATAAATATGCCTCACTATTTCAGCAAAACAATATATCAGATATTAGGTTTAACTATGTAACAATTAAATACACCTGTTTGAATGTCAGAGCCCAAAGAGAAAAGTGGCAACATGCAGAGCAGGCAGGGGACTGAATTCCTGCACTGGACACTTTCCCACAGCCAACGTCCACATGCTTCCTGTGATCCCCTAGGGGCACGCTGTACTCTCCTGACAGGTGGCATCAACAGGGCAGGTGTTACACAGGCACAGGAACCATCAAGCTCACCTCACCCGTCCTAACTCCCTGGCCCTTTCTAGTAAACATGAAGACAAACGCAGGGCTTCCTGTACCTGAGCAGATCGTTGCTGCTGGGAAAACCTTGCAGCAGGAAGCTGAGCACATTACTGATGGCGGCAATGGTGGGCTGGGACAGAGACACATCCCGGAGGGTCAGCAGCAGCTTGGGGATTAACTGTAGCTCCCTCATCAGCTTGGCGTTCTTGGAAGCCTCACTGCGAGACAAGGACGGTTCAACCGACTGCCCCACGGCAGCGTCCCTGTCACTGAGCCACCACCTCCTCAGGCAATCACTCATACCTGGACTCGGTCAGCAGTTCGATGAAGTGTTCAAACAAGGACAGATGAAGCTCATATGGGGCGTGGAGCCAGACCTTTAATAAGAACAAAGAATGGCAGCAAACTTAGCGTTACAAAAGGCCCTAAATGCCAATGCAACCAGAAACAGTGCAAGGAACTTATTTCATTTATGTAACTAACTTAATACAGCTCTTTTGTTAGTTTTCATTTGGTAAACCCCTTGTACATATGAGGAAAACAATCACTATCAATAGGCCAAAAATAACAGGTGGAATTGTCATGCTTTAAATCTATATTTAAATGTAAATATGTTCTACAGGTTTGAGAAGTAACAAAAGGACAAACACAGTGGAGCAAGGAATGGAAGATGACCACAGCCACAAACAAACGCCTAGATATGATGAGATATCTAAAGTGGAAAACGTACCGATGACATTAACACGGCAGAAAAATTAGCATGCAACAGAAACTACCCACAAGCAAGTCTCAGAAAAACAGCATAAGAAAGGGCATCTGTGCAACCCCACCAGCAATCTAGGGTGTGTGGCTGCTGTCCAGAAAAGGGAGAGGGGCAGGAGAAACAGCCAAGGGGCTAGTGGCTAAGAAGCTCCACATCTGATGAGAAGGGTGACGGACACCTTCAAAGTGTGAAAAAAATAAAAGGCAGCCAACTGAAAGAGCACTGCATGCAAAACTACCAAAAAGAAAAGGGGAAAAGGTTTTCAGAATTCACCACAAGCAGGCCTGCCTTACAAAAAGTGCTAAAAGAACTTATACAGGCAGAAGAATGAAATGTGACAGAAATAGAATGCCACAGATAACACACAAATGGATAAATACAGAATTCTTTAAAGTCTTTAAAAACAGTTAAAGTAAAAATAGTAAAACTACCACGGAGGGTATGGAATACAGAAATCAATGTATGAAAGCAATGGCATAAAGAGTAGGAGGGGAGAGGCAGAAATTCAGTCACGTGGGATAGATCTTTAAAGTGAAGGAACTCATCTGTAGACGAGTGATGCAAATTCTAGACTAAGCACTATGGATATTTGTATGCTATTATATGTCACACACACACACACACACACACACACACATTGGGGGGGGTACCAGGGATTGAACTCACATCTTTGCACTTGCCAGGTAGGCGCTTATGCCACTGAGCTAAATCTCCAGCCCCTGTTACTTATATCTGTAAAACAGCTGTTCTAAAAAAGGGATAAATTAGGCATTTATGGCCCACCTGAGTTTTGGGATAATGAAAACTACTATAAGCCAAAAAGTGCACTGGGTCCTGAAGCCAAAATCTGTAAGAAACTAAGTTTCTGAACTTTGCATATTAGATTTTTAACTGGTAATTGAAATCTAAAGGTAGTTCCTGATTTGAATTTGTTAGTTACAGATGAAAACAACAGTAAGGTGGGATAGTCAGGAAGGCTACTGAGTTCTTCCCAAATCCTTCTGTACATCATTATCTCTTTGCTTCACAGATACTTGTGTAATTCTTTGCCTGTCTCTTCCGGCTGGCTAGACACCTTCAGGCATGGACTCTAAAGATTTCTTTCCTGTCCTGGCATTTTTGTAAAAAAACACCTTTAGCAACTAATATAGTGCTTGACTAAAAACATAACAAGTACATCCTAAAAGAAAAAGAAATTTGAACATTAGAACTTCGAATATCAAGTTGAGAAATCCGTACTTTATTATGTTGGCAAGGGAAATCACTGTAAGTTCTTGAAAACGTGACACAACGAACCCTTTAACCAAACAAGGTCACAAAGGCAGATAGGACAGCCTGAGGAGGGGCAGGAAAAAGTGATGTTTAGCCCACGGGCTAAGAGGAGAGCTGCTCAGTGTTGCGTTAGGAACAGCAGAACTAGAAAACATGGGGCACATGAAGTGTGAATGCAGGATCCCCATGACTTAGGGTCACACTGTGCACAGGCAGGGAGGGAGGAAGGAGGAGGCTGATTTTACCATTTCAGACCTAGGGAATGGTGGCTATTAGTAGAAACAGAAAAGTCAGAGGAAGAACTAATTTGGGGACGGATGTTAAGTTCAGCTAAGGAATTGCTGGAACATAAAAATGGAAATGCTGAGCAAGAAGTCAGAAAAAAGTATGAAATTTAGATGCCAAGGTTAGCATCTAAAAGCAAGCAAGCCACAGAAAAGATAAAGGAGTGCGACTGGACGTCTTTACCTAAAGCATGCAAACATCACAGCTAGAGAATGGTGCTAAAAGGAGAAGGAAGGGTACGGGAACCAGCACAGAGACCCTGAAGGAATGGAAGAGACACCCAAGGCCCAAGAGGGCCGGGAACCCTTTGATGTTGCCAAGGGCTGCGGGCGCTGGGTACTGTGGACAGCCCAGGAGTCTCGTGTAGAAGGGAGTGGTGAGAAAGCTTTGAAAATAGGTTTAATCAAGTGCTTGGACATGAAGTCTGTTTGCCAGGGAACCCTTCAGGTGCTGGCACCGTGTGGGGGAAGGGGCACAGAGAGCAAAGGAGACAGCACCTCTGCACGCATGAAACCCAGCGACCCATAGGCTCCTGTGGCCACCATGCAGTTCAGTGTGGCGATCCATACACAGAATGCAAGGGCAGAGGACACCAGCGACTCAAGACCCTTGAGGCGACAGCACAAATCTCTCAGGGGCAGTGAGACAGCAGAAAAGAAATGATGAGACTTTGGTAGAATGAGTGGTGTTTACTACGCAGTGGCTATTAACCAAAATTACAAAGCCATGCTCCTGTTTATCGCAGAAAAGTTTCTGCCAGAAGTGTCTGGATGAAAATGTTTGCCTTTTGCAATGCAGTAAGTTAGCTATGTAAGCAAAGGCACTGCACCGAATTTCAGTGTCTGTACTACTGTATCTGGAGAGAACGAGTCAGGTGATTACTTATTCTTTATGTTCTATTACTTCATATTAACATGACTGTTACAAATTGCAGAACTCGAAACACCTCTTAGGAAGAGTTTAAATCCATCATTACATAGAGTAAGGAAAAGATTCACCAACTGTGCATTGGTACAGGCCAGCGTTTCTGCAAATACCTCAAAATCGCAGAGCAGGTCCTGGAAGGCAGTGGAATTCGGAATGATGGAGGTCTCGTGCCCGCTGTCCACGGTCCCCACCAGGGAAAAGGTCAGGTGCAGGATGTGGCTGTTGAGGAGGGGACGCTTCTTCTTCAGCAGCATCGCCAGCAGCTGTAAGACAGCAGCCGAGCGTCGGCGGGTAAAGTCGGCATCGGCAGTAGCCCCCACACGCGCACCGTCCACAGTGATGCCCAGGCTGGTTTCTGGCCTGCACTAAACTGAGAAACCAGTCCCGCCATTCTGCTGCAACAGCCACGTCACATCAGCCCTGCCACCCACACAAGCACTCAGCTAGGCGCTGCCAACACACACGCGTTTCTACCCTCCTTTGCTCTCCACACATGGAGTTTTCACTTTGCAATAAAGACCCTGTAAGTGGAAATTTAAAGGCTTCCTGATACTGCCTGGGTATTTATAGTATAATTAGCCATCCTCATATTATTGGTAAATATAGTTGGTTCCTTTTTGTGGCACAATATGCTGCAGTCATCATTTTGAAAGTATGGCAAAACAAAGCACTTATTAAAATGGTGTAATTAAATCTGTATAGTTCCGTAAACAGTATTTTCACTTCCAGTAACTGCTAATGTGTGCATTTGTATATTATCTACAGGACAGGGATTTAATCTTGCACCAAATACTTGTTTCATAGTACCTGTTTCTCTGTGGTGCTGGGTTACACCTTTCACATGCAAGATGTACGCTCTACTGCTGAGTTGTGTCTGTCTACCAATCTGTCTATCTTTCTGGGATAGAGTGCTGCTAAGCGTTGCTCTGGCTGTCTGTCTGTCTGTCTGGGATACAGTGCTGATAAGGTGCCCAAGCTGGCCTGGAATTTGCAACCCTCCTGCCTCAGTGTCCCCAAAAGCTGGGATTACTGTTGTGCACCACTGTGGCTGCTCAAACTCCCTCTAACAAGCCATTTTCTGCTTACATATGGTAAAGACTGTGAATGCTGCTTCTTTCTAACCTCACAATGAGTTTTTAGAAGTAGTGATGGCACACTTATCTCCAATGGCTCTGTGTCTCCTGACCACGCATGGGAGGTAATCAGGTGGAAAGGAGCCCTACGAGAACCAGACGAGGCGATCTCCTGAGCAGGCGTAAGATGCTCCTGTCATACCCATTTCCACAAAACACAGGAAATATTCCACACAGCACACGACTGATCTTCAAACGTGTTAGAGCTCCACAACAAAGGTTCCACATCCACAGGCTCAATCAAATGGAGATTAAAAATATTTGGGAAAGCTGGGAGGGGGATTAAAATATTTGGGAAAGCTGGGAGGGGGTACACGCCTGTAATCCCAGCACTTGGGAGGCTGAGGCAGGAAGATCACTGAAAGTTTATGGCCAGCCTAAGCTATGTCTTAAGTTCAAGGCCTTCCTGAACTACACAGCTACACTCTGTCTCCAAAACAAATAAACAAACCAAAAAAAATTCGGTACAGATTTTTTTCTTGTCATTATTTCCTGGACAATATAGCACAGGAAGGATTTACAAAGCATTTACATTGAATCAGGCATTATAGGTAATCTAGAAGAGAACTGAAGTATAGGGCATTTGACCCAGCTATTCTCTCCCGGGAATCTTCCTGAAAGAGTTAAAGACAACATATCACAGTGACCCATGCATACCCATGATTACAGCAGCGTGACTCATAACAGCTAAATCTTGGAAGCAGCCTTTGTGTTCAGACAGATGAAAGGATAAAGGAAATGTGGTATTTATACAAAATGGTGCGCCTCTCTGCCATAAAGAAAGGCAAACTTAAAAAAAAAGAAAGAAAGACAAACTTAAATCCTTTGTAGGAAAATGAATGCACCTTGGGACCATGATATTATGTGAAATAAACTGGACACACAAGTTTAAATATCACATGGTTTTTCTTCTATGAGAAACCCGAAATATAAGTAAAAGGCAAAATAAGAAATAGGTAATAGGAAACAGTAGTTATTTTTCAATTAGGAAAGTTATGGAGGGGGGAAGAAAGGGAGAAAAATGGGGTTTATAAAGGAACTGAAAAAAATGGAAACAGAGCTTTTGCAAATGGGATAGGGCCAAGATGTGGAAGAAGCAGGGAGGGTGGGGAAGTGCAGGGAGAAAAGAATTAAGCTGTGTTCTGCACTGCACCAGCTCCCCATAATCACATCAGCATGACGTACCGCAAGATGAGGTGATAAAAACAAAGACTGAAAAGGTAAAGCACTCAGGGAGAAACGCATGGTTGTGTGTAAAGTCCGTCCCACTCAGCATGAGACCTGCGCATCTGCAGATTTGGGGATCTGAGGGGACGGGAGCCCACAGCATGGATGAGGGCGACCGTCTCTTGCAGTGCACAGATCAGAGCCGTGCAGACGGATGGTGCCGAAGTCAGGGCTGAGAAGGGAGAAACAGAGAAGCAGAAGTGAAGGCAGGGGCGCGTCCTCCAGAGGGCACTCCTTACTTCTCAGGCTGGCCACTGGTGGGGCAGTGCCCGAGGGCAGAGTGAGCGGAGGGTACAGACCTGGTAGCCTCTGATCCTCTCCATCTCCTTGCTGGCCAGCGGGTTGCTCCTGGCCACACACACCAGGGCCTTGACGGCAGCATAAAGGCCCTCCACGTCGGAGGCCATGGCCACTAGGCCCAGGATGGCCGCCGCACCCCCGATGTACTGCAAAGTAGTGGCAACAGGCTTAGGGACAAACGTTCTTACTCCTGATTAAAAGACAGTGAGAGACAATTAAATTCCCCACGTCAACAAGAGTCGAAGAGAACATGTAAGCTGTCTAACTAAGGCACTTCAGTTTTTAAAAATCTTCTACCCTACAATAAAATTTCTAAACCACAGAAATCCACAGGCACACACACAAGGCCATCAACAGTCACATACACTTGGAGTGGAGCAGCAGAATGGGGACCCAGGGTGGACCTCAGGGGAGGGCAGTGCCAGCACCTGTGTTGGGTCCCTGCAGGCAACCCAGGGGCCCCACAAGCAGAGGTGCTGGGATGCGGGTGGCCTGGCCTGGCCTGTGGGGTGCACTGAGGCAGCTCTGCCAGTCCAGAGGGGCAGCACCTCCTGCCCCTCACCACCCTCTGGCCACTCCAGGCTACTCCAGGCTCAGAGTCTAGTGCTGGGGCAGCCGTGACTCTGGAGCTCAGCTTCATAGAAGCACAGTCCTAGCTACAACTGCGCCCATTTGCGCCATATCTATACTCCCAGCATCATTCTAAAAGGCACCATCACTTGTTTACTTGCTTACAAGATCAGGATAAATTTAAAAATACAAAACTAGCTGGGTCTGGTGGTGAACGCTTGCAGTCCCAGCGCCTCAGGAGGCCGAGGGGCTGAGGCAAGACAGGAGGACAATGTAAGCCAAGAGTCTGAGGCAGTCTGGGCTACACAGGGTGTCTAAAGAGACACCACTTTAAGGGTACGGTGGGGGATACACACGTACACACACACACAATCACATACACAACCAACAGACATTACTATGCACTTTGTACTTCTACGTGCTTCACAGTGTTTTAACATTCTTGTGTGGTATAGCACTAGATTTTTAAAACCACCTCTCAAGGGAGTCAGCTCAGTTCTACTGGTTCCTAGGTAAACAAACTGGCATTCACAGAGCTACTGTGTGATGAAGGAGGCACTAAACCCTAAAAGCCTCAGGCGACTCCTGAGCTCTTCCCTCTGCACCACATGCTGCTGAAAGGGAAAGCTTGCAGAGCCATACTCAGTTAGCTCCTGGGAGCTGAGTACGCAAAACGACCCAGCACCGTGGCATGAAGGGACCTATTTGCAGGGCAGTGGTGTCACACAGGAAGCTCAGAGCCTCGCCTCACACGCACTGCTGGGATGTCACCATTTGCCCAGGACTGTGAGACATCCCTGCTGCCAGGACTCAGGCCAATACCACAGCAACTCCCTGCTCACCTAAAAAGGCACCAGTGCTATGTACTGCTTTGCCTATCAAAAAGAGTAACCACTGATCATGAATTCTGGGGGACCTGGCTGCATTCTGACCCTAGGTCTTATCCTACAACAACACCCTTTTCAAACAGTTAGCACACACAAGGTCTATAGACTGTCCACTGCCTATCACAGGTAGATGCTGGGTTTATGTTCAGAAGCTGTGATTTTTTAGTCATTTCTAAGTAACAGAAGGATTCATGAGGCAAAGCTCTGCAAAAATGAACTGTAAAACAATCAATAATCATTTAAATTTTAACGTAAGTTTCGAATTTTTCCCATACATGTCACCTGAAATTCATGGAAAATTACATGGAAGCATGTGGGCAGTGTCCATTTGTGCTGAAAAGAAGGAACACATTAAGGACAGTCCACAGAACGTTATGGCTTTTAAAGCTGACTGGATATCGAGATGTCAAACTGATCTCTAAACACTGACAAAGGGCTGCAGGTCAGCCGGCTGCAAACACTGTCAAGCGAGCGAAGTGGGGGTCTGAAGGCCGCAGCACAGACCCCTGGACTCACCCAAGTAGCCGACCAGAGTGGCCCCGATGGTCCGGGCTGGTCCATTCAGGTGCCCTGCGGAGTTGTGTATCAGCTTCACCGGTGTGGCATTTTCATGGGAAGAGATGCCTAACTGAAGAACAGCAAAGGGAAGCGACATTACTACGTCGAACAGCCTGAAGCTGTGACTGGGAAGGGAACAGACCGCACAGGGGCTGGTGGCGCTCACTCCAGCAGCCACAGACTAAAGTATGATTGTCCCCCTCTTAGCATGCTTTATAAATGGGCGTTTATTTTTTAAAATGTGTAAATACTTCCAACATGAGGAAACTCTTTAAACATAATTGAAGGGTACTGAGAGACAGATGGCAAGGGCCCTGGCCCACAGCACCGGCACCCTCAGTGACAAGAGTCTGACCTGGCCTGCAGGCGGCCTCACCAAGGCCTATGGTGTCCCTGGTCAGTGAACACCTTAGCTTTGTTCCAGATGGAAGGAAACTTCCTCCTCACAAACTACGGAAGAGTCCACAGGTAAAGGACGCATACCAAAAGGAAGTGCCAAATTCTTAGTTTACACACTGTACACACACACACACACACACAACGAAAGCCTCAAATTCTGTGTACATAGGCATACTCACACAGTTCACAGGTAAAGTACACATACATAAAGGCAGACCCCATTTGTTGTGTGTATACAACACACAGTGCACACATATACACAGAAGCAGGAATTTTTAAGTCATTCTTGTATACGGAACAAAATCCCGCCTGGCACACAGTAGAAGATCCAGGAAAGGATACTGAATGACAGCTTTCCAGACAGTAATTGTCAGAATAAAATTTGTTTTCTTTAGTTTTCTAGAAAAGCTCAACTTTGCAGTTGTCAGTAGAAGAATGAATAACAACCATGCCCTCAGACACTTTCAGCTAAATAACTGAACACCCTCTGCCCTAGATTAGGAGCCTGATAAAGCACACAGAAGTAAGGCCTAAGTAAGGGAGATAGTAACAGAAAGACTAAGATATGCTAACTGTGGTCCCAGAGTGAAAGAGGAGACATGCAGCAGAGTTATCTGAAGAAATAATTACTGAAAACTTCAATTTACTGAAAGCTATAAATCAACAATTCAAGAGGTTTGCTGAATTCCAATCAAGATAAAGGTTTTTCAAAAAGCCTAGGTAGGTCATACTCCCTGCCTTGCTAAAGGCCAACGGTAAAAAGCAGATTTTAAAAGCAGCCAGAGAAATGTTAAGTGGAAATACTATAGACTTGCATCAGAAAATAACACTAGACCACCACACTTAAAATGCTCCTAAGAAAAACAAAAACAAGGCAAAGGCCAGCGCAGCAGATGTCAGGGAACCCACCGTGCCCATCCCGCTACTACCGCAGCATCAGGGCACTAACAACTCAGGTACCCACTCGTCATGGTGCAGTTGAGTTCTGAAAAGCAGAAGTACACACCGGAAATCAAAGTGCTAACACCAACGGGCTGGCAGAGCTCTGCTCAGTGAGTGGCTCTGGAGGAAAACCTGCCTCCTGCCTCTCCCGGCTCTGACTCCTGCCTCTCCCAGCTCCACCTGGACCCCAGCACCCTACGGCTTTACGGGCTCCATCTCTGATTCCAACGCCAACAAGGACAGTTGACCCCTCTCCTCACTCACAGTCACACTGAAGTATTTTCTCTTCGGCCACCATCTTCTACTTTTAGGGACCCTTGTGACTCAATCTGGGTATCTAGGATAATTTCTTACTCTAAGGTTACCTGATCAGCAACTTCAGTATTACCTACAACCTACATTTCCTTTTTCTACATAAAGTAACACATCCACCGGTGCCGGGAACAAGGGTATGGATGTGTTTGGGGCCTTACAGTGCTGAACGTATTACAATACTAAATAAAAAAATTTCAAGTAAAATGAAGAGCCCCGAAAGGGGCCTCTGCTCTGCAACCACTTGTGCCCTGATGCCGTCCTGAGGCTCCACACCTTCCCAGCTTGCTCAGCACAGGCATCCGTCCCGCTCACCTGCTTAGCGATGGCCTTGCTATCCAGCTTGTTGTACACCTTCCGGATCCGCGCGACAGTCAGGGAGGACACCGAGAGAGCGTAGAGACCAAAGGACACCTTCTCCTCTGGGACTAGGGACACAGGTGAGGGCACCACAACTTCTGACTTTGCATCTTTACCTTCAAAAGGAGAATAATTGCTTTCAAAATCATGAGTATTCCTCTATACCCTAACATACATTTTTTTAATTCTTTCTATCATTTTTAAGTTGGGTGGCCTTCACAATCTTTTAAAGTGAAATAAGAAAGCTGAATTTAAAAACTTTTCATTTTCAGCTCTTCATTTGGCACTTAATAATAAAACAAAAGACTACCTAGTCATACAATTTACACTCCCAAGTTTTACTCTGTTTTATTTTTTGGTTTTCTGGAACAGGGCTTGTTTTGTAGCCCAGGCTGACCTTGAACTTGTGGCAATCCTCCTGCCTCAGCCTCCTGGAATGCTAGGATTACAGGTTTGCACCACCATACCTGGTCCAAATTTTACTCTTAAAAATACGTTTAACACACAGTGGAATGTAAAGGAAGATGGACTTTTAACTGCTACTAAACAAACTGTTAAACACTGCCTTGAACTTCAGAGGAAAAAAGGCAGCAAATGGGCTGCTTGTGCTCAGTCTCACTCTAGCAAGAGTCCTCGTTACATTCCAGGGTCCCTGGACAGCACAGTAGGGAAGTAGAGAGCACACATTTCATAGCTCTGCAGGCTGATTTTGAGAATGTGTGTTTATCGGGACAACTCGTTCTTTCTTCCATGAGAGCAGCTACACTTTATTCATATTTTTAGTTTTTTTGAGACAGGTCTCACTATGCAGCACAGGCTAGTCTTAAACTTACTATGTAGTACAGGCTGGCCCAAAACTTGTGGCAATCCTTCTGCCTCAGCCTCTCAAGTGCTGAGATTACAGGTGTGTGCCAGCATGCCCAGCTGAGGAAATCACAGAAATTAAGGGAGAGGGTGGACAGGGTATCTTAACCTCTCTGAGCTGGAAGGAGACCCTGGGTAATTAGGGACCAGGCACAATCAGAAAAGCCCAGTAGGAGCAGTGCAGCAGTGCACTTTACAGGTGAGGGAGTGCCAACAGGACCCTGCTGGAGAACTTCCGCAGAGAAATGCAGGCACACCCGGTCCCAAGGAGCGGACACTGCTTCAAGAACAAGCCAGGTACTCACACGGCATACACACCGCCTGGAAGCTCCCAACGTAGTTTGGTCCAAGCTCATAGATGGTGGTGATGCTGGAGGGGGGCAGCACTTCCTCCAGAAAGTGGGCAGGCCCGAGGCGCCACACCAGCGAGGCCACCTGGCGCTGGGCTGGGGGGGTCCCCACATAGGCGTAGACCGTGCTCACCACTGGGGGGTTGGCGGAGCCAGAGCCCCCGGGTGTGCTGTGGACGTAGTGAAGCTGCCAAGAAAAGGAAAGTGCAGCACTGAGAAGGGGAAAAGTGTTTGACCAAGAGACCGATGGTGTCACCAGGTGGCTTTTCACTGTCCCCAAATGATGCAACTTTTCAAGAGACCAGAACGATCCCTGGGGGGAAACGCAAGGCAAGACAAACCTCAGACCTACAAGTGTGCCTGGGTCACAGCTGCCAACAGCCTGTTACCACATTCTGAAGGTAAACTGAGGCTGGAATGGCAACACTGACAAGACACCACCACTGTCTGGCAGCTGCAAGACGGTAGAGTGGATAGAAAACAGAGTGCTTTCCACTGTGGAATTCAGGTAGAATTAAAATCAGTTACCTTCAAGGAGAATATGCTAATTAAAATTACTGCTGAAAAGCAGCTCTTAGCGCAACGAATTATAAACTACTAGAAACCACTAAAGAAAAAAGTATATATGTGTCATCATTTATATGCATGAATTTTAATCTCTGTGTAATGTACTAACCAGTGATGAATGACATTCTCAGATTTATAATTACACTTCGGATTACCAGCAGTGCTTAAGTTAGTAATTCACTTATAATAAATGAATAAATATTAAATAAAATATTCATAATAAATAAATTTTAATAATGCAGGCAGCACATTAGACACACGGAGACAAAGCTGCCTCCATTGCTTCACAGAGGAACATTCATGCCATCACCCAGCTTTGTAGGGAGTGGCTCAGTATGGCTGCTGCTGTCCTGCCCCTCCCACCTGAGGGCATTTTGTGTGTCAGCCTACATTTCCCATGATCCTCCCCTTGCCTACTATGCGCATGACGTAAGCACCTTCCCGCTTCAGCCTGCATCTCCCATAATCCCCTCTTGTTGACATCACTTCCGCTTACCTATGTGCCTACGTATGACTTCCTGCTAGTCTGATAGGCCCATGGCATATGAGGAGATCCAAGCCGGCCCATCCTGTGAAGCCACATCCCCTTTGACTCTATATAAGTCATGTACACTTCCTGAATAAAGGGGACTTGATTGGAATTGGTCAACTTGTCCTCGTCTCTCTTTTCTCTTGCCCAGCCCTCCATCCCCGTCCCCTCTCCAGGCGAGGCCTACGGACCGATCCGCGGGCCGGATCACAGCTTCAAACCACATCTATTGCTGTGCGTGTTTCCAGCTCAGTTCTGCAGAAAGCAGTGGCAAGTTGAGCATTACTTTTCAAAAAACATTTGGGATCAGAAGTTTTAGACTTTAGCTTCTTAGTTTTTGGAATATCTGCATAGACTTTATTGGAGGAGCATCTGCAAACCAAAGTATGAATTTCAAAATGCTCTGAACTTTGAGACTTTCTGAGTGTCATGTGGCACATGCTGTTTTGGGTTTGAAGCACTCTGGATTTTTGGATTGGTGCTGCTCAGCCATGGCAATATTCATCCTTATGCCGAAAATGCAACACACTGGTTTTCTACTGGTTACTTCAGCGCTCTTCAGAATTCACAGCCATCTACTTAGGGCTACAGGATCTTTCACTCAGCAATCAACAGACTGAATACAGTGGTAGCGGGTTTCTCTAGCATGCTCAAGGTCCAGGGTTCAATCCTAGCACCACCCCCTACCCACACACACACGTTTTCTGCTTGGTACAGGTCAGCACAGAGCATGCACTTCATGTGTTCCAGACCCTGAGTTCAGTCTTAGCAATACAAAACAAAACAAAAAAAAAAAAAAAAACAACTTAATGCCCATAATTATCAGGGATCAATCTGGGTAACCAAATACAAAGGGAAAAACCTCCAGCTTTTAAGGAATATTACAGTAGTAACAGTAAAGTGACAAAACTGTGGATTAACAGTTCATCTGAACTTCGTTCAACTTGTGTCTTCATTGTGAAAAAGAACCTAGCAATCTGTCCCAGTGGTGACATGGTCAGTATAATCTTCCTTACCAGGGGACCCTGCCTTGCTATCCTCTTTAACTAAGTGGCAGGAATTAGGTGGCCATGTGACCCTAACATGTTCAAATGGGAGCTCAAAGTCAACTGTGGTTAAGAGAGTAATCTTAAAACACTCCTATAACACACAAGCATGCACACACGCATGCACACGCACATGCACACATACCTTGACGGTGCTGACCAGCTGCCCATCGATGTACAGTGTGGCCGTGCTGTTCTTCAGCATGCCCTTGCTCATCACCAGGGCCAGGTGGTGCCACTGCCCTTCCACAATCAGCTCTCCGCAGCGGAAGCGCGCACAGCAGGGCAGAATCTCATAAAAGGAGGATTCTTCACTAAAATCATCCACTGAAAAACAGAGGAGAGATGCAGACACTCTTGTCAGTATCATCCCTACTTTGATCATTGCTGCACTCCCATTAGCATGTTTTTAGGTTAAAACCAACAAAATGAGGCAAATGAACGTAGCCTAGTCATGTACCTATTATCAGTACATGAGGTTTTATCTGCTCCAGGCAGATGCACAGAGTTATAATTTAAAAAGTCTCAACAGCTAAGGAAGCAAAAATAGTCAATACAATGAAACAACATGAAGAGAGACTGGCTGACACCAAAACCAAGAATAAGTGAGCGGAACTACAGCAAGTTGAAAGCCTTCTGCACAACTAAGGCAACAAGGCTCAAGTGGAAAGGCGACCTATGGAATGAAAGAATGCGTGCAAGCACGTGTCTGATGGGGTGATCCTGCCTGTGTGTACGTGACTCACTCAGCAGCAAAGAAATTCACATCGCTATTAGAATGCAGGCTAAAGACTTGAACAGACACACGTGAAATATACAGGGAATGTTCAAATGTAAAACATTATCCTACAAAGACCTATTGCAATTAACACCACTCAGAATCATTCCCCTCACTCTGACCACATTTATCCCGTCATTCCAAGGCACCTCTGGAGTCCTCTTTTGTGGGAGTCTTTACCCACAAAAGGCATTATAGAAAACCGTGATGAGTGTGCTGCCCATTCCCAGGAAGAACAGGCAAATGAAAACCTGCAGGGTGTCCTTGTCCATCCTATGCACCAGCTCCAGCCGGCGCCAATTCTGGTTCTTTCATGAAGCCGAAAGGACTATGAAAGGCAAACACTCTGAAGCTGTTCGGGACTGGAGATGGCCACGACACCAAGTACAGACAAGGAAGGGGCCTCGTGGAACCGCTCCAGAGAGCATCAGGGACCATGGGCCGTGTGGAAGGGAGGTGGAAGGGGGTTCACGGCAATGTGCATTTTACTGTAACAGAAATTTTACAATTTAAACATGTATGGCGTATTTCTGACATACCCTATGTCTCCTAGAAACACACAAATGGCCACCACACACGTAAAGCCATGTGCAACCTTCTCACTATTTGGGAAACAGAACCCGAGCCACAGAGAGGCACAGTGTGCCCCTGGCACTGGAACAGGGAGGTGAGTGTCACAAAACAAAATGAGGGTTGGCAAGAAGGTTAGGAAATCAAACGTTGTGCTCCAGGGGCACGAAGAAAAGCGGTTCACTAAATGATACGTTAAATAGTATGCAGGTTCCTCCATGAGTTGAGAACAGAACAACCACATAACTCAACAGTCCCATTTCTGAGTGCTTACTCAGAGCAACTACAATGGCACTTTTTTTTTTTTTTTTGAGACAGGGTCATGCTCTACAGTGCAGGCTAGAATCAAGATCTTGAGATTTCCTATCAGCAATCATACTCAGAGATGAGTGGATACAGAGAACACAGTGTGTGCATGAGATAGAACACTACTCAGCCTTAAAAAAAGATCAAGTACTGCAACATGTCAATATGGACACACTTTCAGGGCACCATGCTAAGTAAAATACGCAATTACTTTGAGAAAGACATACAATGCGCGATTCCACTTATATGAAAGATCTAAGAGTGAAACCCACAGACAGGAACAATGGAACAGTAGCTGCAAAGGGTTCCAGGAGGGAGGAAAACCAACCAGCATAAAATTCCAACCAAGGCGAACAAGCTCTGGGGACCTGCTGTGTCCCATCACATCTGCCATCAATGACGGCATGGTACAACTGATGTTCAGGTTAGAAAGAAAACTGAGTGTTAAGGTGTGCTGAAGTCCTCAGGGCGGCCATCTGGGGCTCGTTCGTGGTTGCGCAGTCTATTAACCACAGCAGGTGGGAGGAGGTGGCCTGTGGCACCAAGCAGATGCTCTGTGATCCAGGTTTCTGCTCCGCACCAGACACTGCTGCCCCTCATGCATGAATACACTCATTTACTGACTGTCTGCAATTACCCCCTAACCTGAATACTTGCTAATATTCTACAACTACTTCCCCTTGAGCCTGGCAACCCAGTGTGCTGCCAGACCATGCCAGGAAATACTGGGTTCATGTTCATTGCAATGTCAAGCTGATTAAAATTTAATTCACCTTTTTAAAAAATTGCCATATGAGAAACCCAAGGTTCATGCTAGCATGTGCCTTAACTGAGCCAACCTTAAGCCCTACATCTTCTAAGCATTCAAAAACAGGCAGGACAGCAGAGGGAAGCCTGGTGTCGAAAATTAAAAAAAAAAAAAAAAAAAAAAAAAACAGAAATCAAAAGATTTACCTAAACCAGAACCAATAGTTTTTTTTTTTCCGAAGAACAAGTATAGGTAAAGCAAATATAGCTGGAAGTTTAAATTATATGAAGAAACAAGAAATAAAATACTAATTTCTATTTTTAGAATCTTAAAATACTGCCTACTTGGATATGCTGAAATTATATTTTACAGTGAGATTTCTGTATGTCCGTTGGCAACTGAAAACCACTACACAGCAGGTCTCACCTATACGATGCTTTGTGATAGAAATGAGTACAGCAGACAGAGGGGAGGTTCAACAGAGCCAGAGGCCTGGACTGAGGAAGCAAGGGAAGCGGAAAAAAAGCCTGGGGACGGACGGTGGAGTATTAAGGGCAGGGCACACACGCACGCGCGTGAGACCCTGCATTTGATCCCTCAATACACACACACACACACACACACACACACACACACACACACACGTACCAACACCAACAAGAAACTCCAAGGTAAACATGGGTGAAACAAGGAATCTTTCTGTTCTTTGCTAACTAACTTTTTTTTGTTCTTTTTGACACAGGGTCTCACTGTATAGTTCAGGTGCCCCTGAACTCTCCATGTAGCCCAGGCTGGCCTCAAACTTGTAGCAATCCTTCTGCTTCAACCTCCTGAGTGCTGGGATTACAGGCATGCACCACCACGTCTGGCCAAACTGTAACTCTTTAGGCCTGAAGACCACATTTCCTACAATAGTATTTGTGTGAGCTTCCCTTTCAGACTTTGGCTGGAGCTAGGCTGCCTCTGGTGCTGACTGATTCGCAGGTATCTTAGTAGCCATGAGGCTATCTCAGCTCCCCTGAGGCAGCTACAGCAGTCGGAAGGCAGATGCTGGCAGAGCTAACATGTACACTGTTCTCACATCTGATCCCGTATCACCCAGCACTCTGCACGTTACTCAGTGTAAATACAGAGCTAGAAAGTATTTTCCAAGCATATGGATATATCTCTAGTCCTTCTTTGACTTTTTGATTGAATTCTATCCTTCCCCCATTTAGACCACCATCATTTACTGTTTTCACTATTTTTCCCTCAGGTAATCTAGTTCTTGTTTCTACATTTATATATGTTTTAATCACAACTGTACCCTCATACTTGCTCGGCACTGTTTTAGGTTTGGGGCTGCCTTCAAGAAAAAGGTTGTGCGAGGTTTAGTATGACAGACAGACAAGATAAGAGTCTAGAAAATCAAGATTGGAGATAAGGAATATTAAGCCCCACAAGGCTGTGACGGTGGGGATGGCGTTAGGGAGCACTCCAGGAATCACAAGGAGACACAGACAGTCAGACTTCAAAGAAGGGGTGCTATTTTTTTCATGCTGGACTCCATCTCCTTGCTGGGCTAATTAACTAGCAGTGGGTTGTCGCTGATCAAATGAGGAATGTAAGACAGGCAGGTTTTAAGGAGAAACAGATTTCTGGGGAGACTTAACACAGTGGCATCTAACATGCAGGTCCACCATAGCTTCGGACACAGGCAAATTAAAGGGCACTGATCTCATGGCCTCTGGGGTAAAAAGACCTAAGGCCAACACAAGCTGATGATGTTTCTTCCCTGTGAAAGCAGACTGAGAGCGAAGCCCAGAGGCGACATCTGAAAGGCTGGTAAACAAGGGGTAGACAGAGGATGCGCCTGCAGGAAGCTGCGGCAGGAGGCAGGGTGAGAGCATGTGAGGAGTGCAAGGCCGAGGTGGTTTGTGAGCAGGGAGAAGGTGGAGGACCCATGTCACCAAGCCGCAAACAAAGCGTGCTAATCACACGTTTCAGTTAATCAATTAATTAGCTAATCTCTGTGGTGTCAGAGACTGAGTCCAGGGCCCTGAGTATGCCAGGCAAGAGGCCCATCTCTCGTGAGCCCTGTCCTCTTCCCTGATGACGACAATTTTAAACAAGTGATTTTAGGGAGGCTCAGCTCTGGGCTGGGCACCACGGAGACTCACAGAATGCTTCCAGCCCAGGGAAAACATTCACATTCAGTTCACACTGACTGAGTCCCAACCCCTGGGATCCAATGTGGTACTTTATATGTAGTTAAGACAGCAAAAACAGAAGACGATTTTAAGACACACGTTTTCACATGTTCTGCCATGTTATCTGTGTCATCTGGGAAGAGCCTGATGAACGCCGGAGTTTGAGTTTGCAGTGTGAATGAGGAGCGATGAGATGCTGGGAGGCAGGCTATAAACTGGTGCTCCTGAAGTCTGTAAGGTACACTAGGGACAATGAAGGTCACTGCATCAGGCACCGTGGCCACCTGTGGCAGGAGGCGTCCTGGGGACACGACTTCAGCAGAATCCAGCCTAGGAATTGGCTTCGGCCGATCAGAACTTTTACCACTATCTATCCAACAAGCGAGCAGTGTTCTGAGCAAAGCTCTGGCTCCCTGCAATGAGTGGAACCTTTTCCACGCCCCCTCTGCTGTCTCCTGTCCCTTTGAGAATGCCTCAGAGTGCACTGCTCAAGTACCTGGATTTCACACAACCTGGCCTGTACTCTTTTAAGCTGAAAGGGAAGTAACCGCTGACCCTGATAAAGATCAGCCTGAAGTTGTAATACTTGCAGAACCGAAAGCAGAAAACGGGAAAGAACAGCCCTGACCGTAGTTCTGGAGCAGCTCCTCCTTGGTGGACACGATGAGGGAGCGGTCCTTGGCAGAGAGGACCACAGCGAGACACACATAGTGCTGCTGCGAGGAGCTGGCCCGCCGCACCACGGTCAGCAGGCGGACGGGGTGGTGGTGCGGGGCGCAGCTGAAGTGCTCCACGCAGAACCAGCTGGAGTAACTCAGGCCGGATGGCGGAGGGAAGAACCGCTCGCCTAGTGTGGGCAGGGGAAATAATAATCAGACATTTTCTTCAGAAGAGGTCAACCAGAGCATATAAATGTTAAATAAAGCGTCTGCTAGAAAACGATCTTAGAAGGGAAGAGGGTCTCAAACTTACCAGAGCCGATGCCGCTGACCACAGCGCCATCCGTGAGCCCCGTGGTGACAGCATTATTTGTGGGAGCATTGTGAGGGGCCAGGCTGGGCAGGAACAGGCAGCTGTGAGGAGGAGACAACACAGAGATCAGTGGTGATGGCTGCCGCTGATCAGGCGGCAGGTGAGCCCTCACCGGAGCCACAGGACACCACGCAAGGTCCCCAGATTGAACACCTTGCAAAGCCCTTCCTACCTTCAAGGGTGTGAGATTATCAAGCAACAGATTTAAAATCTCTAATATTACTATTTTATGCCTAAACTCTTTAAAAATGAAAGTATAAGTTGCATATGTAAAATCCATAAAAATAAAATCTCAACGGAGACATCAGAAAAATGTCACCATGGCAAAAACTTTCCCATCTTATCAGTCATTCCCTCTTACTACTGCCCTGGTAAAGAGAATCCCCAAATACCTAGGATTTGAAGATGATCTACCAGAATATTCTTAAAGTACAACTACAGAGTTACAGCAACACACGAGAACCCCAAAATCCAAGGTACATCCGTAAGTTACAACATTCCAACATGGGGCTGGGGATTTAGCTTAGTCGCATAAACGCCTGCCTTGCAAGCGCACAGTCGTGAGTTCAATCCCTGGTACTGATAAAAAAAAATTAAAAAATTTAAAAAAATTTTTAAAAATCCAATATTTCAACAACTCATCAATCCAGTTAAAGCAGAAAAAGTTTGTGTTGACGCATAGGTACATTTAAAAAAGGCCAACAGGCCAGGCATGGTGGTGCACACCTATAATCCCAGCACTCAGGAGGCTGAGGCAGGGAGATGGCTCTGAATTCCAGGGCAACCTGGGCTACACAGTGAGTTCCAGTTCAACTTACACAACATAGTGAAACTGTCTCAAAAAAAATCAACCAAACAAATAAACAAGGCCAACTAAAGCATATAAACTCTATAACCTCACTATCAGATGTGTTAGTATCTGTGTGCCTTCTTTGCATTTGGTGTGAAGTGAGTCCCTGAATGTATACTTACATATTTACAGTGTGTAAGACACTACAGTAACTTGAGGAACACAATGGTGATAAACCGTAATCAAAGATCTGCCAACACAGTTTAATTTATATATTATCCACACATTTATAAACGCTGTGTCAGAAGCTAGCAAACCTTCTTCCAACTGCTGCATGACAGATACACACACCACAACCTGCACCCACCCACCCCATGCCCTAGCACCCAAACCACTGGACAGGTCACACATGAAGGGGTGCAGCTGTATCCAGTGAAAACAAATTCACGGAACAGTAACTTATAAAACCTTATAAAAACCTTATTAACAAATACAGATTTGGCTCATGGACCTTAAAATTACTGATTCCTTATAGTAATAAAAGGCAGATAAAAGGAAGGAGGGAGACATCTTTTCAAATGGGAAGGGAATCAAGAGATGGAGGAGGGAGAGAGAGGAAAAGGGATGAAAAAAGAATTAACATATAGCTGGGCATGGTGGTGCAGGCCTGTAATTGCAGCACTCAGGAGACTGAGGCAGAAGCGTCCTGTGAGTTTGAGGCCATCTAGACTGCACACCAAGTTCAAGGCCAGTCCGGATCATATAGCAAGGTCCTATCTCAAAAATCAGTGAAACAAACAAAAAACAAACACAAAACAGAAGAATTAAGATATGTTATGTACATATACCAACTCTCCATGAGAAATGCAAACATTATATACTACAAATATGTACTAATACGAAATTTAAATATAAATAAATGTAGAAAATTTACAACACGATCAAATCCTCTGAATATATATGTGTGTGTATGTGTGTGTGTGTGTGTGTATATATATATATATATATATATATATATATATATATTCTGCCAAAAAAAGTATCCACTTCAGGGAAAGACGACTAGTATGGTGACAGAGGGCGTTACCCTTGCATGGGGACCCTAGAGGACATCATGTATCAACGTCGCAGGACGCTGTGTGCCTGCTACACAGCCTGCACTTAAGAGAAGCAGCAGAAAGTGCATGTGCAGCAATCTCAGTGACCAAGGTGACCCGAGCAAGGTGACCCGAGCAGCAGCTCACCATGATAACAAACATCTGGAAGCTAATGGCCACCACCTCGAGCACCTCTTCTAATTACAGAGATCAAAGGTATCTTGTATAATCTCATGATGTCTCAATACATTTGATATTAAAAAATTTATGCAAGTTTTTCTTTTCCTGAAGCGTGTACGTACGCGCACACGCACATACACAACACACACACACACACACACCACAGTTTCCTTACCCAAACCCTTCGAGGGATGTGTCAAACTCAACAAAAGCTGGCGTAACCGAGGACCCATGGAGTCTGATGTCATGGGGTGTTGTCATGGAGACCAGACACTTTACCCTGGTCAAGGGTACAGTGCTTCCTTCGGCCGACTTGACCAGGCTTTTGCTTATTCGGTAATGGTTATCTTCATGTAGGCTGAAGACATTATCAGAGCCCAGACCTTCCAGAGACGTGAGCATGCTACCTGCAAGTCCAAGAAAATCTCTTAGGAAAATTATCACATAGAATCTAAAAATAGCCTTACACCCCTGGCTTGTCTTTTAAGTATTACTACTCTTTAATTATGAAATGTAATTAATTTTTAAAATATTAAGACCATTATATAGTTTTCAATGTACTTTATGTTCCTTCCTAAACTTAAATAGCTGTGTTTCTTTTTAATGTCATGCTTAAGTACTGTGCATGCTATAGAAATTCTGGGAACTATTCAGTATAAATAAAAAGAAAAATCACCAGTAATCACCACCTAAGCTGCTATTTCAACAGAATTTAACTATAAACCTCAGTTAGTGGTTTACAAACTAGGTTATACTTTTATTTCACAAAACTACTTTTTGTTATTTCCTCTTTGCGAACAAAAATATTCTAGAAGTATTGTATCAGAAAAAAGTTATTTCACACAAAAAAAATCAGATAAAAAGGAGTAAACTGTTTCCCTTGTCCATATGTATTTGAATGGTAACAATTTGAAGACTGAAAAGGCAAATTCTAAGCAACCTGTTCTCTTTCCAGAGACACATCATGAACACAAAGGAGAAAACTTTCCCTCTGACCATGAATACCTATGTCAGTTTTCCCCTTAAATGCGGTGGACATTCAAACAACTATGTTTCTTAGGGGAAGCAGCTAGTTTTGCTTCCTAGCAAAGGAAATCACAACTCAGTTCTGAAGAACTATGAAAGTACTGTGCAAAAGTAACAATAACAAAAAGATGCATATATGATCTGTATGCTAAGGGATAGGAAAAACTACAGAACCCATGTGTTCCAATAACATCGTGTGTTCCAATAACATCTCCGTAGCACAGCATTTGGGAGGGGGGCGGGAGTGAAGAGAAGTTACAGTGGGGGAAAGCTGTTACTCTGACTTTAGAATTCCCACTTAGAAACCAAGGCACAGGTCTAGGGACCACTACCTGCTCTCAAAGCCACCTACAGTGTATGTTCCTAAGTACTGCTTTTGTCTGCTTCACCAGTAACACTCATCTTACGCCAGCATTCAAATGGCTTATCACACAACTAGCTATGTGAAACCAATGACAAAGCAGAAGCCACGGGGACCACAGAATTAATCATGAAGGAAATTCAGTGCAGCTGGGCCTCCAGCCCATCGCCAGTTCTTGGGGAATGAGGACCTAAGTTCCCATGCTCCTTGTGGGCCTGGGGGCCTCCTGCAGGGTGACTGCCATGTCGCTCTTCAGCAACCTTGAGGACACCTCCTCCTTGGACGTACCACACCTCCCTATGCAATGGGCAGGTCCAGGGTCCTTGCAGGTCCTCTGCTGATTCCACACCTGTCTCAGCCTTCTCTGTACAAATTCCTGCCCTGTGCAGTGAGTACAAGCTCATGCAAAGAGCTAGCCCACAGCCTAGTTGCTGGTTACAGGATGGCCTTTCTCCAGTGGCCTTGGGGTCCAGCTCCCACTGGAAGCCGCCTGGCTTTACTTCTTTGCTTCCTGGGCTTACACTCCTTGGTGTATATCTTTAACCGCTTTTATCAGTATTTCGAACTTCCTCTCCCCCGCATCCTCCAGCAGCAGTGTCCGACGATCCCACAGCCTGGCAGCAGTGACCAGATAAGCCACTCCCTAGTCCGGCAGCAGAGAGCAAATATTACAGACAGAGGCATGGAAAACATGGCCCTCCGGTGAAGCATGTCCCCTTCAGGCCAGGGGGACGTGGCCTGGAATTCTCCTCCTCTCTGCATTACCCTTCCCTGCTCTACCTGCTCCCCTGCTCAGGTACATCTTCCTTTAAATAACATTGTACATCTGTACATCTTCCTTTAAATAACCAACCCCTTCCTTTCTTTTGTAAACTTCTTAAAATCATGTGAGTCTAATACAGCAAAGTGAAGGTCAGAAGTCAACTTACTTCTCATCTCTGGCTCATAACTCAGGGAACTCGGCTTGTGGACCCGGTATTGTTTGAGCAGTTTCTTGTCCCAGGCACCACAATTTAAAGGACTTGCCAAACGCAAAAACTCCCTAGGAAAGAGACAAAGCAGTTAACCCTTGATCGTGATATTATATAACCCAGAAACCAGACACAAGAAACTGGAGATTCAAAGAATTATAACAGACAAGTTCCAATATGAAAAGAAATGCTAAGTTACTAACCACATTCTCAAGCCTACTCTTCCTGCCTCAACCTCCCAGAATGTTAGGGCTGGGAAATAGTCTCAGTTACTCCCTGTGTCTCCAATTTTGTCTCAGCTTACTCCACTCTAGTTACTATCTTGCAAAACTAGCATGTGCTCCACATGACTGTTGCCTGAGACTCTGCAGTGGCTCTCTGTTCCACACTCCCCCATCTGGCTTAGTGGGCGGCACCAGGAGGCGATCTCCACTGTCTCCAATGCCTGGGCTTTACCCCCACCTTATCCTGCAGTTCAGAAAGACAGGACCACCAGGGACACTTGGCAGAGGATAGGAAATCTGACCCATTGCCTTTACACGTTACTGCTGTATAGAATTCTTTCCAAATAAAAAGCATAAAAGATATTTCTAAAAGACTCTATCATATAGAAACTTCTTACATAGACATAAACTGTCCATTTTAAGTAACAAGACTGTTTTTGAGGTAAAATAAAGTGCATGAGACAGCTGATGGGCAGAAACCTTGCTGACCATTTGGTAGATTCTGAGTATGCTGTCCCTCCTTCACTGTGCTTTGCTGCCTTGCCCACGGTGACTGAGATGCCGGCTAAGGATGTGTGCTGGTGTCACGTGTGGTCAGTGGAGGCCTGTGTGAAAAGGGGCTACTGACCTCAGCACCATGGGTTCCAGTGCCTGCGAGGCCAGCCGTTCAAACATGCGTTGCAGGGGCGGGTGCAGCGCATGGTCCTCATCTGCCAGGGCCGCGCTGCACCTCTGTAGCAGCCGCGCGTGAAGACCGGCTTCACACATGACCTGCTGGTTTCTCTCCGTGTGTACCAGGGACTGCAGGATGTTTGCCACCGCGAGCTGAAGGTCCAGTGCATGCTAAAGGCCACACAGAGATCCATGTCACCCGGTCATTCTTGATGAGATGAGTGACAGTTCTTTCTACAGGAAGCACATCTCTTCCGAGTCTGTGCTGTGTGCCGAGCTACATCTCAAACCCTTTGTATTTATTTCCAATTTTTACTTTTTGTAGTATTGGTGATTGAATCCAGGGTCTCTGCACTAAGCGATATCCCCAGCCCTCTGAATTTTTTATTTTGACACAGGGTATTGCTAAATTACTCAGGAGTTGAACTTTGGATCCTGCTGCCTCAGCCTCCTTGGTGTTGGGATCACAGTTGTAATCCTACCGTATCTATTCTTTTCCCCAGTCCTGAGCCCAAGGCCTCTACACTGAGCTACATTCCAGCTGTTTTCACTTTTTGTTTTGAGACACAGTCTTGTCAACCTGCGCAGACTAGCCTCCAACCGTGGCTTTCTTGCCTCAGTCTCCTGTGTAGCTGGGATTACAGGCGCACACTGCCACAGCCGGCTGAAAAATACCTTTTAATACACAGTCTGCAGATGTTTCAAAACACACTCACACAAATAAAGGAACTGGCTTTGAACAATTCAGCAGTTCTGGAGCAGGGCTAGGCAAACATTTCCTGTTCTAATTTTGCCTTCCTAGACTCTATTCTCTCACAATATTTCTGGATTATATGGCTACAAAACTTGGAGTAGTTTTACTTTTAAAGTGGGCGTAACATCTTTCTTCATGGTGTTTATAAACTAGACGCCTATCATCTTCATTTATAACACTTGAGGCCTTGGAAGTCATACGACATTTTAAAAAAATAGCGACCCAAACTCCTTATTTTTGAGTGTTATACATACAAACAAGTAATTTCAATGTAACATCTTCAATCGTTTCTCTTCTTTATTACTAACAGGTTCCACTTTTGAGCTTTTGGTTACAAGGGAAACCATTATCCCAGTATCAGAAGTAACTATCTTGATTACATGTGTAACAAATGATTATTATATCCCCTAACCATAAAAAATACATATACATATTGATATATAACATACATATTTCATATATCTATATATATAAAATCATCCTGCACTCAATTAGAATCCCATTTTCTCCTTCATCTGCCTTTACTACTGTAGCACATGTGTGTAGCACCTCTTCCCTGACCCCTTGCTCACACTAACACACCCATCCTCTCATTCCTTAGGGACAAAGGAGCTCACCTCTGGCTGTGTCACTGAGCCCACGGAGGCCAGGAGATCCAGCATGGCAAGCATGGCTCCGGGATGGATGACGACAGCGTCGGAGCTCTGCAGAGACGGCGCCGTCATATGGACTTTCAGGTCAGCAACATTTTTTGCAGGGTAAACAGGGGGACTGGAAACAGAATGATACGCATGCCTGTAAGACAAGAGAGATGTGTTACATGGGATTTAATTCTGACCACATTCTGCTCATTTTCTTCATCTTGTTACTTCACTGACAAGCAAATCATTTTGTAATTGAGGGATAGGTTACAAAATATCTTACAGTTGGGATGTAAAATGTGACACATTATCAAAGTCACATGTAGATATTTAACTGCTATTTCTTCTTAGCTCTTCTATGTCAATACCATTTGGTGTTTGGGTTGTTTCCCTAAAGAATGGCATCTACACTGGAAGATAAAAACTCAGTGAAACCACAGCGATCTACTGATCTAGCTGAGAGTTCAGATACTATCCTGATGAGCAGTCATGTGGAATTGTACTCCCGAATGAGGTCGTTTTCTACTGAAGTCGCCTGTGTGTTTTTACTCCTAGACCACGGCCAACACCATCGAGAACTAATGAAATCCAAGTGGCCTGCTCTGTAAACACACAACTGAGTTAAGGGTTAGCACAGTGCAGAGGCCGCTGGAGAATGAATACATCTAGTAAGCACCTTGGGACTTGGTCTTTGGTTTATATGGAGCTACATTCACTCTATTTATTCACTGAAAAGCTTTACTATACTTCTAAAAAAAACATAGCATGTATGATGCAGGAGCCAAGCCATGTCCTGGGTAGGTGCACTTTTTATCAGTGGTCTCCTGTTCCTATTTAACACTCTCATCTGTGACTCATGGATTCTGCACATTCCACATCTTGGCACCGAGAAACCGATGTGGTGGCTACAGCCTGCGGGAGCTCAGTGCCTGCAGGAGGACAGGCTGGGCTTGCATAACTTCTCTAGTGCAGCTCTCGCCCAGAGCTGGGAAGGGGCAGCTCTGGTACAAGAGTGGCTTGGGAAATGTGCTTCAAAACAGTGATTAAGGAGCGAAGAATTGGCACTGCCATGTTTTCAAGGAAACAAAACAAACACCACTTTCTCTTTTGTACAGATTCCAGGAAAGTACTCTGCTTCACATACAGAAAGCACACGCCTTTCCTGGTTTATTAAAAAGCCAGCCTGCCCTCCACCCATTTGCACCTTCGCTTTCTATGGTTTGCTGTTTTTCATTAAGAAAGATTTCATGTCTACGCCTACTAAAAATGGATTTCTCAAGGTTAATAGGTACTTTTTTCCTGTCACGCCTTTTGTATTTTAAAATGTTTTGATATATCTAAAAAAACCTCATAATTTCTCTATAGTGTAAGAGTTTATCAATCTTTGATTGCAGAAATTCCATAACTTTTTATTACACATTAAAAATAACTCAAATTTAAAAAAACAGCTCTAGCTGTAAATTTTACTTACAATCCTTTCTTCCATACTTACTTCTGCATTAAAAAGTTAATACAGATGTTCACTTATATTATGGCTATGCCCAGTAAGATATCTTTTTGTGTTTGGAAACTTAACTCTCCACTAATATGTAACTATTACAAAAGTAAACTTTTTTTAAAAATTACATAAACAACAATATTCTCATAAAAGAGTTTATGGCTTCTAAGCCAGAAAAATATGGCAAATAATATTAAAATACAAAACCTGGTATTTATTTTAAATTAAAATTATGCATATTATAACAGATGTTATGTAACACTGATTTTTACTAAGCTGCTTAGATTACCACCACAGGAATTATCACTTTTTAAATCTATGGACTACATTTATTAAACAGTGGAATCACAAGTAAGACCTAGCCATTTGCAAAGACAGGTTTAAATGACATTTCAGTGTTGACTTATTTATCGTTACAGTTATTTTTAAGTGACAGAAACTGCGATTTACTATTTCAGGAGGCATTCTCAACTGTTTGAGGACTCCTCTGCCTCTTCTGGGAACACACGAGGACTTATATCCTGCATCTACTCTGCTTGCTCCCCAGAGTGCAGCAGCCCTGAGGACAGGCATGGTACCAGCATGGTGATGGCGCTTGCCTCCTCCCTCCCAGGCCTGTCTGCTGTGTACAGTTTGTGTAATATTTTGCATTTTGTTTTCACTTCCTGCAACGCTGACATGGTTCAGGTATATCTGTCCTACTAGCCCTTCCCAATAATAAATGAGGAAAGAGCTCTACCAGTGTTCTGTTTCCCATGGTGGCTTCCCTCACACTGCAGGGTGAATTCTTCTCCCACTTTTACTTGGCTCAAACTTGCTCTACAGAGCCTGTTTCTTTCCCTCCCTTTCATAAAATTTGCTATCATTAAAAAAATAAATAAATGAAAAAAGGCCATGTGTCTTAATTTTTTATGTGTAAGGTTGGCTAGTTCTTTTTCCCTCAATTTTTAACATAATCTGCGAAGAATCTCTAGGATTTCATAGGCCAGGTAAGTCCCCAGCTGAGAACCTTCTCACACAAATGTTCCACTGATCAGAAAACACAGCACAACGCTTTCTTCTTCAAACACATTTTGCCAAAAGGAAAAGCTTCCAAGAGCTGATGAGACTTGTTGAGAAGTTCTAGAAACAACGGGACCAAATTCTAATTCCCAAGGGCACCACACAACACTTCAATCTGTGGAGTCCCAGTTCTGCTTCTTGTGCAGTTACTTCCTTATGATCCTTACTGTGACACCACCTATGCGGCAGGGCCGTGGGCACAGGGCTGGGACGCAGCTCAGTGGTAGAGCACTTGTCTGGCATGCCTGAGGCCTGGGTTCCCTCCCCAGCACCGCACACAAACCAACAAAAAAGGCCACACTGAACCGCTCAGCAGGAACAATTTGAAGAGCTCCCTTTGGATAGCACTGCTCTGTGAGGCTGGAAAGAACACAAAGGAAACAGGAACTCCCTCAGCTAATAGTGGCGACTTCGTGAGATTCCTGCAGGGCAACCTGGTGCATCTATGTGTAGGGGGACTGGTGTATCTACACGTTGGGGGACCCAGTGTATCTATATGCAGGGGCAACCCAGTGCACCTACATGTAGGGGGACCCAGTGTATCTACATGCAGGGGTGCTGCAAATGATGAAAAACCACTTCTAATTGAAGGACATAAATTAGGAAAAGAGGAAAATGTTCTTGTCCCTTTGTTAGTTACCACTTAAACAAGTTTGAATGGATATTCATTTATAGGAAATGTACTCCTTTAATATGTGAATTTCTGTTTATTGAGTGTGGGTTAATACAAAGGATTAAATGTTTTCAAACAGCAATTCTTAGGCCTTTAATATTTATGTTCTGATCATTGTATTTTAAAATTGGGATTTTAAGGTAATTTCAACTATTTAGTAACTGAAATTATTTCTCTAACACCAGTAGTTCTTTGAGATCACAAGCACGCATGAACCTTCAGACAAAAAAAAAATATATATATTTTTTCATTATCCCAGAAAACTACCCTAAGTCAACTTATATTTATCTAGTTTATAGTTTTTTTGATTTAAGACCAGCTCTTTTAGAAATACGGGATGTGGATCAGGGAACGAGTAGTTGCTTGGCCAGGGAGAGGGCCTGAGTTTAATTCTCATAGTCCAAAACAAATCAGAACAGTAGTTTTGGGCACATATACTGAACAACTGTAGTTTAATTTAAAACTATTCTGAACTATGCCATGGTTAAACATGAGCTGTAAAGCATCAGTATACTTTTAAGAGGAGAAAAAATACATCTTTGTACATACCTAATGAGTATTACCCTGTAAATATAGTTGACCCTCTGTAGTCATGGGGGTTTGGATTCCCGGACCCCAAGAGACCCAAATGGCATGCTGGGCACAAAGCCTAACTCCATCCTCTCGGGAGCTTTAAGTCCTTCCTAGATTACTTACCACCTCTTGTGTTAATAGTTGCTAACCTATCGGCTAAGGAACAAGTAACAAGAAAAAGGTCTAAACATGCTCAGCACAAATGAAGTTTACAAATGAATTCCAATTTGAGGCCCTTTGAGTCTGCAAACAGAAGGCTGGGTACATGATGAGCAGCAGAACGTGTGATCCCTGCTTCTGGTCCATTAACCACAAGCACATTCAAGTCTCAATATCTGAACAGCAGCAGTCAGATTCAAACAACAATACAAAGCCTGCGGGCATGGTGGCACACGCCTGAAATGCCAGCCCTCGGGAGGCTGAAGCAGGAGGGTTGCTGTGAGTTTGAGGCCAGCCTGGGCTACACAGTGAATGCAGGGCCAGCCTGAACTACATGGTGAGACCCTGTCTCAATCAATCAATCAATCAATCAATCAATCCAGAAGATTATAAGAATTTCTCTCTTGTAAAAGCCACAACTGGAAATATTTATAGAAGAGTTAGGGATGTGTATTGGTTCATGGGAAAAACAAGGGAATGAAGAGGACGCGGCGCTCAAGGCACAGATGCTGCCCCCAGCGCGGCAGTCAGGTATCTTCACTGCGCTTTGGTCCACTGCTGCTGCTGTGTGTGTTCAGGAGCTTGGCAGTGAGGCATGCTAGATTAGTTTACACCTCTGCATGGGAACAGGTGAAATCCTAGGCAGGGCCCTGTCTTCATTTTTTCAAAGGTTAGCTTTGACAAGGCCCCAGGACAGCATCAGATTTCAACTGGCTGAACCTAAGTGAAAAAATACACATTTCCTCCCGGCAGCTGCAAGGCTGAGGTTCAGTGTGGAGTCATAGCACCAAGCCAAGACCGCCCCCAACACTTAAGCAGAAACAGAGTCACAAGTATCCTACTTACAGGGACTTTAAAAGTCCTCATTTCTAACCTATCTTTAATAAGATAATATTTGCCCTTGAAACAAAATATGTAGTTTAGATTACATGGCAGAGATATAAGATTCTACCTGTCCTTCATGACTTCAGAGCATAAACACATTGTATTCTTATCAACACTCTCAAAAGAAATTAGTAACTTTTTAAATCTAAAAAAAATCAATTGAATAGCAAGAAAATATTAAAGTTACAAAACACAATCACCACATTAACACATAAGTAAGCACAGGAAAAAAAAAAAACCTTGGAAAATGAAGATTGACTTCTCTGAGATCAGTACCTTTTCCTGGACAGAGCTGGTGTGCCCCAAGGAGAGGGGAGAGAAGACTCACTTGTCAGGCAAGGAGGGATCTGCTCTGCACGACTACAGACAACAAAACAGACAGGGAGGTTTAGAGAGGTTAGCGGAAGAGAACACCAGGTGGACAGCTGGTTAGTTTCACAAGAAATGCCAGTCAGAGTTTTGTAAAGAGCACCCTCCAAGCTCGGCGGGAACCAGGAACACGGCAACAGCACATGCACTGCAGGAAGGGAGAGCATGCTCAAGGAAGACGAGTCTTCCCTTCAGGTAACATTTAAAACGCTGGCTCAACAGATCGCTGTAGGCCCCATTTCTGGCAACGCAAAACCAAAAAGGAGGTACCCTAACTATCATCATCAGAATAGAGAAAGGGGTCTCATCTCACAAATGTACACAGCTCCTGCTTACAAGCTAATAATCTTACGTTTCCTCTCAATGATAATATGTACACATTTTTATTTTTAAGCTGAGAAAAAAGGGAAACACTTTTCTTACATTACCTGGGTTTTAAATCTAAATATTAAAGACTAAGAGATACTACTATGAAGCAAGAAATCTCTCTGTTGATATTTATTTATTTTTGGTACTAGGGATCGAACTCATGACCTCGTGCTTGCCACACAGGCACTCATGCTACTGAGCTAAATCCCCAGCCCTTCTCTGTAGATATTTAAAAGTAAATATTCCATGGTAAATAAAGCAATGTAATAGAAGCTCTGGCTACTTGGTCTTATTTTTTAGTACAATAGAGGAACAACTCAGTTATGGTAGGAAAGAAAACTGGCAGCTCAGACGTGACAATGCTTGAAACAGATAAGCCAGCAGCACGGTTACTCTTGCGTTATCCCCAAAAGAGGACTTAATCAAAACCAGTAGCACGTTAGCACTATATACGGATCCCAGCAGAGGCTCTCCCGGGGCATCCCTCAGAGCCCTGGTGTTCCTGTCCTTGCCACAGCCGCTACACACTGTGACTCTAGCCTAAGAGCAAGTGAGGACCACGCAGTCAGTGCAGAGCTCGGTGCTCACTGGCCACGTCTGGTATGCAGCAGGCTTCCTGCAGGCACTTGTGAAAGACTCTGATGGTCTTGAACCTGATGGTTCAAGACCCTGATGTGCCTGCCTCTTGGGCACAGCTATCAGTTCTCAAGGATTATAAAATGCTGAGAATGACAGGCTCTCTGTCATCTGAAAATGCGCATGATTGCAACCACAGGTTCTCCTGCTGATAACCAGGATCATGGAGTCTGGACGCCCCCAAGGTTTTGAGGGTAAAGAGAGTGACAGTTGACATGGGCATCAAAGCAACTTCACAGACACTTTCCATCAGGTGCAAGGAAAGCTAACTGAGCCTGGGTTTAGAATCACATAGAGACCTCCCCACTGAGAAAACCAACACCAGGGCAACAGTAGCCCCTTGAGGTGATACACGCCAGCAAACGCAGAAGGGTCCTGTTTCACCTTTTTTAGGCTAAGGCACAACTCCAGTCCTACTGCCGACGTCATGCTACGTACACTCTGTAACACAGAAGACAGAGCAAAGTCATACCTGTCGAAAGAGTCTGTGGCTACTTTGTAAAGATAGATAAAGAGTTTACTGCAGTGCCGTAAGGTGGGCGACACAGAGTCCATGGAAACCACTTCTTCCTCTAAGAGTCTTTGGAACGGCTGCGTGTTTGAGGGGAAGATATTCATGGTGCCTATTTTTCTTAGGTCTGAGAAGCAGCCAAGAAATCGAACAGCATCTGCCAGCTTCTCATACTGAATCTCCGTCTTGAAGAAGTGAGAGTTGGCTGGCTCGTAACGCATGGCTGCAGTCAGGGTGCAAAACACAGTATGCAGGAGCTCGAACACTTGATTCTGGTTCACCTTCTCCCAGCCATTCTTGGGGGGACAGCTCAAAGACCTCTCCATGGCCACGAGCAAGGATGTAATGTACACAAACCCTCCAACTTTCCTAAACACTGTTCTTGAACGATGGCTTTCTCGAAGGACGGACAGAAGGGCCTAAAGGGGACAAGCAAACAAAATTCAGATATTTGAAACATCAAAACAAGACCCACCATGCATGGATGTCAAAGGCAAATACCATCTGTGAACATCTGATGTGACTGTATTTATCATGTACCCAGAAAGTAGCCACGTGAAAAGCACATTAAGTATTTCACTAATTCCAAAATGTCACACTAGGGCCAGGGCTACAGCTCAGCGGCACAGTGCCTGCTGGCACTGAGGTTTTTAGTTTGATCCCCGGTACCAAAACACAAATCAAAACAAAGTATAAAAGCCACATTAAAGGCAGAAGACAAGTTCAAATTTCTTTTTATAGATTGGGCTTATACACAAATACTGGCTGACAAGCTTTTCCTCCATGTTTAATTGACAGAACAGCTCTAAGGAATTAAACCTAAAGTGACCAAATAAATCGAATTTCTCATTCCCCAGACTGCTATACTTCAGTGTGGCTTATTATTAAGAAGAGTAGATCATAATATCATCTAATGTTTTATTGGGGAGTATGTACCAGACAGCAGGGGCTTTCTCAAGTTATTTTCTTTGATCTTTTCTACAGTCCTATGTTTTAGATGCCACAGGTTCACTATCTCTCATCCAAAATGCTTGGGGCCAGAAATTTTCCAGCTAGTTGTCAGAATATTTGCATATACACAATGAAGTATGTTGAGGATGGGACCCAATTCTAAATACAAAATTCATTTGTTTCACATGTACCTTACACACACAACCTGAAAGTAGTTTTATGCAATACTTTTAATAATTTTGTGCATGAAATATGATATGGCATTGTCCAACTGTGGCATAAAACCTGCACTCAAAACCTTCAAATTTGAAGCATTATGGGTCTCAGACTTTCAGTTGAGGGTTGCTAAGCTAAGTGCTGTGGCACACCAATAATCTCAGCACTTGGTAGGCTGAGGCAAGAGGATCACAGCAAGGTCGAGGCCAGCCTGGGCTACAATGGTGAGTTCAAAACCAGCCTGTACTACTTAGCAAGTCCTTGTTTCAAAAAACAAAAGCAAAACCAAAACAGATTAAAGATGCTCAACCCTATTATTTTAGATAAGAGGAGTCAGCCCCAACACGGTGCAATAATCTGCCAAAGACCATACAGACTATGCAACAGAAAAGGTAGAATTTAAACCCAGGAGTGTCTAAGTTCCCCTCTTGTGCACTTAACCAAGACATTATGTAGCCCTGAACTATAATCTGAAGTCTGTTTATCCATACAATGGGCTCCTTTCCCTGCTGCTTCAGTATCTGTAACACAGCTGGTGTCCAATATTACTTAAGACACGACTTATAATCTTCCCAGTGGTAAGAGGTAAGGTCTGCTACTTACAAGGCAGTTACTACATGCTCTCTCTAACCTTTCCCATGTGGTAAATAAGGTGTGACTTATTTTATAGGACTGCTTAAGGAGTAAAATGATAAAAACGTACCTAAAACTTGTAGCACACTATCATCCACTAGAATATCATTACATATATGTGTATGTATGTACAGTGCAACAGGTAACATTGTATTTCACAGTATGTCTGTGTGTGTGTCTGTCTGTATATATATATATAGATCTATTTGGCTAATTTACTTTGCAATTTAAGATAATCCCCTAAACTGAGGTCATCACTGCAAAGGTATGTCAATATATACTGGAAGAATGGACTTTTTCCAAATCCCTAATGAGTATGAAGTTACGAATTTTTTTGAAGTTATGGATTTTTTGTACTTTGGATTTCTGAAATTCCTCTGCCTCTAACTGAACTACAAATCAACTGGGAACAATGCCGGATGTTAGCTGTGGGGCAGGGGACAGGGCTTCTTTAGCGCACCCTCAAGATGTCGGTCTTTAGCTGCAGCTCTGTGGGTGGGGCTGAGTGCATCAGCCCCAGCAGGGTGCCCATGTCGTCATCACCGTTGGGAGACAGCACCAGCTGCTGGATGGTCATGAGTGCGTGCTGCCGACACTGTGGGTACCGCACGATGTTGTGTGCACACCTGGCTCCTCCAAACTCCCGGAAAATCCCTGGAAGAAAGCAAAAGAGGGACAGCATGGAGAATTTGAATGCTCTGAGAGCAGTGAGATGGATCAATTCCACTTCCTTTTGTAGACAGTAATTCAAGAGAATACCAGTAAAATTTGAGCAGCTACTTTTTCTTTTAAATTGCAAAGCAAGAACTATACTGTGGGGTGCCAGGGAATGTACATGTTTTCCCTAGATCTCTTAATTCAAGAGCAACGCCCTGATACATTCTCTAAATCCAAATGCTCCAAATTGAGAACACATGGCGATTTCACAGGTAGACATCAGGGGTTCACTGCTCAAGCCAATTATGTAAAAGGTTTTTAGGTGAACAATGCACCAAATAAACAAGATGTAAACTAAACGAGGCTTTCAAAACATTAGGAAAAGAGCAGAATAACTCACCATGGGAAAAGTGATAAGGAACCAACATTTTTGTCAAATAGGTGGACAGAAGAACAAGGAAGACATAGTCTGAAACAGGACAGTCAGTCATCGCCCTGCTCCAGGACCATCATGCAGCCCGGTAACGGAATCTTACCACGCAGCAGTTCACCTCACATAGCTGCTGAGAGCAGGGGCAGGGCCGATACCACCACGGCTGGTGTTCAGCCTGCGCTCCTAATCAGGGGAAGCCGCCTGCACTGCCAATGCCCCCCACGAGTGTAAAGACACACGCCAAGCAAGCTAAGCCAGGAATTAGTGCCTTCCCTGAGGAACTCTACTCTTTCAAGTTTTAAACTAGATGTAGCTCTACACCTCTACTGCCAGCTTTATCAAAGTGGTGCCAATAGTATTCGTGGATCTGGTCCTGTGTGTAACCTGAATTTCCTCCTGCTTTGTGTTTCCTGCAATGTCTACTGTGAGAACTGACAGTGTGTTCTGCTGTGGCAGCTGCTGTCCTTATCTTGGTGGCTATCTGCTGACTTCATAGCCTTTAGTGACCTTGCAGTGAGTGTGAGTCAGGTGCCTGAGATTTAGCAATTGAGATCTGGGACATCCTTTGATTGTGAGAAGGTCATGCATACTTACTACTGGCTGGCAGGTAGGGACCATCACATAACCATAACACAGCGTATTCTTAAATGCTTACTACGAGCAATACCTTAATAAGAAAAAGAAAGACTGGACAAAGGACCTGTGCCCTGGGAGATGTGTAACGCACTGGTCACACAGGGCGAGCTCTCCACTCTCCTATGATAGCAGATGGTCCAGGTCTTCCCCTGACAACTCTCTGACACTTCCTCAAATTTGCAGAATAAACTGTTGCTCCTATGTCTTTAGTACGTTTCTGAGGATCTCAGCCAACTGAGTCTAACTGATGGCAGTAAGAAGGGTATGTATCACACCAGAAAATGTCGCCAAGGAAATCACTAAACTTTATACTCCCTGTTTCAATTACTTTCCAAATTCAATCAGTTCTATTTGGTATTTGCCAAAATTGTATTTAAATAACTACTTACACAATTATGTGTTTACACCTAAGTTATAATTTTCTTGGAGAAAGAATTATTTCTGCAACACTAACACCCAGCACAGAGACCAGTTGTGCACAATGTGTTTTAAACATGCTGCAAGCCGAGTCTTTCTGCATTCAGCACAGTCACACCTTTGTGTGTGTGCATGCATGTGTTTGTGTGTGCACTGGGAGGAGTCCCATCATCCAGGGCCTTCCGCTCACCTGCGAGTACACCCCAGGTTCCCAGCACATCTTCCTCTGAAGGCCACTTGTCTAAGCCCCCTGCTCACTTCAGCGCCTTGCCCCTCATTCATTACGCAGGCTGCGCTGACCCTAGGACCTCACAGCTTTTGGATGTGGACTAAAGTTTCAAAGACTCTTTTGAAAAAGCAAGCACAACAATTTATAAATATAGTTGTACTAACTGTTAACTACAGAAAAGAAACTGAAACCACAGCTAAAGCAAAATTTTCAATGAAATACTCTGCCTTGAAATGACGATATTTCATTGGAGAACAACTTTTCGATACCGCCCTAATGTCATGATGTTGCAATATGCCAACATGCATTACTATGACATTAAGAAAATTACCACATGAAGCAAGTATTTTGGAAAAAACATAAAAAGCAAATTATTTAAGAGTGTATTATGTAAGTAAATTTTTTTAAAAAAAACTAAGCAAAAGGAACAGTATGAAAAAAGCAATAAAGACATTCTGAAATAGTAACAATGTTAAATATTTTGTGGTTAGTGCACTTCAAATGGTCCAAAAGGACTGCACGTTCAAGGCTTGACCAGCCCATCAATGAACCAACAGTTCTTCCTCCGAGTGTAGGCGCCTCTCGGACCAAGGAGCCCACGACAGACCGAGGCAGGGTAGCTCCGTGCCTTCCTGGTTACCTGCATTGGTGGTAGACCCCTGCAGGAGCACAGTCAGCGTCTCCATGACCAGGAGAGCCAGGTGCTTCTGGTCTTCAGCTGAACTATTATTTCTTGGGTCCCCTATGAAAAAAAGTTCAAAGTCGCAAATCACAAAAGTGATAAGCTTAATTTTTCTTGATTGTTTTATTTCTAATAATTTCTTTAGATACTTCCCTGACATTCACTTTACACTACAGCTAATACAACCTTTAAAATGGTACCATGAGACTGTAACGTGAAATCAGTGGGACACACGTGTACATATTGCATTGTTTCTGTGGTGTGAGAAACTGGAAGCATAAATAAGGACCAAAGTATATAATAGATACTGTGAGACAGGAAGAAACTGTTCAAAAGGAAAGGGGAATGGGGGAGGGAGGGAAAAGAAAAAAATGAGAAAAAAATGTATGAAATGGAAACAAAGCTTTGCAGATAAGAAAGGAAAAGGGATGAAGGGAGGGGAGGAGAAGGAGAGAAAAAAAGAACTGAGATATTATCACATATAGGTACAAGTTTGTTATGATGAACGTGATGGGTGTGTATCTTTAAACTGTATCAATAAACTTAATAAAAATAAAATGCATGTCCAACATCTTGTTAAAGGTGGGCTGGAAATCAATAACAGATTTTACCTCAGTATGACCAGAAAATTATCAAACAAGGTATTAAAAATAAAAATGCCAAAATTAAATACATTTACCTCACAGGGACTTTAATCAAAGATCTCAATAGAATATTAGATTTTAATTTACCAAAAAGACTGAAGACTTTAAGAATAAAGTGACTTATTCAATTCATATTAATTCACACTTAATACTTACTAGTTGCCAGAAACAACTACATTACTTTCAGATTTATCAAAAAGGTACCTAATGATGTATACATGATATTCCAAATTAGGTGTATTTGCTTTCTACAAAAAGATCTGAAGTATCCACCATTTAATTATATAGACTAAGTTACAATGAATAATTCCAATTATTTCCAGAATGTTACAATTCCTACTTAGATGCAGAAAATATCAAACACTAGGTATAAAGACCATACAAGTTATCTGGAACAAAACTCTTCCCCAGTTTCCAAACAGACTTTGGGAAACATTCACTACAATGTCAGCGTAACACACACCAGGAAGTCATGCAAGCCGGCAATCACAGGAAAGGCACAAGAGGAATTAAACAACCTTCCTAAGCCCCTTTACCACATAAGAGGTGGTCACGGAGAAGGCTTTACCTTGTTCATGCAGTGCCTGAGCTGGATCTTTCAAGAGGGCAGCGTACTTATGCAGAAGGTTTACCATGACCTCCAGAAGGCCCACCTCCCTGAACACATCTTTAAATATGTGGTCATGTCTTGTAAACTTCAGAAGGGTTCGCATGGCAACAATGCTACAGTGGTGCGAAGAGCTGGACTTCAACAGGATGCTAACACTAATAAGTTCCTTACAAGGGATGTAATTTAAGCTAAACACGACGAACTCCAGCATCTCAAAGAACTTGTTTTGGACTTCTGGGAGTTTAGAGATCTTCTCAGCAAACTGTGACAGAGTGTGCTGTGGCTCCAGGATGAAGTAATTGGCACTGTCGGCCACGTAAATGTTGGTGATAGCGTCCAGGATGACCTGGGCCAGGAAGCCGGTTTTCGCTTTTAAAAATGCATTCTGAAGAACCGCAAAGGCCTGGACATTTCTCACACTGTGACCTGAAACAGGAAACGAGAATACAAGATAGGTGCCAAGTGATATTTTCATCGCAGCAAACTGATCCATATAAACACACCACGGATTTTGGCCTTTACCAACTAAAATTTGCTAAGAACATGTCCTGTGTGCATGAAAGGTCTTCTTTCTCTTCACCAGGTTCAAATCATTTAATTACAAATAAATAACACTAAGTAAAACTTCAATGGGCCATAATGAGTATTTCAATTCAAGAACAGCATATGTTGAAAAATGAAACCGCTCTAGAGAGAGTAAAATCCTATCCCAAAGGGGCCGGCTTTTAGTTCTGGAAACTCCTAGGCGCTGCACTGTTTTCAGTGAGACTTGCCCTGAGCGTGAGCACGGTGCTGTCCACCTTGAAGAGACTGAGGCTGAACAGTGACCTCTGGGCGCAGCAGGGTGGAAAGCCAGGAAGTTAGGAGGGGGAATTTTCTAAGTCTCAGCTTTCTCGTTATAATTACAGCATTATGATTTTCATTTGGAAGTTTGTTTTCAAACTAAAATTGCCATTTCATTATATAAACATCTGTTAAAGCAATTTCTGACCACCTACTACATATATTTTTAAACCTCTGATTTCCAAACCCATTAACTGAAAAATAAATAAACATTTTTACATATGGATTCCTTGGGGCAAATTAATGACAATAAAACACGGAAAGTTACACTTGAAACACATGAAAACAAGGGTTTGCCTCTAAAAATTGTTCTCAGTTCCACAACTATTAGGTGTATTTAGCATCTGCAAGAATGACAAAAAGAGTAACAGATTCTTACAACAAACTGGATTTTTGAAATACAGTATAAACAGAACTATGAAAAACATAAAACAGGTTAGTATGACTACTAAGGAATCTTGACACAAACATCTTTGAAAAACACAAAGATTTTTAGAAAATCTTCAGCGTATATATACATTATTTCAATTTCCTCTATAGTATCTAAATATATTTGATACATGGTAAATATCATAGATTTATATTTCTTTTCAATTCCTTACTATGTTTGCTCTTTTTAGGACATCTTAACTTTTTATCATCTCTGAGTCACCAAAAACCAAGCTTAGATAAACTGACATACAAATATACAAGCCAGAAGTGACAAATTAAGCTAAAAATGAAGTCTAGCCAATACTCTACACCTTTCAGTTAAGTGATAGTATTAATCATCACTGAAGAAAACAAGTTAAAAGAACTGAATTTTGTTTAATATAAAAAAAATCTGGTTTTTTTGCAAGTTCGGTCACTATTTGGTTTTAAGTGATGTGGTTTCACAAAATAAAACATTAATAATCAGTCACAAGGATAAACTACCATACAGACAACAAGTAGTTTAAACAATAGTGTGCCTATATAAACACAACTGTCACGGATCCTGTCTAGATGTCTTCTCAGATCAGCAGTGGTCCAAGCTGGGGTGGGATGGAGTTCAGAGGTTGCAGAATCTAAAGTTTGTGATCGATTCATGTTTCAATGCTGGGATTAAGGATGTGAGTGCTATACTGGCCCAGGGGCGGGCAGCCTGCATACAATATAAGGACAGAAAGAGCCTTGTCTCTTCCTTTTTCTTTGGTACTTTCTGGCCACCACGAAAAGTTCACTTTCTTGTCGCTTTGCTGTCTTCCACCGCCAGGAACTGTTGCCCCTCTGCCATGCTATCCTTCCCTGAAAGCCAGTTGATTATGAACTGAAACCTCCACAAACTGTGAGCTAAATAAACTTTTCCTCCTTCAATTTGGGTGTTGGGTGTTTCGTCACAGTAGGGAGGAAAGAAACTAAGGCGACAATGTAACATATGTTAATCTTCATTCATATAAATAAATAAAGCAGAAATAGGAGTTGGCAGGTCAGTCACTTACAAATTTTAAAGTTATTTGTTTTTTGATTCTTCTTTAATCCCACTTATTATTCAACTCTTCTAGGGGCCATGAAAATAGGTGATGATAGGGAAATTAAAATACACTGACCACAGTAAATGACCAAGGAACACAGGTGAACTAATCTTCATGGCTGCCTTCAAAAGCAAAGTACTTTAACCAACGCAACAGCCACTTAGTCTTCTCTACATTTAAGCTCAATCATTTTTTCTAACTTAAGCCAGAGAAAAAAATTTTGTTTACCTGTACAATATTATTTCCAAATTAAAAAGTCTATGCATAATGGAAATCAATATGCTCCGATAATTTAGCTTTCTAGCAGAAAAAAAAGTATCTAACAGAACAGCTGAATACCAATACTGAAATCAGAGGCTTACAAATTTGAAGTACACTGTATTTTGAAAGCTAATATTATGAGTAATAGTTATTTGTCATAGCCATTAAATTTCTAAAATAGTCAATTAGGAAAAATTGAATAGTAAAACTTTAAAATAATATATATGACAGATAAGCATATTTCTTAAATGCTAGCACATAAAAACTCTAATAGTTTAGCTACACAGATGTATCTTATTTAAATTTTAAAGTCTGTATTAACTTATTTAAGTTTCAAAGTCTGACTCCAATCTTTTTGGCACAAAAATAGCTACAAGAAACAGTGATACAATGAGAAAAGCATTCTAAAATATGGCAATCGCCATTTATTCCTCTAAAGTCTGCACACGCAGAAGCAAAAGAAATGAGTCAGCACAAGGTTTGAAGAACATCTACGTAGACAACAAAGAAGACAGCTATCCTATTTCCATCTAATGAAAAATAGGAAAGCGAACATTTGAAAAAGGGGTCTAATTGATACACACATAAGAAGAATAAAGTAAGAATACAGGCCTAAATAAAAAATGCAAAAAACTCATCCAGTGAACAGATCCTAAGTACTATTACTAGACTCCAAGTCATTGGAGCGGGACTATAAAGATAAGTTCAAAGGAAAAGCAAAGGCCAGAGATGCTGACAGTGAGCTGGGTACACCCTGCAATCCCAGTGCTCGGGAGCCTGAGGCAGGAGGATTAGCTAAAGCTCAGGGCCAGCCCTCACTACCTCATGAGTTCAAGGACAGCCTGAAAGATCTTATCATGGGTCTTATCACCAGATCCTATCTCTCCGTAAAAAGAAAAGGTGCCAATGGTGATTCAGAACAGCTCACCAAGACATGGGCTACATTAGGACAGGTAAGCAGAGTCAAAAAAGAAGGGGTGGAAATCAGGAAGTGTAGGATGGAAAAGAATGATTAAAACCACATGTGGACAGCTGACAGGAACAGTTAGAAGCAAGCTGTTGAGTTACACTGTGGAAGCCAGAGGAAATCAGCCCTGGGTATGCCATGGGCAAGACCACCGCAGGACAGCGGTTAGCAGGCTGAACGAAATCCACAAAGGAGAATGTAATGTTGTACTCTCACACTGGTACTGCCTAAACTCACGCCTGATAATAAAACTCCAGTCAGGGGAAGCCAAAGTAAAGTTCAGGAAAGCTGGAAGTAGTCTCTTCTCGTGATAAGATACATGCTCTGAGAAAAACATGCTCAAACATTGGGTTTGCAGAACAATTGTGGACACTGGAGAGCCATCAGTTATGCAGTGCAACCTCACACAGGTTACAAACAAGTGAGCGTACGAGCATCCTGACGTTGGTGCAAAGCTAGGGAGTTTTCTGTTTAAAGGGAAGGGTTGCTCTGTGTAATTTCCTTCTCCGGAAACTCCCTCTGCTGACAAGGATATTAGCACGTTGCAAAAGCTCTTGCTATCTACTACAGAAGCAGTCATTTTCAAGTAATAACCAACCAACAAATATGTTCAACACAGTAACTGAGTTGACCTCTTTTAAATTCTGTATTCCTTTGCTGCCTCACCTGATTTGTAATCAGGGCCAAAACCAAGGTGGCTAAGCTGTACACAAGATCGTAGGGCACACATATTCATCCTCCCTTTTCAGACGTAACTGTACCACCAACTTGGTATCAATCCCTTGGCAACAAGAATATCCCTTTCACAGGTGATTAAAGGGAACGGGTGAGACCACGGAGCTATTGCCATAAGCACTGTGAAGCAAGAACTGACAGGAGGCCATAGCCACATGCACTGGCTTTTTCCATCTCCTTCCCTGTACAACAGTCTAGCATCTCTAATGCAAACAGGATTAATAAGAAATGCACCACAGCTGGGGATGCAGCTCAGTGGTGGGCATGAGGTCATGAGTCCATATCCCAGCACAAAGAAAGAAAGAAAGACAGACATCAGAGAAAGAAAGCGATTTCCTTCATAGACGTATCAATAAAAATAAAATTTTGAAGGATAAATTTAACAAAAAACCTGAAGGTTCTACACAGTGAAACTGTAAACTCTGCTGACAGAAAATGAGACTAAAACAAATGGAGAGCAGTCTCATTTTTATGGACTGACTGCAGGAGTCCTTACTAAGATGCCAGTTCTCCCCTCCAAGACTTCAGAGACAGAATATTCCCAGTCACCCTCACAGCCAGCTTCTCCACCAACAAATGATCCCACAAATTTACATGGAAGTTCAAGGGGCCCAGAATAGCCACAGCAATTTTGAAAAGAACAAAATTAAACAATATAAATGAGTTACTTTTAAAATTTATTGAAATAAAACTATGGCAATCAAAACACTGTAGTATGGACTTAAAGACACACAGACAAGTTCAACAGAATTCACAGAATCCCCGACCTAGAGTCTTTTTAAGAAAGTGTCCTGGCACCCTGGTACAGCCACGAGAAAAAGAAAAAACAAAGCAAAACAAAAATCAAATAATTGAACTCTTCCTTCCTGTGCTGTGCAACAACTAATTGAAGCTGGTCTCTGTAAGAGTCAAGAGGAAGCACTGGAGAAATGTGACATTAGAAAGAAGCACGAGAAGAAGAAAATACTGCTGACAATCTTAGGGAATGTAAAGTGGGCAAAGAGTTCTTCAACAAGGCAAAATGAAAAATTGAATTTTGTGCCTGAAAAACTTATAGTCTTCCAAAAATGATGTTAAGAGAAAACAAAAGGCAAGAAAGAACCAAACTATAAAATATATATCTAAGGATAAAGAGGTGATAAAAGACTTACTTAGAATATCTAAAAAACTCCAATGAAACAACCCTAACAAGAAAGCAGCACAATTACCTGAAACAAGTGACAACCAAGCCCCTGAAAAGACTTTCAACTTCATTAATCATTTACATCATAAGAATTAAAAGCGATTAGATACTAGGAAACACTAAAATCCCTAGAATTGAAAACAAACAAAGTTAACAGCCCCAAGTGCTATTAAGGATGTCAAGCCCCTGGGACCATCATACACTGCTGAGGTGAATTTCAAACGGGACAGCCACTTCAGAAGAGCTGGATGTTTCGTCTAAAGTTAAACATGCATCTACCACATCTACCAGGAATTCCAGTGCTTGGAGTCACGTGAAAGAAAGGAAAACATACACCCATAAAACTTTTACACGAATGTCTACAGTACCTTCAGTCTTGATAGCCAAATACAAGCAACTGGTAAATGGGTGTTGAAACCGTGCAAAATGTTTCACTGCCAAAAACACTGAAACATGCAAAAATGCAGCTGAACACGTCACCAAGTGAAAGGGTCCAGATACAAAAGACCACGTACTGCATGACTCCAGCTTCTGGAATTGCAGAATGCGCAAAACCAAAGCAGACCTGTTGTTGTTGGGCTGGGTGAAGTGTGAGACGAATGACCGCAAGGCGAACTGAAGGCCTTTTAAAGGCTGAAAATATTCCGCATCATGATTACAGTGTGATTGTACAATCACATTTATCAGGATTAACCAAACCCAGCAGCGTGATGGACAGATTCAAACAGATGCAAATTATATCTCAATACTGCTGGCAAATAAAGGACAAAAAGAACAAAAGATGACACAGTCCATCACTCCATCGGTGTGGGGCACAGCTACCTCTTTGGTTCCCACAACAACCTAACCAAGTGACAAGACAAACGGACGGTTTTGGCTGAGACAAGAAACTCTAAATGAGGTAGCTTGACCTGGTTGGTTCCATAAATATTACAGTTTTTCTGAAGAAGTCACGGATACTCAGAAAAGTTAGGTCGTCCATGATTCTCTGAGCTCTGGTTACTTCAAAAAAAGGTAATAGTCAAACCATAATGGGTATCATAGTATATCTTATTGCCTTCAAAGTGGTTACCTATACCCTCAAACTTGATACTATCAAACAAAATAGAGTATAGAATAATCAGACAGAACAGGATGGGGAGAGCAATACTGGGGTTCAAATCAGGTTAACAGGAAAACAAAAAAGTTACTATAATATGTCCCGCTATTTTTTAATTTTGTTTTCCCTTAATTAAAAATTTTAAAAAAGGGGGGAGACTGAGATAAAAAAGCACCCTTTCTAGCTAACCTTGCATTCACCAGATTCTCACGATGATTTTGGTAGGGGCCAGGGTTATACAGCTGTGATCCCTATTATTATTTTTTTTTAAAGAGAAAAAATAAAGGACATAAAAAAACAAAGCAGTAAAAGGGTACAAGTAATACAGAATTTCAAGAAAAAAAATATAAAGTGAGAAATCACTAGTTAATAGGTTACATAGGTTTCTTTCTAGAATAGGTTTCTTCCTAGAAACAGTTGTCTAAATTATAAAATTAAAGCATATACAGTGATATTGGAGACAGTTCTGTTCAATGATCCAACAAAAGCTCTGTAATACGGTTTTCCATCCTACACCCCCAAACATACCTGCAGTTATATCCCTTAGTCCACCTTCCTTTCCTCTTTTTTTATAATAACAATTAGACTTTCTGGGTTTTATTACTCCCACAGTTCTTATTACTTTTTTTGAAGAGAATAAAACCAAACATGACTAAGCAAAACAGAGTCAGTTCGAACAGAAGGATGGGCATAGTACATGATACAAAAATAGAATACCAGGTGATCAAAAGTGGTTACCATTGTGCCTCTTGCTATTTTTAAACTGAGTTGCCTATATAATCAGGTATAACAGAATTGATCAAAACAGTACAGAACAAGACCAATAAAACCTACATTGGAGACCTTACAGGACTTCAAAAAAAGGTAATAGTCAAACCATAATGGGTATCATAGTATATCTTATTGCCTTCAAAGTGGTTACCTATACCCTCAAACTTGATACTATCAAACAAAATAGAGTATAGAATAATCAGACAGAACAAGATGGGGAGAGCAATACTGGGGTTCAAATCAGGTTAACAGGAAAACAAAAAAGTTACTATAATATGTCCCGCTATTTTTTAATTTTGTTTTCCCTTAATTAAAAAAAATGAAAGAAAATAGATTAATTTAAAAAAGGGGGGAGACTGAGATAAAAGAGGACATTGTAACAGAACACAGATCAGACCCCCAAAATTCAAAGACCCAATCCAAAAGCGGGCATCTGAGATGAATAAACAATTCTCAGATGAAGAAATACGAACGACAAATAAATATAAGAAAAAATGTTCATCATCATTAGTCATTAGAGAAATGCAAATTAAAACCACACTGAGATTTCATCTCACTCCTGAAAGAATGGCCAAGATGAAGAAAACCACCACCAACAAATGCTGGAGAGGCTGTGGGGAAAAAGGAACTCTCCTGCACTGTTGGTGGGAGTGTAGACTAGTGCAACCATTGTAGAGGTCAGTCTCGAGATTTCTCAGAAAACTGGGACTGGAAGCCCCATTTGACCCAGCTATACCACTTCTAGGCATATTCCCAGAAGAACTGAAAGCATCATACCACGGTGATATATGTGCACCCATGTTTATAGCAGCACAATTTGTAATAGCCAGATCTTGGAAACAACCTAAGTGTCCATCAATTGAAGAATGGATAAAAAAGTTGTGGTATTTTTATACAATGGAGTACTATTCAGCTATAAAGAACGATCACATTGAGACATTTATAAATAAATGTGATCCTTATTGTTAATGAGACAAAAAGAAGTGACATTATGCAAAAGAGTAAGTTTGCTGCAATAATTGTATGATTATAAAGTTATACTATTGTACTTAGCTATCATGAATATTAAGGCCAGACTAATTAATCAAATAAAACAATAAGGTGTGAAACCAAAGTATATTCCTGGGTTATTTTACATTAAATCACTGAAAGATTGAACTAAGGAAGCGGAAGCTTATCAATTTCATTGAGATTACTTATTCATATAAAGAAATTGAAACCCCGAACTACTCAGGTGTATGTATGACTAGTGCCACACTTATTTCACAGACACGCTTGAAAGGCTCTACACAGCCTGCACACCGAACACACTGCGCCTTACAGTGACTTGGAGGGTGGTGTCCACGATCCGGAGCTCCAAAGCTCACAGCTGCTGACTTCTCTGTCGTAGAAGGAATCGATTTATGGTGTGAAATTTAAGTAACTAGACATACTGGTACCGTTGGCTAAACTTTACATGAAAATATCGTGAACCTACTGAAGATTTTAAGTGACAAATCACATGACGGGAAATGTGGGAGAGGTCTTCAGGTTCAGTCTGTTTTGGAAGAGTTACTGTGAATTTGAAATAATAACCAGCCAAGCTCCCTTGCATTAATATGTAATGAAATGTTTTAACTATGAAATAAGTTTTTTCAGTAAAAAACCATTAAATAAAGATTCAAACGTTAGAAAATCTAGATGATTCCCTGACCTGTATGAAATAACGTTAACTTCTTTTACTTAGGTTTACTGAGTTTCAAATGCATTTATACCTGACCCTTCCCACAGACACGAGTAGGAGTGACGATTAGAACTTGAATTAGTTCAGTCCACATAAAGGTGAAACACATGGAGGGCCAATACTCCAAAGCACATGATTAGATTTAAAGCTGTTTGAACTGAAAAATGAGACCTAGTACGAACCTCATTGTTTGATTTCATATTTTCATGATATTAACTTTCAAATACTGGATCTGGTGGACCAAAGATTCTGTTATGGACTAAGAACTGGTGGTCAACTTAATGCCAGCTGGATTACATCAGCATGGTATTGGGCGAAGATGCTCCACCTGAGGAAAGTTGCCAGGATAAATAGGTGGAGAAGAAGGGAGATGTGGAGGGTTGAGGCGTTAAGGAGGCATTGTGGGTTCTCCTACAAGTTGCTGTCTGGGCTGTTGGTTCTTCTGGAGAAGCTTTGGTCTTCACATCGAGCATTGCCTCCTGGCTCCAGAGGGGAAGACATGTGCTGCTTAGTCTCCAGGATGAACTTGGACTCCAGGATGAATCATGCTGCTTCCTGGCACGTACCTGACTGTGCTTGTTGTCAGAGGAGCTTGGGGCCTCCGTGTTGCTGAGGACAGCTGTGGTGCCTTTCAGGACAGCCCTGGTCTTTGCTGTGAATGTGACTTCTCGGCTCCAGCGTAGAACCCTCATCCCACTAGCACAGCTCCTTCATCTTGCTGGCATAGACTTTCTGGCTTCCACCACTGACCCTTGGGTCTTCCCCGCATGGATCCATAAAAGAGACTGGCCTGAGTCCTTCTTGTGGGCTCTGGACCTCCAGCTGGACTCGTGGGAGGCATTGTCCTGAGTTCTGGATTTTTATCTGGACTCATGTGGTACATTGCTCTGGGGTTTAGGCTCTTGACTAATCTATGTCTTTGGTGTTGCGGATAGATCTCCTGCATCACAGGAAACTGTGTTAACTCCTGGTGACCATTATAAAAATATTATAAACTCCATGTCCTAATCCTAGTTGTTCTCTGGGTACAACCCCTGACTACAACAGATACTAACAGATTCTTATCTAAACCTAAGCATAAATAGCACAAACTTTAATGAAAAACAAAATACTATTTTTTAAACAAGTAAACCAAGAGTAACTAAAGCAGGCACATACATTCTTCCTGGGCCTCTGTGAAGGCCAGAATGGGGAGGGGTAGGCTCACCTTTGCCTGCAGGTTGAGGTACCACAAACCCAGGCAGCAGGAAGGGCGCCCCTGTGGTGATCCCTGCTGGCTTCAGCTCACTGACGCCATAGGTGGTCAGGGAAGTTATCAGATTAACCAGGTCTTTCAAGGCATCTTTGGACTCAGCCTCTTTTGCTTGTTCCAATCTAGAAAAAGTATAATTTGACAAATACGTTTTCTTTTTGGTTCTATTCTTGATAATTTATGACAGAAAACATTTTTCAATTTTATTTATTCAACTTATTCAGTAAGTAAATCTATTTCTAAGTGCTCTGAGAAGTTTCTTCTTACAATATTTCCTATATTAGAAACTTTAAAAACTTATGTATTTTTATTATAAGACAGTATGGTATATTTGGAAGAAAGCTGACCAGTCATTAAAGTGTTCATTTGATTACTGTTGTTTTAGGTAAGTCATTCATCTTTGGCAGAAAATCTCTCTATAATAAGAGCATTAGATTAATATACCTTTAAGTTCCTAAAGCTATAAGGTTATTAAGTTTCACTCTTCACAACCAGAACTTTATTAACCAGTCTTTCTTCAGACATTTTCTCAGTTAATGTTTAAAAATGAACTGTTTGGGAATAGTTCTAGGATTTTTATCTATATTTCATGAATTTATGTACTGTTTTTCTTTTCAAGTTCTGAGGAGGTAACAATTTTGTTAAATTACTGTAATTCTTTCCAAAAGAACTCTGGGGTCATGAGGGAATTATCTTTTGACTATGGTTTTACTAACAACACAAAATCAGCATAAAAAACAAAAAGCATAAGATTTACTGGGCCTTTTGCCTAAAGAGAAAAACATAATTTTCATCAAAATAAACTTGAAGAATGCACAGAAGTAAAAAGACGACTACAGAATCCTCAACCTCACAACCCAGATAACACCTTTCAACCTCTGGATGGAACTTACAACTTGTCTTCCTAATCTGAAAGCTTAGTTTTCATACTATTTACTCTCACAGTGTACACGTGATGCTTAACCCACACCCTTTTTCATTTCCCCAGGCCAGCCATGTGCCTCTCCGTGTTAGTACAAGCTCCTTTCTACACCTTCTGCTGCCACACAGCCAGCCACGGTACCAACCACGCCTCTGGCTGGAGAAGATCAGACAACTGGTGCAATGTAACAGGGCTAGAAGACATTCACATTTCTCTATATGGAGGATTATCTGCTAGGATTAACAACTGTAATAAAGTACTGTGTTAGAGAATCAACATGAGGCTCTGGACAATCCACGTCAACCTGCATTCTCAAAGAACTGCACCCTTAATATCTCACTAGTAAGGTAAAGTGATTATTTCATCCATTCTTTTTGTCCTCCTCTATAACCGAGGATCATCATGAAAAAGTACATGAAATACTGAGAGTAAACAGGTTAAACCTGTGTTAGATAAGTTTACAAAACAATGTTTTCTTTGAGCAAGTCATATGATTTAAAAGCAAGTAGTGGCCCAGGAAAGCTAGAGAGAGAGCTCCCTCTTCCCAGAACAGCCACCCTCTAAGCACATGCGGGACTGTTTGGAATTTAAAAGAGGGATGTGTGAGATATTCTGGAGTAAATAACTGGTTTTCTGTGAAGTCTCATTTATCTATGTAATTATTTTGCTATTAAGTAGCAAGTACTATAAAATATAGACAATAAAAATACAAACAAGCACAAAGAGTTTCTACTGTTTGTTAACTACTTCATGTAAACTCTTTTCCCTCAGTTACAAGTTGACCTAATCTCTCATTCTACATTCGTTATCTGCATCTGATAACTGAACAGTAAATATCCAGATTGGAATAAAAAGAAGACAGCAGACCTAAGAGGACACACAGATTGCATTCAGTGTCTGTTTGGTCCCTTTACCTATAATCTCAAATCTTCTATTAAAAAAAAAAAAACCAAACTGATCAGATATTTAAAGCATATTCTTAAACTGGGATTTTACCTAAGCAAGAGATCACAGAGAAAACTGTATCCTTGCCATATCCGAAAATCATCCAAAAGTGTTTGGGAAACATCACTGGAATCTTTGAGGAAGCAAGAAAGCCTGGCAAACATTTCCACGGTCTCCAAGGGCGACAGGTCATCCGACTGCTGCATGTTCTGGACACACGTAGATAAACACTCTTTTTCTGCAAGAATAAACAGTTAAACATATATGTGCGCACTGCTTAAGAAAAATTTTCTATCCTTAGCTGGTGTTCAATGAAATATTAAAATTCAATGTACTTCGCAAAAAGACACACACTGTAAAAGTAAGTGTACACTTTAGAATCACCTTGAAGTAGTAAATAAGAAATACAGGAACATGTGAAAAAATGTTAATCCTTACTACCGTCTTTAAATCGTATTCTGATGTTTTACCATGAAACAAAATGACTAGCCATTCCCTAGTTTTTTCGACCTTTTATATTGATAAAGTATCAAAATGAAAAACTACCTGCTAAGCTTAAGAAGTGTAAATTCCTTAAAATTAAAATCTGGCTGAATATAAACTAATGAGATACACAAATGCCTTAGGAAATAAAATTTAAAAACTGTACTATACATCACAAGTTTGAAACACCATCGTACTCCATGGACCCACTGTCACGGGAGAAAAGGCGCCATTAACATGGACTACAAAGGTAGAAACACCTAATGGCCAGTTCACGTAGGAAACACCAGGTCTCTCATATTGCTGTGTAAATTATTCTGAGATTCAGGATAAGTTAAATAAATTCAATAAGTGAATTATTTTAGACACTAGTGCAATTATACCTTATATAGACATTTTAAGGGTAGCTGATTATCACATATGAATTGAACAGACACATTAATTCCTCCTTAGCCCTGATGAAGAAGTCACCTATTTAGTGGTAGTGAACCTATGGCACACATGTTGCAGCAGGCTGTGAGCTCTAAAAGGTTCGCGATCACTGCTCTAATTCCACTCATTCTGCATTGGAGAGACTACCATCTGCTACTTATCAAATACCTTCAGAAAGACTGATTGCATCAAATACCTGAGCCACTTCTTCTGCAGTAAAAGAACAGGGAAAGACATAGAACTTACAAGTATTGTGATGGAATACTTACACAACAATAAAATCACTTCACCCCTTAGAGCTAGCTACTGCTCAGACTTTATGAGAATTTCTCACATTTGAGATGTCAGCAAATTTTAAAAAATACTCTTTTCTCCTGGTGAATGTCTCTTAATTTAAAGGCCAATCTGTGGGTAACTGAGAGACAGTAACATCTGCCACCAGCTAACGGTGAGCGGAGCTGAGAGCCCTGAAATGCACATGACAGAGCCTCCCACCGTGAATGTACTTGACCACGTTGACGCTGAGCCCATGCCGGGAGATGGTCATCAGGACTTCCCCAGCGCTCTTCCTCCAGGGCAGGTTGTAGGGCGGGCACCACGAGGTTATTGCACTGAACAGAAGCTGGAGGTCGTCCTTCTGCGCCAGCTCCTCCGCTGGGGACACGAAGCTGCAGAGTTTCACTAAGATCTGAAACACAAAAGGAAACACCGGTGCAGCATGGAAGGGAGCGAACAAATGGCCCAGAAAGGAGCAGCCCTGCGAAAGGAGCACAGCTGAGGATCCCTGAGAAGTACTAAGGGAGGACTGGGTAACGTCATCAGTGCTGCCGTGACCAGGGCTCATAGAGAGCATGACAAAGGACACCCACAATTTAGAAGTGACTCAGGCTACACAGCAAACCACCTCCACCTCTCTGAGCTTAAAGAGAATACTTACCATCTTCTCTGTGCCATGGGATTTTCTGCACACCTTGGCTTAAAACAGTGTAAACAGAAGTACTCCCTTTCACTGTCTACATTTTACCCAACTTGTTACTGTCATCCTTAGTCTGAACTGGAAAAATGCAACCTTCTTCTCTAAAAGAACAGTTTTAGGGAGAAGAGAGATTTAAATAGATTTTTGAAAGTAAAAGGTTCTCACATTGCTTCATTTTTGTGCAAGATACACGAATACTGTAAGTCATCTTAACTTGGAGCTATTTTTCACTCATATCTAGTTACCAATAACTTCCTTAACACTGGCTTTCAAAGAAGATTTGAGACCTCTCAACTTGAGAATCAAAACTTGTTCCATAAATCTGTGTAGCAAAATCCACACTGCGTAAGTGTCCACAGGATCGAGACACATGCGCCTGTTTTCTCACATGTGCATCCATACACCAAGTGCAACAGAGGTCCAGGTGCCCTGGGTGGGGGGGCGTATGCCCGGGGTGGGGGCGTGTCCATCACATTCCCTGGTGGTTCAGACAGTGCCTCACATGGTTAGAGGGACACATGCCATTTCTCTAATCTGTGACACAGAAGACAAGCCCAAAAATAGTCAAAGGCTTTTTTCCAAGACCAAATCTCTAGTTTGAAAAGCAAACCTGATTTAACGATTACTTGGCCCTGTTGACTCAAGAGAAGATAACTGGTTCTGAATCTTTATAGGCAAGCTTACTCTTAAAACGACCTAGTGTGACCCTCCCATTGCACCGGCTGGCAAAGCAGGCAGTCTCCCTGTCACGCCCCTTTTGCCCCTGCAGTGGCCACTTCTATCTGCAGTGACTCTGTGACCAAGTCCAGTGTAGCAGAGCAGTAACTGGCCATGTCAGTGACAACAATGAATGCCTGCAGGAAGCAGTATTAACCGCTAGGATTGGGGAACCGTGCATCACACAGCAAAAACACAGGTTTATCAGCTATGAAACATTTAATAAGCTGGTCTCAATCGGTTTCTGCACAAAATGATGAAATCTAGCTGTGTGGTCCACAGCACAGCCCTGGTGTACTCACACAGCACTAGGCAGGGAGTGGGGCTGTGAGGTGCCCACGGGTGCTACTCACCCCCTGGGAGTCACCTACAAGGACATCAGCTCCCACTGCTCGTAGTGAGGAGTCAGATTTAAATTATGCCAAGTTCCTTCTGTCTACATAGTCAATAATTACAGGATACTGAAGTGAGTCTCACATTAATTAAAAATCAGCATTCACTGCTTCAAATACAGGAAAAATATTTTAAGGGTTTTTTGTTTGTTTGTTCGTTTTTGGTACCGGGAATCAAACTCACAACCTTGTATTTGCCAGGCAGGTACTCATGCTGCTGAGCTGTAACCCCAGCTCAATATTTTATTAAGAGAAAACTGCTCAGTGTACTTAGATATCAGAAGTAAAAATGCAACCTCCACGCACTGCCCATGGCATTAGTCCCTTAGAAGGCTCTGTGGAAACAGCCCACGGATCCTATCAGGAAAGACTCAATCACTGAGCAGCTTGACTTCCTGCGGGGTTTATCCCGTCTGTCACTCCAGGTCACCTCCTCCAATCTCATTCAAGGCTCAGATAAACCTGGGTTCTAATCCTACTTTTCCATTTGCTCACATAATACTTCAGGAGGGAAAAAACCTCTGAAGTTATGGGTTGTTTTGCAAATTATATAAGATGTTAATCATAAGCACAAAAGTATGTAGTAATTCAAACGTTCAGTAGATATTTAGTATTTTGTCTGAAAATCTGGTCTTTTCCATTTTGAACTGTAAGGTGTCCCCTCTCTCACCACCTTGCAGCATCTCCATCTTAGGCTAGGGAGCTTCTGCAGTTATTCTTTACGCTTCATTATGGTTCAAAAACATTCAATGTACTACTTGAGGTGTACACATCAGGGTGTGAATCACACCCACACTGTTGTGCAACACACCTCTAGAACTAAGATCATGCAAAACAGAAACTACTTGTAAACAACAATCCCCTTGCACCCCGCACCCCACTTTCTTCTGCCTGACGATTTCAGATACCTCGTTTAGATGGAATCATGCAATACTCGTGCTCTGTGTGCAAGTGTGCTTCTTCACACTGTATTAGACAGGTCTACACATAGAACATATTCCAAATGTTTGTCGGTTGCTTGCTTTAAAATTTCTCTCCCAAGAAAACTTGCCATCCATGGTGAGTGTACTGCCAGGCTAGCGGGCAAATTTCCACGAACCTTTATTCACCCACAGTGCTACTTGAATAGCGGTAACGGGGTCGAGGTGCTTTACAGGCAGGGGCAGAGGAGGTGGTGGCAACCACTAAAATGCACTGTCCTTGTAAGTTCAGTATTTCCAGGCTACGGAGTTCATGGCAGAGAAGAAACGGTTCATGGCAAAGTAGGATACACAGAAAGCAGCCAGCAAGCAGCAAGCGACAACAGCAGTCCTCCTCCTGTCCCTTGTGTTCTATCAGCACTCACACCCAGAATGGGGACCATTAATCCACTACAGATCAAGCCCAACATCATATCCTTAACCGCAGCATCACACCGCTGGGTCAGCCCCTCTGAAAAGCTCCACCTATGACCTGAGGAGGCTTTGGGGACATCCAGAAATAAGCCATCAGAACTTCCAGGGACTCCCTAGCCTATACATCTGTTCAGAGAAACACACTTGCTGTGGCTGCTATAAATAGTCCCATAAAGAATACTTCAATATTCTCTCTGCTGATACAAGAAACATTACAATCATGAGATCAGGTCACAGTGTAAGGCTCTAAAGAGGGAACAGGCTGGAGATCTTCTTTGCTGGACTCTGATTTCACTGTCCCTGAGCTCAAGATGCCCAACAGGCAGAAAGTGCCTTCCCTACCTGTACAAAAACTTTCTGGAGGAGTCCTCGCCGCTCCGCTAGAGGTAGCTCATTCTGTGCACCTCCAACTGCCTCAGGCACATGTGGAAGGTCAAAGAACAGATACAAACATTTAACCAGGGTGGAAGGCACGGACATCGTTGTCATGCAGTCCACGGTTTTCTGGAAAACAAACCAGTGAACAAGTGAATGAGTAGACAGGCAGAGTTGTAATTCACTGACACTGCGGAGTAATTCACACATTAAGGCAGAAAAACCATGATTTTAAAAAGGTACTTAAGAATTGTAAAATAACTCCATGCGAAGAAATAATTTCCCATTTAGACAAATTTGCTTAAATCAAATACTGATAGGTTTTTTACATAGTGAGCTACTTATTGTATTTGTTATTTATTCATTAAGAAACAGCATATTTCAAAGAGCATAAGCTTTGGGATTCTGAGGAAAAGGCACTAAATAATGAACCTCAGCAAACTAGTTTTCTGGGCCTCATATTTCCCTCATGAAATACAGTGAGACACATTTTAGGGTTGGTGTGATGATATAATAATGCAAAGACATTAAGCACTACACACTATATCAGTAGCTACTTTAACAACCTTTTTATCTCTATTCATATTACAAATTCTTGGACCTAGAAGGACATCTGAGAGACACAGCCATTGGGGACACAACTATATCTCTGTATTATTTTCTTTCCAAAGGAAGAAATCATAGTAAACATTTAAATGTTTTACAGATATGTAAGAATTATGCAATTTCCATGACTCAGCTTGGTCTAACAAATCCTACTGCAACGAAGTCTTCCAGGCATGACTGGTCATAGGCAGTGGTGGACACCTACAGCCCGTGTGCCATGGTCAGCTGTTTGTTACCACTGAAAGCTCTGAAAGGTTCGCCATCACTGGCCTAGGGCACATTGGGGAGCATCTCCCCGGGCAGGCACAGAGAAAGGAAGCAACCCTGCCCTGCAGAGGTCTACGAGCAGCAATAGAGGCACAAGCAACTATGCCTTATCTCTAGTCTGACAATGGCATAAATACAGGCCAGATTGAAAGGGAATCACAGCGCTGGCTTGGAAGGGCAAAGTGCGAGGAATGAAACAAGGAGGAACAAGGGATCTGAGACACATACAATCCCAGCCCAGCTGGTGCTGAACACTGGAGGACCCGGAGGACCCAGAGGGCCCACATGCTAACTCCCAGGAAGCATGGCTCCCAGGTAACAAGGCTCATCTTCGGTTAGAGGCAGGGCACGCCAGGTGTGAGGCTGAGACCCTGGCATGCAGGGTTCTCTCCTCTCCTCCTCAAGTCTACACTTGCAGCGGACACCACAACAGAAGCCACCAAAGCTTACCCTCTTACATACCTTGCTGGGAGTCAGAGTGTAGACTAAGCAACCCATAGAGTGCGTGCCCAGTAACTTATGAAAATGGGCTCGCGTCCATTCCAGCTTGACTGCTGTGTTACTGGCAATGGACACTTAATCAAGTGTTATGAACAATAAAGTGATACAGGCAGGGCCTAGAAAACTAACTGATGCTCGTGAAGACTGTAAATTAACTCAGACAGCCAGAAGGAGAGGGTGATTGGGGAAGTAACACCAGAAACTGCCAGGACGGGGCCCCAACAAATGCAGCCATGGCTAGTGGAGAAAGCAAGGGTTCAGGAACTTGCCTGGCAAGGCCCAGCTGCTCTACACAAGCAGGGCCATTTCCCACCCCGTACTGTAAACCATCTGCTTTCTCCTCTACCCTTCGTTACTTCGTACACCTCAGGTGAATGTCTGCCTTGTCACAGCGCCCCTCAGTGCCTCATCCTTCCTCCTACTCTGATCTGCAAATGCTCGGCTCTAACAATCCGTCTTCCTAGCATCATGTGTTCCACGGCTGTGTTTTCTGGGGCCTCTCTCCTTCCCCTCTGTGCTGTCTGCACGCTGAGTCAGGGCCACGTCTCACGCTGCTCTGTATTTTGCTATTGCCAGCAAATGGCCAGCAAATGCAGCGAACTGCCAGAAAATGGCACTCGAAGAGAAAAGGCACTGCATTTATCACACTCAATCTGCTTTTAAAATGTACCACTTTCCAGTTAGCTGATTATTACCAGCTCGCCCTTCCCGTTACACAAAGTAGCATGATTTTTCATTTTCATCTTATCACCATGGATTTAACGTGTAACATGGCATCCAAATGAGTATTTGGCAGCGTTTGTAACTGTACGTGATTAGGTTTGTCCTGATTGTCTCCTTACACTCTTAAGGCTGTCTCTGTCTGTGCCTGATTAAGTTAATCCACACTGACTGGGTTTCTACCAGGTGCCAGGTACCATGGCAGAGACAGAAGAGGAGAGGACCAGCACCTAGAGAACATCTAATCAGGCTTAGAGGGCTACAACTAAAGGTTGCTAATATTAAATATACTGTTTTTCATTTTTTAAGTCTATTTTATTTCAAAGAGAAAAAACCCCAAAGTTTACCCAAAAAAATCAAATTTACAAAAAAATTAAATACAAAAAGTAATTATTTAAATCAAAATCTAATATACTAATAGCATATATAGATGTGCTCCTATAAGCCCAACTTGGGCACAGGGTCACAGAGGGGTTTGCTGTCATCGGCATCCTGCCAGTCATGGAGAACATCACAGACACAGGAAAACATGCTCTGTTTTCCTCTGAGGGCCGCTCCGGGTGACCCACACCCCGCCCCCCAGCTGCCTGAGACTGGGGAGTTTCCTGAGGGCAGGACTTGCTATGCTCAACCCTGGGAGTCCCAGGAGAAGCAGGGCACGTCAGTCATGCTGTCTGCTGCATAGCACACACCATCGAGGAGACACAGCAAAGCAAAGACGAAACAAAGGAAGGAAATAGGTCATCACTTCAAGGGAAAAAGCTACATGCTGATTACTTTGGTCTAATGATTAACCTCATTAATGCATTGGTTCTGCTGTGACCAGTCACTATAACCTGAACAGGTGTTACAATCATCTTTACAGATTCCTTTATTAAACTGTAAGACATTTACAGTCCAAGGGAATTCAGGTGACATCCATTCCCAAGACCAGTAATGATGGCAAGAGCATTCATATTTTAGAAAGTTGAATAACTTTCATCCCAAAATCAAAGGCCAAAACTGAGGCACTCAAATGGCCCTCTAGTAGGTACAAATGGTATGTGTCATGACCTATATGTAAAGCCAATTTGGGAAAGACAAAAACAACCTCCATATCAATCAAGTGAGAAGGGAACACTCTAAGCATGGAAATGTCAATGCTCTCTAATTTCTACAAAACTCAGAAAAACGTATTTTCTATGCCACTTTCAAATATGTAGCCAAGTGACCTTAGATGAATGTGACTTTTCTAAACTAGAGTTGTCTAAGTGAGTTTTCCTCAAGGGATGGAGCTCCAGGACCTCTTGCCCTGGCCACAGTGGCCTGGCTTTCTGCCCAGCAGGATGAGAATGATGTCAAGGTCCTGTGCATCTCAACAGGACAGAGATGCAAATCACCACAGAACCTCAGGCACCACATCATCAATAAAGTGCAAAAGTACCTCACCGAGAGATGAGAAGATAAAATACTGCAAAACAATTATAAACACCCGAACGGTTACAATACCTTGTTCAGGTAGCACGAGAAATTTAATAACAAAATCCATCCCAAGGAGAGTACGAAGAGGTTAATGTACCAAACATGAAAACCAAGGACTCACCTGACCAGAGGATGCCAACAAATTAATAGTCGTCAGAAGCATCCATCCTCGACTGGCTTCTTCGCTCTGATTGATCTCCAGAAACTGGACAATGGCTCGACTGGCAGCCTCTACCAAAGCAAAGGGAAAGTCATTGAGTGGGGAGAGACCGTTAGAAGAAGTTCACCCTCAAAACCTACCAGCAAATGATGGCTCATTAAGCATGTATTTTAAGTCAGCACTGCAGTGATTCTGGGGAAAAATTTACAGCATCCATGTTTTCAGTGATGTGTTTGAAAACTCCTATCACTAGTGCAGAAATGTAAGAGTCAACTGGTACGTTTTAGAGAAAAGTTGGCATGTTACAAAAACTAACTGAAAAGCATCCTGGAAGCGGGCAAATCTGAGGCACCTCTGCCTGGAAAAGAGGTTATCTCTCTGCAGGCAGTGACAGGGACCAAAGGGATGGAAAGAACAGGAGCCCAGCACTGGTGGGGGGCTGAGCCTGCTGGCTGCAGACCACAGGGAGCTGCAGGGCGAGCTCTGGTTCACAGGCAGAGTGGACACCTGGCCACCGTGAAGGAAGCAGCACAGGCTGACTGGGCTCTCTGGGTAAGAGATCAAAGGCACTGGCCCAGGGGAAGCACAAGCAGGCGGCTCTAGGTCTGGTGATCTGGCAGTGACAGGCCTGCCAGACTGAAAGGCCGACGAGCAGGGACGGAACTGAATAAAGAGATGGCTGTGCGAGGTATGGGCGTCCCAAGAGGCTGGAGGCAGAGACAGAGCCGCAGATGTGGAAGAGCCATCAGGGAACTGCAGAGGGGGCAGAATCTTCGAAAGTTAGTTTAGGGAGCTACGTTTCTAGAGAGGAGGGACACGGTCCCGAAATGAACGTCATTTAATCATCACAGTTTGCAAATTAGAAAATAAGTCTGAACCGTTCCCTATAAACTAAGCAGGTAGACACTAATGCACACTTAGTACACCCTATAAGCAGCAGGAAGTAGAACAGAATTTCTATTATCCTAGATATGCTCTTTGCCTTCAATTTAACAATCAAGGCAAGTGTTTCATCAGATAAGTGACTATAAGACTTACATATGGTCCTCCAGGAGGGCTCCCCTGCCCCAGGCCTGGGAATTAAACCTGAGGCCTCAGGCCAGTTACACCAGCACCTTATCACAGGGCTACTTCCCCAGTCTTTATTTTATTTTAAGAAAATCTCACTAAGTTGGGCCAGCTGATTTGAAACCTGCAGCCACCCTACTTCAGCTTCCTAAGTAACTAAGACTACAAGCATGTCACCACATCCAGCTGAAGAGTTATACATGATTCAGCACTGGGCCTATTTCCTCTTTATACACTTCCACTTAAGGAAGCATTTAAAGAGAAAAAACTTTCATACGGCTTATTTTTACTGAGTCTTCAACTATCTCAGGAGCTGTTTTCAATATGTGTGGATTTAACGAATTCAATCTTTACAAGCAGCCAATGAGCTGTTTTCTATTAATATACTCTTTATTCTAGCTTACCCTGAGAAATAGAGAGGAGAAATAATTGGCCCACAGTTGCATTGCCAGTCAGTGAACTCACACTCAAATCTAGGCTGTCTAGCTGGTAAGAGATAAAGAGAGTGACTTTAAAAAATTACCAGAAAAGAAAGAAACTGACAGAGACCTGCTTATTTTTATTTCTAGTGAATGGGGAAGTTACTATCGCCCTTTATTTACTTATTTAGAGTCTCTCATCCTTGAATAGAAAATAAACACCAAAACTGTTAGCCTAAAGGTTGGGGATAGAGCTCAGTGGCACAAGCACCTGCCTGGCAAGGGCGAGCTCACGAGTTCAGTCCCAATTTTTTTTTTTTTTTTTGGAACCAGGAATCAAAAAGAAGTCTGTAAGCCTGTCCACTGCTGACTCCTGGAACTCGGAGCATTTGGTAAACATCTGCTGAAGGCATCGATCTGACTAGAACAAGGCAATGGTTCTAACAAAAGGACACACAGTGCAAATCCTTACACACATCAAAAGCTCTGGGCTTACTACTATAGGTAAGAGAGATTGCTCAAAGTTTTCAAAGGGAATAACAGAAAGAAAACAGTGTGCTCACAGACCCAGATTGTCAGTGCCTCATTAGAGGAGAAAAAAATGAAAGAGCAACACAGTCATTTCAGCAACAGTAGTTTGAAATCTCCAGCAAAATCTGATTTGCCAATATTTCCTGCAAGCCTACAGAAGACCCAAAAATTTGACAGGGGCTAAGTCACGTCTTTCTCTTCCCAGACAGCAATTACATACTCACGTAAGTAAGACTTCTTTCCAGCTAGCTAACACTCTTTTCACAGACTGATAAAATGTGCTCTCATTTCTCAGAGCTCTTTACAACTAAGCAACTATTATTTTAAATTATGCATTTTAAGTTCATAACTTGGACATCTTTAAGAAACTACTTCCAGCACTCCAACTGATTATGTACCAGTTAAATCAATATAATGAGACTCTAAAAACATTAATTAGGTAAAGATGTGGTCAGTATCGCCTATGCTACTCATGGGACAGAGGGCTGAAGAGCTAACATATTTTAGAGAAAGGCACAATAAAGTTATCTTCCAAGGACAGAAGCTTGAAACTCATAGATAAGATGAAGTTTGAGTGAACTTAGATGTAACACTATTAACTTTGAATGAAAACTGAAAGAAAATGGATTTTCATTATTCAGTAAAACTGTCAGAGATGAACAACAGATGCTAGTGCTGATTTTGAGAACCAAAAGAGCAAAAATGTAAATCTCGTTTGAAACAGTTGATAAAGGGTGGGCATTTATAGTTCAAATATGTATGTTTTTCTTGTTTTTGTTAACAATGAATATCACAGGCCTCCACAAGATAAGAAAGACAAAACACAGGTGAAAGGCAATGTTCTATCAACTACTCCAACCTGCTCAGTGGAGCTCTGTCCTTGGTTAAATGAGATAATGCCCAAGGAAAATGAACTGAAAGGAACTAAGAGCACGGATAGGGCCCTTTAAATATCTGTGAACTTAACATTAACAAAAGTTACATCAGCATCAGAATACAATTATGTTATTGTTGGGAGCCGTGGCACTGTCAAGTCATCAGACGCGGTGATTGCGAGGCCTGTGGGAAAGTACAAAAGCCTGAGCTAGATTACCCCTCTCATCGAGCCCGCCTGTGTGGCACCTGTTTCTTATCACCCCACTAAGTTCCCGCCTCACAGGGTAGTCTGCCTAGCTATTAATCCTATATATAGCCAGTGCCTCCACCCCCGAGAGAGAGAGACTGAAGCACGGAAGGAGCCGCGGGGAGCGGACCGGTAGAGGCTTCGGGGGAGACTGAAGCACAAAAGGAGCCGCGGGGAGCGGACCGGTAGAGGCTTCGGGGCAGACTGAAGCACGGAAGGAGCCGCGGAGAGCGGACCGGTAGAGGCTTCGGGGCAGACTGTATAAGGAGAGAATAAAGAAAAGCCTGACCACCGCCAGACCTTGTCGTGTGTCTTTCCTGCCGGCCGGGAGCGACATCGACATTTGGTGGCCCGCACGGGGATTGATCAACCCCGAGACGCGGCGGTGGACTGCATTCTCCTACACAGTGCTGCAGCTGCAGGACAGGTGAGTAGAGGATAAGCCTGGGCCCTGGGTGGCGCGCACCTACAGGGTTTGTAGACTCCTCTCAACCTCACGCGTAAGTGGCGGGTTTCTTGGGCCTCACGCGGTGAGTATGAAACATAACACCAGAACTTAAGGTAATAAAAGAGTGTAAAACATAAACATAGAAGTAAAAATAACAGAAGATATATTAAAAATGGGAAACATGCCAAGTAAAGATACACAGCCTTGGTGTTGGTCCTTCGGAGACTCCTAAAGTCCAAGGACCTCAAGGTGGGGCGTAAGACTTTAGAAAATTTCCTTGCAGAGATTGACAGCTTTGCTCCCTGGTTTCTGCCTACAGGGCATGTAAACCTGCCCTCCTGGGAAAAGTTGGGCAGAGACCTTTCCCTAGCAGAGCGGGAGGGTAGAGCTTCAGTCTCTGCTTGTCCATTGTGGGAAATGATACACACGTGCCTAAAGAGTGAGGGTAGTTACGGGGGGAGCTCTCAAGAACTTGTAGAAGTACGCGAGGTGTTTGAACAGGCACAGTCAGGAAGCTCCCGAGAAGGGTCCGTCAAGGAGGGCAGAGATACAAAAGAGGAAGCCGAGGCGCGGTTTGTGTCTTTCCGCAGGAATTGGGACGAGAGCCAATGTGGGTCCCAGAGAGGTTGACGCGACAAGTCCCTCGACTGAAGATCAGGCCTGTTCCACCAGAGGCCAACCGCAGACCCAACAACAAGATGAGCCCTAAAAGAACTGCAGGACAATCCCCTTTTGGGGGGCCTGGAACGGCTTGCTCCCCTATGTGCTACCCTTGTATACGCATGGCTCGCTCGCATGGCCTACGACCGCGTTTAAAAGTGACAGGCTTCCCACATTCTCCTCCCTAGACAACAACATGTAGCAGGGTGGGTGAGTCAATGACGGGTAAGAGCGTGCCTCCCCAGCACGACTCAACCTAAGCCAGGCCCTACCCCGTTCCGCTCGAAAGCCGCTGGATTGTTAGATAAATTTCTCTCCGAGGGGATTCGTGGAGAGAAATGAGTGCATGCCTATGTGCAACCAGGTTCCGTCCGGTTCATTCCTGGCCCTAGAAAAAAGGACGAGGGCCTGAGGGCCTTGGTGGACCCTGGGACGGCCGACCAGGGTCTACGCTAAGGGCCTACGGTGGGCCTCAGTTCGGGGCATAGGCCTCTGCACTCTATCCAGGACGGGCTGCGATGCGCGTAGCCATCATTTAAAATAAAATAGGGGGAGATGTTGGGAGCCGTGGCACTGTCAAGTCATCAGACGCGGTGATTGCGAGGCCTGTAGGAAAGTACAAAAGCCTGAGCTAGATTACCCCTCTCATCGAGCCCGCCTGTGTGGCACCTGTTTCTTATCACCCCACTAAGTTCCCGCCTCACAGGGTAGTCTGCCTAGCTATTAATCCTATATATAGCCAGTGCCTCCACCCCCGAGAGAGAGACTGAAGCACGGAAGGAGCCGCGGGGAGCGGACCGGTAGAGGCTTCGGGGGAGACTGAAGCACAAAAGGAGCCGCGGGGAGCGGACCGGTAGAGGCTTCGGGGCAGACTGAAGCACGGAAGGAGCCGCGGAGAGCGGACCGGTAGAGGCTTCGGGGCAGACTGTATAAGGAGAGAATAAAGAAAAGCCTGACCACCACCAGACCTTGTCGTGTGTCTTTCCTGCCGGCCGGGAGCGACATCGACACGTTATCTGGCTTCTTTTTATTTTTCTAGGTTTTCTAATTCTGGGGTTGAACCCTGAGTCTTGCAATGAGCTACTCCACAAGCTCTTTTTTAAGTTTAGTTTAGTTTTTTTTCCTCTTTTTGAGACAGGGTCATGCTTTGCAGTTCAGGCTGGCCTTAAGCGCACTTTGTAGCCCAGGTTGGTCTGAAACTTGCAACGATCCTCTTGCCTCAGCCTCCCGAGTGCTGAGATTACAGGTGTGCCCCCCTCAAAAGAGCCTTATAAAAGGTTAATGATCAAAGGTAGCAGCATTTTTTTTTTTGGAACCAAGAATCAAACTCAGGACCTCGTGCTTGCCAGGCAGGCGCTGTGCTGCTGACCTACATCCCCGGCTTTCTCCCAGCTCTTTTTGAGATTAGGCCTCACTAATTTCCCAGACTGGCTTTGAACTTTTGACACTCCTCTTGAGCCTGCCCAGGAGTAGCTGGGAGCATAGCTATGCACCACCACCTAAGCCTGGCTGGTATTTGCATTTGAATTGCTGTGCACATCACAAAAAAGCATTGATACCATTGTGCCCAAATGATTGAGGAAAACCCCAAGCTCTACTGACAAAACAAACATATTTATTTCTTCCCTTTTTTTCCCCCCCAGAAAGGGCCTCGTTATGTAGTTCAGGCTGGCCTTGAGTTCACTATGCAACCCAGGCTAGCCTTGAACTTGCAGTATCCTCCTGTCTCAGCCTCCTGAGTGCTGGGAGTACAGGTGTGCACCACCATGGCAGATTAAGTTTCACAAACGTCTTCAATTTCACTGTGTTGTCATTCAAAGCATCTCACACAGCTCTCCCACTTCATGTAAGCAGTAATAATTGTGTCCAGGCTGGGGGTTCAGCATACTAGCAGTATGTGTAGTATGCCTAGTATGTGTAAGGCTCCTGGTTCAAGCCCCATGACTGACCAAAAAAGAAAGAAGGAGGGAGAGAGTAAGAAGGAGGGAGAGAGAAAGGAGGGAGGGGAGAAGAAAAAGAAACAGCAACAAAAACCCTAATATAATCCCGCCAAAATTATATAGAAAAGAAATTTTAAATAAAACCTCCATAAATCACAGTTTCTCAAAACTCTAGAAAAATTCATTTTTATACACAAACACTGCATTACCATCTTTTACTTTCAATGATATTTAACAAACACAAAACGCAGATGGTGGCTTCAGCTTATGAGAGTTAATAAAGGCCACACATTAGTGTAAACTTCTTTTCAGGTGCCAATCACTTGATTCAAGCTTTAGCTTTAAAGTGCATTTCAACAGACAGAGCCAGAATTAAAATCACAGAATCAGAGTTAGTGGAGCCTGCAATCAGAATAAGTAAAGAATGTATACAATCTCATCACAAATGTAATATCCCAGCCTACACTGAAAGAACAGAGGTGAGTTTAATTAGACAGCGTTCAGAACAATCAGAATGCAAACCTGGTTAAGAAAGTGCAACACACAACTGCTGCTTGGCAAAGTCCCCTGAAACTATGCGCTATCTTCAGATGTATGCTTCAGGATGATGGCACGGCACACAGCAATAGTATCACTATATTTATTCCACTAAGGAAGAAGCGCAGTCCCAAACACCCCTGCTCCTTTCCCCAAAATGAAAACAAAAATATCCACACGTTAGTTGAAAACACAGAATTAGAACTCTTCGCTTTCATGCTTGTTTCTGCCGGATGCATAACCACACTTTGGGAATGGAATTACCTGAAGGTGTTGTGGCTTTGAAATCCCTGGAGGACAGCAAGGCACACTGCTCTTCTGTTTAAAGAAAAGGCTGCGTTGTTCAACAGGGAGTCACTGTATTACCCCAAAGCCACCACGGCAGTGCAGTGGTCAGCCTCCAGCCTCCCCAGCACTGGGCGCTGCCTGCCCAGGACAGCACCATGGGTTTAATGGCACCTTGTGCAAGGGAAATGAAGGGACATTTCTCTGAGGAAGTCCAAATGGCCAAGAATTACAAGAAGAAGTGTTCTGCTTCTTTGGCCACTGGAGAAACCAAAACTGAAACAATACTGACATTCCGTCTTACTCTGGAAAGAATGGCTATTATCAAGGACTCAAATAAAAACAACTGCAGGTGAGGTGTGGGGAAAAAGGAACCCTCCTGCACTGTGGGAGGGAATAGCAACTAATACAACCACTATGGACATCAGTGTGTACATTCCTCAAAAAGCTAAAATAGAAATCCCACCCAACCCACCTTTACCTCCTCTAGTATCTTCCTGAAAGAGATAAGGACATCATATCATAGCATGGCAATGTTTACAGCAGTAAAACTTGTAACCACTGAATCTTAGAAGAAGTGAGTGGATAAAGAAAATGTAGCACTTATACACAAAGAGTACTACTCTGCCACAAAGCACGGCCAACCTGAGTCATGTGTAGGAAAACTGGATGGATTTGTAGACCATGACACTGCATGAAATAAGCCACACACAGAGGACTAAATATTGCACTGCTGCTCTAAGGTGAGAGATTTAAGACATAAATAACTTAAAGAGCAAAATCAAGGGCCACATTAAGAAAAAGCAGGGTGGACACTACAGAGACGTGAAGGGGAGTGGGTAAACAGGGAGCGGGAAGGAAGTGGGCAGGAGGAGTTAAAATGATGACGGGGATCAGTCTGGAATGGACCAACCTGAATGCGATCATGATGTGTCTGAAACACACTGAGTTTTAAAATCAGTGGTGACGGTGTAACTGGAGACGGTGTAACAAGTACCTGGAGAACATGCAGAGCAGCCTGAAAACACGTCCTTGGTGCAGAGCGGCCAGGCAGGTCTCCTATCATGCTTTCTAAAGTGGCTGTCACTATGGACTTTTCACAAGTCACATTGGAGGCGACAACCAAGAGAGAATAGAGAAAGAGAAAAGCTGTGGAGGCGTCCTCACACATGATAAAGCAGTGCTCCTGTCCATTTTGCATCTAATGCCCCACAAGCTTCCCACTATTTTAATTTTTATAAATTTAAACAGAATTACAGAGGTGCATGATTCCATCTGTCTACGGTCCCTGTTAGACACACCTGACAGAGGTGTGAGCTGCGAGCAGTGACCAGGTGACACACAACAGCAAGTCTTGCTGCACGGTATGCTGGTGCATGTGTGCAATACCAGCTACCGGGGAGGCTGGGCCAGGTGAATCACAAGTTTGGGCCCAGCCTGGGCCTCTTAATGGTACCCTGACTCAAAATAAAATAAAAAGGAACTGGAGATAAAACTCAGCACTTCCTGGGCTCAACTGCTAGTATGCACAAAAAAATAAAACAAAACAGGTCTACCATGTGACATTCGGACACATCTTCAAAGACTATTTTACCCTAATGTACCACAGCAACAGCCAACAGCCAAAGGAATAACACAAAGCTCATTTCTAAAAGAAAAGTCATGACTGTAATGACCAAGGAAACCCTCTGAATGACAATCATCCATGAGTAAAGACCACAGAAGGTGCATCTAAGGCAGCCTATCCCACAGGAGCCCAAAGCAGGCGGGGTGGGGGCCGGGAGGGAAGGCAGCAGGGACTCGGGCCAGGTGAAGACCGAACTGACTCCATTGGGTGGGAAGGCTCAGGCAAGCAAGGTGAAGCCGCCTCTGGAGATGTGCTGCATGGTATGGTGCTACCAGGTGCTCCAAATGCAAGAGGGATCTTGTGATTCTAATCACAACTTAAAAATATACCTAAGAATGAGACCTGACAGGTAATGTAGGGTGAACCTATACACTGCAAATACAGAAATGTTTATCATAAAAAAGAGATAGAAACAATTCCACTAAAATATTTTTGATAATAACTCTGACCAGAAAACTCACCCAAGGTTGTAAAATGAGGGAACAAGAGGTCTCCCGGGGTCCAGATTCGTTAATGTTAGCTTAGAGACACCTGAGAATTATGCGCTTCTCTTTAAGAATCAATAGGGCTGACTCTGCAGCCCAGCAATTTTTTAAAAAGCCAGATGTGGAGGTACACATCTGCAATCCCAGCCTCAGGGAGGGTGAGGTGGGAGGACCACAGCAAAAGTCTGCTGAGCACCTAGCATGGGACAGATGTTCTTCTCGATGTTAGTGACACAGGGGTGACCACCACAGGCAGTAAAATGAAGCAAATAAGCAAGATACTGTCAGACAGTGAGAAAGCCGTAAAGGAAAGGTACAGGTGACTGTATACACTCTACAGTGTGTGGGGACAGAGTTTGGAAGTCCCTCTGAAGACACAGTGATTAGGAAAGGTTTCTCACAAGGAAGTAACACATGCAATGAAACAAAGCTCACAGGATTCTAAAGACAAGTCAAAAATTTTAAACTTAAATCAGATTATATAATATGCAAAATCTGAGTCTTAGAAAAATCCTTCAGTAATGAGACACTGCCAACCAGGGTGCCCTGAGCAAAGGGCATGTGTGATTATGTACTATTTTTGCAACTTCCTATGGCTCTATAATTTATTCCAAAACTAAAAGTTAAGAAAATTCTATGTGACTAGTACTGTAATTAACAATGAGGCATCTTCTCTATTTTAGGCATCTTTCAGTCACCCTAAAAATTACCCTGGGGGACTAAAATCATACAGGGCCTTAACCACTTACCAGTCCAATCATTTAAACACCAGATGACTAAAAATTGCACACTTTTTCATTATTTTTTGTGAGACAGTATAACAAGAAACATAAAAGTGACAATTTTATCAAATTTATTCAATATAAGAACTGACTGGCTGAAATGACCCCTGCCTAAGAGACACTCAGGACAGCCAGCACCTCAACAAGCACACTGCCTGGGTGATTCTCGTGGTTAACTGCCAGGTGGCTATGAAAACAGTTCTTCTGCGAAGCAAAGCACCTCCCTAAGATTACAAAGATGAATGAGACCAAAACAGAAAAAAAAAGTCTGGGCATTTTGTTGCAACTTAGAACATCCCTCTGGAAGCAGGGCAATGGCGGAGTCACCGTGTGACAGGAAAGTTCTTCTTTGCATCATCTGTTTACAGTAACTACACAGAAATCACACCAGATGTCTGCTCCCAATTTCACTGCAGGAGATTAGGAAAAATAAAAAAAAAAAATGCAATCTCACTTGGGATGGAAGAGCAAGAAAATAGAGACAGATACTCTCACTAGACTTGTTTCAGGACAGCAAATCGAAAGAAAGCCATCTCCCACAGAACCCACCCACCCGTTCATACAGTTTCCGCTTCTGGGTAAGGGTCCCTGAGCCCAGCACGGTTCAGCAGCTGCTGCCCCAGACTGCATCGCAGATGGAGGGCTGAGCACAGATGCTGCCTCTCTCCTCCACTGGAACACTGCTGTGGGGAATTGAACTGTGTCCCTGCAAAACTCAACAGTTTCAAATAAAAAAATCTTCAAAAAACAACAGGTGAAAAAACCACCAAGTAAGACTCAGAACAGGAGTCTGGGGAGATGGTGGAGCAGTGAGCAGCAGAGAAAGAGCCTCTCTGGGAGTCACCATCCAGACACTGGGATATAGCAACATGAGGAGGACAAGGGGAGAAGTGAGCCCCTGGACCTGGGAAGGATCTGAAGCATGAACTGATCCCGTGGAGAGTGAAGACAGAAACTTCAAGAAGGAGGCAGCTCACAGTGCCTTTTCCTGAGACCAGACTCACTGTAGGAGAACTGCAGTTTAGAACCTGTGGACGCATGGTCACGGTCACAGTGATGATGACGGCCGGCGACCCTGGAAGCCTCTGCTGAGAGACACAGCAGTGGAGGTGACTGACAGACATGGAGGACTGCACTGACTGGCGGGAGTGCCAGGGTCTCGTTCTTGCCGTGATGGAGAACTACTGACCTGGAGCCACGCCTGAGATCAGAAGTCAGCACTGTGGCTGACTCCACCTGGTGGCTGTCAAGTCCCAGGCCAGCAGAAGGTGCTCGGACCCAAAGGCGACTGACTGTCTCTGCCAGAGAGTGCAGGCTTGTGGAGAGCATCGGCTACTCCACCAGAGCGCTGCTGCTGGCCTGCTGGGGTAGATCAAGGCAGATTAGGACTCGGCCTCCATAGCTGACCGCCAGAGAGAGTAGAGATATCTGCAAGCAGATGTGACTTTTTAAAATCTGTCTTCTCTCTCCACTCTATTATATTTGTTTTTGATTTTTAGTTTTTGGGTTTTTTCTTTCTTCCTCCTGCATTGTTTCATCTTGTTTTTATGTAAGTGTGAATGTGGGTTCTAGCTCTCTGTGGTTCTGTTCTGTTCTTTTCATCTCTTCCTTCACACTTTTTCTCCACTCTTCTACACCAGTTTCCCAGAGTTAGCATGATCTCCCTTGGTTCTCCAATCTTACATTTAATCTCTTGCGCTTCTTGCAGTTCTCTACTTTCTCCTTAAACTATTTTAAATTTTAACCCCTGAGGGCAAAACTGGCATATCATTATATACTGCATATGATCTTATGGTCTGTTGTAGATTTATTTATTTAATCACAAACCTAAATCACATGGTTAAAAGTGGCAAACCAAGGTGAGACCATACTCATAAGTGAAATAAATCAATCTCGCATGTGTGAATACCTAATAGTTTCCTTAATGTAAGTAATGATTCAAATATACAAAAATATGTGGTAATCATGATTCCCCATTATGTGGCCTTGAAGCCTTATAAAGTTTTCACTTATTAATTGGAAAGGCTTTATTCTGGGCTTCTTGATATGGAAATATTTGAAGCTATAGTATATGAAGTGTTATTCAAATATTTCAAGGAAAAAGACAGACACTATGGTAACTACTATTAAGTTGGGTTA